CATCGCTCTAATTATATTTATAATAATGCTAAAACGATTGTGTATAAAATCATATTTTTAAAGTAACGAGGATATGAGGTTTCGCATATGATTTGGAACATGTTTGCATGGTCGAGGGAGGGCCGCCGGCGAGCGCCGCGCCCTGTACTCGCATCCACCAGTGTATCTGAGCATAAGTTATATTGTTAACTAGTGTGTTTAATTATTCGATTGTTTTGAAAATATTTTATTATTATACGCGCGCGTCGTACCGCGCGCGTCTGTTGAACAAATAAAAATATTGTCTAATTATTAATTTTAGATTTAAGCGCAAGGACGAGCGAATGGACGTGTGTTTTTTGAAAATAAAAGTTTTCGCATACCATCGTGTCATCTCTTACACGGAATGAAATGTTTTATATTGCTTTTGTCAAAGACATGTTGTGGGAGTGCCGCGGGGAGGGGGCGCGGCCGCGCAGCCGCATCGACTCATCCTTTTGTATAAAGTTATTTCATTTGTAGCGCAGCATCATCGTTTGTACGTACGCCGAGTGATATTAGCCGCGCGGCGCGCCCCCCCTGCCGCCAGCGCACACTATATATACTTGAACTAAATTATTGAAGTATTAGTTAAGGTGTTTGTTATAAATTTCAATAACTTTTTTTGTTTTTACGACCTTTTTCCCCTAAATCTAAGTATACATTTAAGTCATATCTCGAAGCGTAGACGCATCAACTAAAAGTTTCTACACAAGAACCGAAAAAACAACATTCTTGTGTAAAAACCGACGTAGTCCACTTTAAACATCTTCAAAATGTTTAAAATAGAAATAAACATTAAATTGTATAGCTGAAGGTATTTATTTGTAATGCTAGTCTCTTATGAAAACAAAATACTAATTATTCAATTATTATAATGTACTTATTGATTATTGATAAATACTTCAAGTTTATTAAACAAGATATAGTCTACGATGTAACGAATTGATTTTGGAATTTTTTCTCTACGAGCAATAGCGAGGCGCGCGCCGCCGCGGAGCGCGTGCCCGCGTCGGGCTCGCGTACTGTGCCGCTCCCGACGCGCGTACTCTCCGCTGCGTACTGCGTACTGTGTACTGTGTACTGTGTACTGTGTACTGCGTACTACGTACTGTCGTACCGCGTACTGCGCACTCGCCGCACCGCGTACCGGACGCGCGCTCCGCGGCGAGCGCGCCCCCTCGGACATAGGCGACGTAGGTTCACAGCAGTGGCATTTTCAACTTATAACGTAAGACATGTACTTAATCGACTTAGTGACGGGTTGACTCGAGAGTCTCACACGAGCGGCCGACCGCTCGCCGCCCACTTGTTTTTAGTAATAAATAAATCAAAGCGATCTAGTGAATCGGCAATGTTCAATTTTGTATAGAACGTTTCATAGTAGCGGTATTGAGAAGTTGTTACGTTTTATTTGTGAGGTTCGTAGGCGCGTTCCGTTCCACGCACGCCCCTGTGTACAGAGTACAGACAGAGAGACGCGACAGTACGTTAGAGAAGGACGGACGAGTGGCGCGACAACTATTGAAACTATTATACAATCTTGTAAGTAATTAAGTATTAGCTTCGAATCAATAAAGCCTTTTTAAAAAATTAGTTAAAAATGAAACTATTGAAACTTCACATGTTTAAATAAATAATAATTAGTTATGATTTCAGTGAATTAGAGAGTTCATATGGTATCGTTTTGTGTATAATATCTATTTTTCGTTGATATTCTTTACCAGTTCCCCAATGAAAGACATAAATTAGGAGTCTACTGTAATGTAGTGCCGGTGCCGCCGTCTGCCGGCTGCCAACCGGACGTACCTAACAATAAATTGTTTTGACACGACAGTCTGCCACTAACCATTTTAGGTGATAAGTCCCATTGTTGTATTTTTCGTCTCACAATAAATGAAAATCTATTTTATTGTTTTTAATACTGTGGTTTTATTTATCTCCTAACAAGCTGTTGCCACCGATATCGATATCTCCAGATTAAAGCCCACACACTCAAAATTTTGACTGAACCGTTCCAAATGACAGTCAGAAATGAAGTTGTCGGTATTTGTTTATGAAGGAATATGGAATGATGCTGACTGAGTACGCTTGCGAACAGGGGCGGATCGTGAATTTGTAGGGCTCTGGGCTAATTCTACTTACCTAATTATATAACTCAACTAAAAAAATACATCGACCAAAAACAAGCTACCAGAAAATCCTTTCGATAGTCGCACACTTGCATGGGTTGATTGATCTCAGGGTTACCTTAAGATAGGTTTTTTATATTCTAAACGTTTCAGTGGGGACTGGGGCCCTTTGTATTCTCGGGACCCTGGGCTGCAGCCAAAAAATCCTTAGGTAGATCCGCCCCTGCTCGCGGAGCAGCAATGGAGAACGATAGGATGAGTATGCGGTCAACTCAGCCCAATATGACAAATTTACTAGGAAATCATGACGGTTTCCAGTAAAAATCTGACATAGTACATTAATAGCTATGAGGTAAGTATTAACAATTGATTAACTGGCCCGCACACCTTCGCTGCATCAGAGAAGAGTGCGTAAAGGAAAAACATCTTTAACTCACAGAGAAGAAACTCAAGAGGAATATATTTTCCTCGTCTTTGCAATGTTTGATGCTCCGAACCTTTGTCATAGCTTGCCGTTAAGGTTAAGGATTTTGGAGAGATTAGCGCGATTAACCAAACAAATACTCGTTAACTCGTACTTGTGATAGTAAGAAATATCTAAATTTATAAACACACATTCAAAACAATCATATGCATGATTACAAACGTTTGTCTCGTACAAGGAATTTGTTAGACATGCGTAGTGAAGACAAGTAAAACGTACACGGGTTCGTATCGCACTGGTTTATTATATGACAGCTTGATGGTGGGTGCAGCCACCAAGGTGTACCAACATACCTAACAGAATTGAACCCGAGACCATCTGAAGTAAAACAGGGTTCGAAACCGCTAGATCAACGAGGCCGTGAAAAACGGGTAGTTCTGTATAAAACTGACTGTAGAAGATAAATCAAAAGAAATTAAAAAGGATATCTAAAAACACAAGAATTATCATAATAAGGGTTTATTTACATAATGCAATATATTTATAATGAACATTTTTCAATACAAATGTCACAGATCAGAAACACAAATAGTCAATTATCCTATACCGGATGAGTTTTTGTCAATCGGAGAAAGGGGCATATACTACATATGAAATAGAAGTATTCTCAGGGCCGGATTAAACATTAGGCCGAATTGGCAACAGCCTAGAGGCCCCCACATCGGCTCGGTACCAGCGCGAAGTTAAAAATGTTTCATCGAATAAAAATTAATTTATACTCTTAACGACAGCAGGTTGTTTGACTGCAAGCTCCTGATATTAAGTGATGATGCGGTCTAAGCTTTTACACGAAATAGCAAACAAACTAACGGCCCACCTGATGGTAAACGATAACCGTCTGTTATATAAATGTACAGCACTACGGACATTGCGTTATCATGTAACATCTCTGAAAGAACTCCGTTGTCAGTCTAGAGGACGTAACATATCGTCCATTGTCCTGTAATTTCACTGCCCAATTGCCTTACAAGCGAAAGCGACTGAAATAGGATAGCCTATGTACCCACGCTGACGACACTTTGCAATCTGTGTTGAAGGTATTACATTACATTTTGTTATTTTTATTATATATATGTATATACATATATCACGCGCGACCTGCTTTCAAAACTTTTAAAATGGGAATCTCCGTGAGTTATCTAGGGGTCTCATGATGGTTAATCCTGCCCTGAGTACTATATGCAGTCAAGGTAGAATCCAGGGATGCTAACCATATGAGGATGCTGATACTAATACGAAATATTTAGCCTTCCAACTTAGTTAATGCTAAGAATTGATTAATTGATCATTTTCGTTATAAATATATAATAATTATAACTCTGGACAATTCACATAGCGCTAACTAGTCCCAAGCTAAGCAGAGCTTGTGTTATGGTCTGTATGGGTTCTAGACAACTGATGGAAATTATATTCGATATATACATACATAGAAAATATTCACACTAAAAACAAACAATCATACTCATGAATACAAATGATTCGAATCCAAGACCATAGTAAGTAAAGCGGTGTGCTAAGCAGCCAGATCTCCGAGGTCGTATAATTATACAATAAAAAAAAGTACGAACTGTCGTAAACTAGTTTCTATAACGGTACGCACGTTACAAGCATTTGTATTGAATACAGTTTTTCTATGGAAACATTTCAAACAAAAAATTATATGTTGTGTTTCAATTGAGTATTTTAGATACAGATGTTACATTATTGCATAATCAAAACTATACCGTACGGTACAGTTTGGATTAGATATATTGACCCTCAAATTGTGAAATGACCTACCGTATAATATGTAGACAACGTTTTCTTTAAAGAATTTAACATCAAAAACTATAAATTCAGGTCCACCAATTAAACGTTATGTCCAGTATTACAAGCATAACATCTGTGCCACTATGACATCATTGTCAAAACAAAGATTTTTACAACCAGTTAAACTGTTTTTTAATTGACAAAGCATAACTACCTACTATCATATGTATACTGGAAATGTAAAAATATATGTAGTAACTATCTTATTATACATTCAAGTTTAATGGGTGAGACATCTCGCCCTTACTTATAAAAAGGCCAATTGTCTTATTTAACATGTTATTTTCTTCATTTCAATAAATGGAAAAAATACTAAAATTATATTCTATTAAATTTACCATAAAGTTATTCGTTTTAAACCCGTTTAACTATATTTATAATGTGTACTAGACGCGGAAGTTTACAAATAAAAACAGTAAAATGTTGAGGTTTTTCTTTTTATGAATAATAGGATTGTCATTCATAAATTTTTATAAGGATGATTTAATAATTAGCTTCAGACGGGCTGAACAACTAATTATATAATATTATTTACACAATGCCTGCCACTGGTCAGGCTAGTGGAAGCTGATCAATCCAGGCGGCGGCTCCGGCGGCATGAACGGACGTATAGACGAATTTGGATCTGGGAACATATAATAATAATTTGATGTGAAAAAAATGTTGCGGTATGATGTGGTCGACTGGAATGAGTCATGCTCACTAAAATGTCCAGACATGTGGCGGCGTGATGGGCCGGGTCATTGGGCTCCCTAAAATATGGTTGAGCGCAGAGATGGCTGGTTCATCCGTCATACTCGTGAACGAGTGCTGCTTGTAGGGACTGGTCTGCTCTTATCACTACTGATTTAATCTTATTGTGTTTTTGTATTTGACCCTAATAAATTAGTGCCGGTTGGTAGTTTGTATTCACACGTTTCGACTTGTAAAATATGAACTTACAAGGATTATTTAAAATAGCAACACACAAGTTTCTTGCTCGTTCTATTTGTGAGCGGATGAGCGGTAGATTAAAAAAATTGTTATAACTATTCAAAAGTGCTTAAATTAAGTTTATTGAAATAAATGATTTTCTAGTCCATTCTATTCTATAATTATTATAACTTTGTTCATGAAGTCGAAAAAATACGAATTTCTAGTAATATTCAGGTATTACTAGCTGATATTTAGCTTATATAATTTACACGAAAATACCACTTTTTCCATACAATTTGTTCCCAGCGAAGAAAAAATATCATAGCAGAATACAATTGGATTAAATGAAGTTGAGTGGGCGTGAGGCTGAAACGTAGTAAGATATATACCGGGTGTTCTGGTAAAGTCGTACAATTAAACGAAGAGCTCACCGAAGTTGCGATGCGGGTGCGTGAGCGGGGGCGGGTGGGGCGGCAGCAGCACGTGCTGCGGCGGCAGCGGCAGCAGGCCGGGCCGCGGCGGCTGCATCATGTTCGGGAGCTGCGGGACCTGCGGGCCCCCAGGCAGCTGCGGGGCTCCAGGCAGCTGCGGGGCTCCAGGGAGCTGTGGGCCTCCAGGGAGCTGTGGGCCTCCAGGGAGCTGTGGGCCTCCAGGGAGCTGTGGGCCTCCAGGGAGCTGTGGGCCTCCAGGGAGCTGTGGGCCCCCAGGGATGGGTGGGCCCCTCGGGAGCTGCAGCCCCCTCGGCGGAGGCGAGCCGGGCGGCGGCGGCGGCGGCGGCAGCGCGTCCCACAGCGGCACGTGGTCGGGGTGCGTCGCCGGGCACGGCCACGCGCACCCCACGCGACGCACCTTCTTCTTCTGCTCACCGACAGGGAGAGACTTTAACACCCGTGTACATACTACATACCGGTAGACATAGAGTCATCTGAATGAGCACCTTGGTTTCTTTTAATTCAATTATCTTAATTTACAGTGAGCAGCGCCAATAAATATTCGTACGATTACGCCAACTAAAATTAGTAACTTAGTAACATGTATCAAAATAACGAAATAGTATTTCCTACAAAAATTCGCGATGGTATATGTCTAACTACTAAGATTAAAAAAAATATATTGTTATAGGAAAAAAAGCATACCTTTCTGACGGGTGGTTCCTCTGTATCAGAGTCCTGGCCAGGCTTATACCCGTCTGCGAAGCTCACGCGCTTACCAGGGCGTAAGCTTTTACTGAAACACAGTATGTCAATAAATTAGTAACCTTAGATAATCGCGGAGAAGGGAATTGTTAGTAATGTAAGTATGTAGTATGTATGTTACTAATAATCATACTGCTGGCTATATATTATGGCAGGTTGACACGCGGTTCCTCCTGTAAACCATTATAACAAATTCATGATGAATTTAACATGATGGGCTAACTGACCTGACCTCATGCTCACCTTATCATCTTCCACTGGTGTCCCGCCAGCGTAAATCCATAAGTAAGAATAATGAAAGACCGGCAACATGCACCTGAGCACCCTATAACTTGTATCGCTAATACTTACGAATTCAAGATTCCTTTTCCATCTTTATCAGCATCAGTTTCTTGCATCTCTTTCGCAACATCGCCCAGAACTGAAACAAAATCAACATTAATACAAAATATATTAATCGATAGCTATTTTTATAGCCTACTTAATAAGAATTCTAATTGATGTAATAGGTGTAGCATAGCACGTTCAACGCGCTAACTGCTGGCGCAACGCGAGCACCTCGGTCAAATTTATAAACACGCGACCAAAGGGCATATATTGCTGTACTCGACATGCTTATTAGATAGTACAACTATATCATTTTATGCACATAGCTTGTAAATTGACCCAAATATAGGAGTCCACGAATACGACTAATATAGTGGCTTTATTGTTACAAGCCACTACACTTCAAATTACTATTACTATTCATAACATTATAACTATTACCAGTAAACAACTAAACGGCAGAACGGATTTTTATTAAATGTAATAGGAGAGATAGATTGTATCACGAGGACAGGCATAGACTGTATATCTCCAAAAAGAACTTAGGAGGTAAAATTTTGTACAGACTAAATCACAGATTATATTGTTCAGTTTTTCAAGCATAATAAAACTTAATAGTTTTGGTCCTTCGAGGCCGATGTTCTGAGATATACGTCATGTATTTAGATCAATTCAATCAATCAAGACAAAATCTCTTTAACATTTTATGATATATCTTTATATTAATAATAATTTTTAGTTTATTAGGGCATCAATGGCCAACTTGTTAGTAATAATTTTCCTTATCTAATGTTAGTATAGTTCTTATTATCTAATAGTATAGTATGTTGCTCCCAATGTACCCGTATTTTGGAGCGCAAGATGTATTCGAGCGTCGAGTGAGCTTCGGCCGGCTGCCTGATGCGGCCGGGACTCCGGCTCGTGCTCGACATCCGTATCGGGCTCGGGCTGCGGAGCGAAACAGTCGCCGTACTGCAAGCGGTCTGCCGCGCCGTACGTGTCCATATATGCTTCGTCGTAACTGCACGGGAAACTGAACCTTGAAGATTACAATTAGAACAGACGTACACTGTTAGAAATTTTCTGTCACAATTTGACAATGCTCGGGTTTTTTGACAGAAAATTTCTGTTCATTTCACTCCGGCATAATGTATTGTTATGTAAGTTGGACACTATTACTCGCAATTAGTCTCTCATCTGGGCCGTCGTGCTTGTAGAACCGAGACTACTAAAGTAGCAAGCTAAGCTCCTCCCAGAAGCGCAGAAGCCTCCTCCTGTCTTCAAAAGCTTCACGAGGCGACCTCATCATTTTGAGAATTTGTGTGGCCACTGTTACGCATTTGCTACACACGCATAAAGTTCATAAACAAGAACTGCAAGTATTTAGTAAAATTGAGACTATATAAAATATAATCTTTAGTCATAAATGGGGACACACTGTCCCCATTTATGATCCCCATTGTCTGTCTCTTTAGAAACAAATCGGTGAAATAATCTTAATGAAATTTTAAGCGACAAAATAATAATAATAAGAAGCAGATATCACGGAAAACGATAGTATGTATGTATACGATACGATAATAAGCCTTAAAAATACAACTCTTTAACCAAAATGATCTTATATTAATAAGTAGTACCAATCTCACCTCATGGACGGATTGTCGTGTCGGTTTGCGAGACTCTCGATGCGGTACACAGGTTCCACGGTCTGGATAGGGTATTGTTCACCACCGCCGGTCAACACGATGTTCACCTCACCGGGCTTCAAACCTAATAATAAGGTCGCATATAAAAATACATTCTTTGTCCAACTAATCCATAAGTGCCAAAAATATTAACCCCCTTTTACAGCCGCTTTACTCGGGTCAACTTTTAATAAAGTTACACGTTATATTTATTTATTTATTACAGTTATTTATTTCACTAGGTTTTTATGTATGTATGTATTTAAAACTAGATGGTGGACTAGATGGTGCTGTCTAAAAATGTCAAAGAATATGATTATTGGAGTGTACTGATGCCCATTGTACGAGTGGAGCGGGTCGGTCCCCGGCTCGCCAGTCGCCCTTGATCTCTCCGCAGTATTGTTATTATTATAGTGTAGTGTAGTGTAGAGTACTGACCCCACCGCGAGGGTCTGTGCGGGGCGGGCGCGGGTCGGTCCCCGGCTCGCCAGTCGCACTTGATCTCTCCGCATCCGCGACCGCGGACCACCGTCTCGATCTGCTGCGACTCGCTCGCCGGCGGAGATATCGCCTGCGAACAGTGTACACATACCATCATACATTATACCAGCTTCAGCTCTTAACTTTAAAAAACTTGTTAACAGCAACTATTCGTGCTGAAACAGTTTTTTCTTGAAGAATGTGGCAACATTTTATAATTATTCGATTGAAGGACTTCAACCCACAGTCATGAAATAATTTAAGACCTACCGAGATAAACTTTGTAAGAAGTCATTTGTGGGTAGGATAAGTCCGTATCATCTATTGCAGCTACTAAATCATTTTGCTTAAAGGTAATGAAATTACAGAAAAGAAATCATAACACATTCGTCCTTCAGAATCACAACTTTGAATACAATCATGTACGTCACATGATAACGTAATGTCGGTGGTAATGTATATAGGCAACCACGTTACCACTTACCATCAGATATCTGTCAGCTTGTTTGTCATTCGAACTGCATAAAAAATTTGTAATGTAATGTTAAAATTTACAACATCATACCTGACTGGCCACGTCACTCTGATACGCCATAGCCAATTGTTCATACATTTCATAGTTGCCTTGCTCATAGCTTTCGTACTTATCCTCTTCATGCTCCATCCCCTTCGGGTACAACCCTTGACCTTAAGGGTGAAGGGTTTATTAGTAAGTAGAAAATATCATATTGTTCCAATGTAGTTATATCATTACATAGCATAAAATAAAGTCGCTGTCGCTGTCTGTACGTCCCTATGTATGCTTAAATCTTTAAAAGTACACAACAGATTCTTTTTTTAATTGATAGAGTAATTAAGAGCAAGGTTTATATGTATAATACATGTACACCCGTGCGAAGCCGAGGTGGGTAGCTAGTTACATATATTTTAGTTGTTGAAACCATCTTGATTAATTCGTGGTGAATTTGTAAGGTATTTATTTATTTATACAAGTAATTATTTTGTATTATTATTTTATTGTCATCGTCCAGTTGTCTTTCGGAACGATTTTAGTCCCTTATGCAAGTCAAGATTTTTGTATTATATATTTCACCTTTCAGTCTTTGATATCTATTTGTACAATTTTATACCCTTTCCCATAAACAATACTTAGGGACAACAAGGCTTTGGTTGTTTTTTGGAAAATAATTGAAGATTATAGATACATATAGAACGTTCGAGTATATATTGCGAAGTAACAGTCAGCTATTTGCTTCTTTAAATTTCTATTGACTACCACGACTCGTACAGTAAATCGAATATGAATATATTTTTAATATCGGCTGCTTTACCCTATTATAGATTCCTTACCATTATATACTGTGAGCCGTACACACCGTACCATTATCGTCTATTAAAAAAAAACTCGTACCTTGACTGGCGCTAATGACATCATTGAAACTGTAGTTGGAATTCTGCGATGACGGCCGCAGATGACTTTCATCCTTTTCATACAGGATCGGCTCTTTGATGCTGCAAGTAGACTCTTGTGAGGAACATTGGGATGCGTTCGATTCGTCCACCACGGGGATTTGTGATACAGTTTGGGGCACTTCAAAAATTGTAGTTTGAGGTTCCTGAAAATTTTAATAATAATTATTTCTTTGAATTTCTTTATTCTTTGCAACTTTGAAAGTTGTTTCGGTTTTTAGGGTGACATATTGAAATAAAATTAAATAGGTACTATAGTTTTCCGGAATGGCAACACACGAGAAGTATCAAGGGACCCATGTGATGAAGGCCGTGGTTCTGTTCTTTCTGATATATAAGTGATGCTTACCACTATGCATCAGATGGGCCTTCAGCTAGTCTGCCATTCTAGTGCATAAATAAAAAAAAATTGAGCAAAGAAAAAATAGTTCAATAGGCTTTCAATAATATAGTAAGCATTTTTATAAAATATGAAAGTTAGACCTACATTAGCAGATATCTTGTCAGTTTCAGGCTCGTGAATTTGTTCCAATTCAAGTTCAGGCGCGGGCTCAGGTTCACCTTTGCGCTTCTTTTCCACTGCAACAGGCTCTTCAATAGGACCAGGTGTTCCAGTAACTTCCTCTTCTACTGGTTTCTCTATATTTTCTACTATCTTCTTCGTCTCTTCTTCTTTTTCCTGCTTTATATGTATATTATTACCAACAAAATCATTTTGTAATTCTTTAACATTAATGATTTCTCTAGGCTTCTGTCGTCTTGGAGAAAAAATGTTTTCATCATCCGTTAATCTCTCAGTTTTAATGTTATTTAGTACATTAACATCAAATAATTCGTCGCTCTGACTTGATTCAGATGTAGACTGCTGTCTCTTTTTCGCTTTGTTTTTCTTTTTTTGTGCTGCTTTTTTCTTCTTACTTTTATGGTCTGTATCGACGTCAGAGCTACTGTCGCTGCTGGACGAACTACTACTTGATGTGGATTTAGCACGAGATTTCTTTTTCTTCTGTGCCTTTTTTAATTTCACTTCTCTTTTCTTTTTAGCTTTTTTCTCCTTTTTATCGCCTAAATACACAAGAAACATTAAATTAATATATTATTATACGTAAAGATACACCACAAAACATGAGTTTACAACTATACCATTCTGATTCTGGTTCAATGATCTTAAAAAAAAAGACTTCAAAAAACGTCTCCCTCTGCCGGTGAGGTAACGAGATGATTGTGTGTGTGGGATTCTTACCTACTACAAAACCACACGGTGTACCTACGAGCGTCATTGAAACTACAACCCCGTGGCGAATAGTAACTACACGTTTTTAAACTTTCGTGTTTAATATACATTATTTATATTGTTAACCAGGTAATTTTATGATAAACAAAGGTATTTACCCCTTTATTACCCTCCTCTCTGCACTAGCCATGGTCACGAGCCGACCTAGCTAGAGTCAGGCAGTAACTTCAATATAAATAAACTACATGTTTAATGGATATTGTGATACACGGCCTATAGGAATATTTGTTGAGCTTATACTACAGTATGGAAGTAAACAATTGTACCTATATCTTCATCGTCGGATTCTGACATCATTTCCAATTTTATCAGTTTTTTCTTCTTTTTCTTCTCTTTATCTTTTAACTTCTTCAAATACTTTTTATTAAGACGCCGTTGTTTGGCCGCCTTCGATTTCTTGCTCGCCTTTGTGAAAAAATAAACACATTTTATATATCTAATACAATATTTTTATTGATAAAAAAATGCAATTACATAAATGGTATAATAGTTAACCCGATTTCAACCTTAAAAATCGTGAGTTCTAATAGGCTAACAAAATCAAAAACTTTATTATTATTTCTATTTGCGATTGACTCTCCAGTGATTGCAATAACAAAGACAAGAATCCAAATTAATCCTAGAGATCTTGTTAGGCCAGACTCTTGCCACGTTTTAAACAAACATACTTGAAACGTAGAAATGTCAAGTATTGCGTTCAACCAATGTCGATAGTTGGTAATGTCTTTGACCACACCATTCTAGTATCCACACTAATATTATATAAAATTTAGATTTTGTTGGGACGAAAGTAATCTCTGAGCTACTACAACGATTTGAGAAATTATTCCACAGTTTGAAAAGTAAGAAAGTAAATTAATTATGAAATTGAATTAAGTAATTAAAAAAGTTAACAGGTTAATACATAAAAAATAAACCATAAGCGAAACTGAGGGCAATAATTAAACAAACATACATACCTTCTTCTTAACAATCTTCTTTTTCTTCACTGATGTTTCATCGCTATCAGACAGAGTGGAGAATGTAGACGTCGAATGCTTGCGTTTACGAACTTTTTCTTTTTCCTTGTCCTTCATTATTTTCGCTTTTCTGCTGGAAGAAATTTAGTAATTAGATCCAAATAATACTGGAAGAATGAAATTAAATTGAATACTTCAAAAGTTCATATAAAAATATTTGATATATTATTATTATTTACGTCTAATATAATATTAACAGTTTCTTTTATTCCATTCATGCGCCATCTACCACCTTTTCTCTCTCTACCTAATGGTTGTCTGGAAGAGACTGCTTAAGCGATAAGACTGCCTCTATAGATTACGTACATTATATTTACTTTCAGGAGCAATAGAGTAATAAATAAAAAAATAACTTAATAAATACACAATATTATGTATATAGAAACGCAAAAGTGTATCAGTATGTCTCGTTTGATTGTTTCCTTTTTAAGACTGAACGACAAAATTTATTTTAATACAATTTTACGAGATTTTATCACGCGGCCAAATATTGACTACATTTTATATCCAAATTAACAGATAAATTCGTGGGTAACTGCTAGTATTATATACAAATTACTAACCTTCTCTCCACTTCTTCTTCTAAATCCGACTCCTGGCTCCAACCCTCGCTGCTCAGCTTTATCTTTTTCGCTTTTTTCTTTTCTTCCGTCTCAATCTCCTCTTCATTCTTCTTTTTCTTTCTTGTCTCTTGTCGAACGGGCGTCGTACTTCTGGATACGTCAGTTTTTGCTTCGGAGCTCACTTCAGGCCATACGGCTTGCATGAATCTAAAAGTAAAAGTAGAAATTGTAACTTACGTAACGTACACTTACGTACAATCATAAAGACTTGCATATTGTAACTATATTTTTACCTAACGGCGCAACTCAAAGGCTTTATATACATGCTCGAAATTTCAATTCAGATTTTTGTTTGTGTCGATGAAAATACCGTATACCATTTTTAATTAACCCACGCCACGTTTATAAAAAGCGACTGACTACAAAAGATAGAATTGACATCCCATTGATAGGCCGACGTATCGGATGGAAATGGTGAGGTCTATAAAGTATGAACATATCAGAATTTTGTCATTGGGCCTATCAATTGAATGCCAAAAACTAGGACAGGTGCTTTAACGAATCTGTAGGCGGTGCAGTGTGTAGGTGAACCAACTTATACATTTTGTTGCTTTTGTAGTAGTGTAGGGTCAGTAGATAAATAAATACACAAATATTACCTATTTGTCTTTTATTTTTTTAGGATAATGTAAATATTATATGTAATTTTTAAATGTAAATTTCTTGAAAACAATGAAGTTATTACCAAGAATTAAGAAAAAAGAAAATGTCGTGATCTACTGATTCAAGCTACAAATGACTGATGTGGGTGTGTGTCCGCCACACACCCACACACACACGTCCGCCTGTTGGCAGTGAACTAGTTTATTCCGGTTTTAGCGATTTGATAAATGCTATATCTACTACAAATGCAAAAACGTGTTTAAGTTAATTTGTCTGTATTCTACTGTGACTGGCCAACAATTATATCTTAGCTGCTTTGTTAGACGGCTTAACAAATACAGATAACTGTTGACGACTATTCTAACCTTTGATACTCTGTGTCGAGACAAATCTCCTCATTCCTCCGTGGGGTTAGTGATCTGTCCTTGAGTTTCGATTTAATTGGCGACACGTCACTTTTATCTTTTATCTCGCATTCCTTGTTTTTAGATCTGAATATGTATAATAATGAAAATTATTGTACATTTATTTTCTACAAACTTCAATAACTGTTATGTTTATAGAAACAGTGTTTTTATATAACTGGAATGGTAAACAAGATGACGGATAAAGTGGTAACCGTGTACTATATACATGAACAGAATCACGGATATGACGTCGTCATGTTACGCCTGCGAATCCTAGATGCATTACCGTCGTGTCACCTTACCTTGTAACTTAACTGCCATATCTCACCATTCAAACCGAAACACAGCATATAATGCTGCTTGGCGACAGTAGTAAATGAGATATCGGCCAAGCATTCGACAACAAGACAGACAGAGATCGGCTACGCATACGAATTAGAATTTATTAATAGAAAATTCATCAAAATGTAAAGTAATAATAAAATTATTTAAAAGAGCAATGCGCAAGTTTCTTGCTCGTTCTTCTTGTGATGAGACAGCTTTCCGAACGAGCGGTAGATTAAAAAATGTAATGACTATTCAAAAGCGCTTCAATGTAAGTTTATTTGAATAAATGATTTTCTATTCTATTCTATTCTATTCTATTCGGTTAGTGCTGACGTCAAATAGCTCTGCCAATGTTGCTGCCTTTACACGTACGCTCTTTCACGCGCGAGAAGGAAAATAAAGCGCAAGAAAGAAAAAAGCGCGCGCGTGGCGCCGTGCGTACTTAATCCTTTGTTCAATTCAATCGTGCGTGCTTTGCGCGTTTTTATAATGAATAAAAATCACTGCAAAATGGCGGATATACTAGGAGCAAAGACTTTAGGTCTTTGTTCCCAGTATATACTTTATTGACAATTTATAAATCTTAAACGTGTCTATGGAATAAAAAATTTGAATATTATGAAATAAAAAAAAAATACGTACATGAAAAACAAGAGTATGTGCGCGCGAAAAAGTAAACGCAATAAATTAAACGCGTTAAAAACGAACGTACTACAGATCGCGCGTTAAAGAACGTGTCAAGTAAAAGCAGCTAATGTCAGAATAGAACTGCATGTTATTGAACCGCGCCTAGTCACAGTCCGTCATGTCCGCACAGAAATTAAATTAAAATCTGGTACATTACTATGGTTTATAGTAACGGTTCATTCTGGCTTCGCAAGGATGAACATTTCCGCAGCATATGTGATGAAAGACATTTTATGGCTGGTTTACACTTTGGGTTACTTTAGTAGGATCTAATAGGGATCCCTAATTTATTTCTAGTAATAAATCTAGAGAATGGTATTAAGAGATATGTAGTATTCTAACAATGAAAGAATCTTTGAAATCTGTCCCTTAGTTTTTCAGCTTATTGGTTACAAATTGGTCTGTAGTATCTACAGAGATTAGTTAGATTACAGTTTAAAAATTACGTTAAACCTCCACTTACGTCTGATATTTCCTATTGTAAATGTCATCTGTTCTCTGCGGAGTCATAGACCTCTCTTTTTCTTTGGTGTTTGGCACGTCAACCTGAGCCTCCTCAATCTCCCACTCGCTGGACAGTTCCAGCCCACTGCTGGTAGGGACACAGAACCCGAAACGAGGGTACCACGTACGGGCATTCGGGAATGGAAAATCTGCAATCCTGTTCAACATATTATATTATAGTAAGATTTTTTACACTACGATGATACCGTTACCGTTACTTATGGACGCCTGATCAACAGTAGATTCTCGTATGAAATAATTTTCAAATTCAAAATATTTTTCTTCATTTATGTAGATTTGGACTGTAGCTTTATCCAAGAACTAACAAGAACATTGTTATTTCAAGTTCTCAGAACAGACTAATATAATACGATGTAATAAATACAAATGTTTGTATTGCGCACCAAACCCGCAATCATCGCAAGTATAGCAGTGTATGAACGGCTATACACGACAGATTTAAAGATTGATTGTTTAAGATCTGATTATAAAATTCGAGACTCACTGATCACACCCGTAAACTCGGTCGACGAGGCTCATTTTGCACATTTCAAGTTCTTCATAGACAATGGAGCGGTCCTTCACACATGAGCACAGACGTGGGTTTTCTGTGTACCAGATCTTCGGGACACTAAGTGTCTCTCTGAGAACAAACATGATATATACATTTATTTATATATTATATATAAATATTATACATTATAAATTCGAAAGTGGGTCTATCTATTTATTTGTTACCTTTACACGACTAAACGGCTGATCGGATATGAAAGACATATTGTATGAAAATTGATTTTTCTTCTTCTCTCTCGAAGACAAACATAGGCTATCTTTTATCTATAAAAAGCAGACTAAGTCACAGGTAACAGCTAGGAATTTAAGAATTAACATACTGTAAAAACAGTTTCATAAAAAATAGCCAATGTCCGTCCTGGTAATACAGTCCAACTTTCCGTCCGATAAAATGTGAGATTATTTGTGATTCCGGTGACATATGAAGGAAAATATTTTTAATGAATATAATACTCACTTGTAACATTTATTTTTATCATGCCGGAACAGTAAAGGCTGACAAATTTTCAACACAAAGCTCCAAGTCTCCAAAGAATCCACAGTAAACTTCGACATCTTATCTGCCATAACATCCAAATCTTTTTCTACAGACAACCGGTAGCTATCAGATCTGTAACTATCCCTTGACCTGTACCCACTCTCGACAGACTTATAACCGCTCTCAGATGATCTATAACCATCTGAGTAATGACTCTGTTGACTAGTCAAATCCCTCATTTTCTCGTCCAGTTCTGGAGTCACAGATCCATGACTCGGATCTTCTTGTACATCACTCCTAGGTGGAGAAATATCGTATTCTACTAGACCTTTATCTTGACTCACGTCACTTAACTCTTCCTGTTTTATTTCATTTATAATCGACTCCAAAAACTCATCATTATTGTCAATTGACACATCTTTAGACAGATCATCATAATCTCCTTTTAAAACCGGAGATTCATACTTTGAATCTTTCTTAATAACTGGTTTATTATATTCTTCATTAGTATCTAACATTTCATCATCATTTAGGTCAATTTCGAATTTTAATGAATCGTTAACTGGCTTAAGTTTTTCCATTTTAACAGGGTTGATCAATGGGCTATCAGTGTGTGTCACTTTATCACAATCCTTTACGAGCTTTGATTCTTTTGTTTGTTCGCTTGCCGTTCTGCTTTTATTATCTATTGCTAATTTCATAGCCTTGTCTATTACTTTAGGGCTAGAACTATTTGTCTTATCTTCCGTGTCCAGGGACCAACTGTCGCAAACCAAATAATCGTTTAAGTTCACATTCGTTTCTTTTATTTCTTTATCAATCTTTTCTACCCTCTTAATTTCTTCTTTTCTTACATCTCTATCCTTATTTGTATCTTTTTCCTTACTTTTATATTTATATTTATCATCCTTATATCTACTTCTATCATCCTTATATCTGTCTCTTTCATCCTTATACCTATCTCTATCATCCTTCCTGAAATCGGAATGTCGTCTATTATCATACTTACTACTTTTTCTCATATCTCTCCTATCTACTATATTTTGACGATGGTCATCTAGTTTCTGTTCTGATTCTGGGTTTTCTTTTTTACGTTGGAAGGGATTATCATAGTCCGGTAAAAACTTTTGGATATCAAATTTAAAATTCTTTCCCTCTGCCCTAGCTTTTTTAGCTTCACGGATTAATTCATCTACTTTGGCTGGATCTGAAATGTGTATTAAGAAAACTTAATTTAAACAAATACAATGAGAATATGGTACTTTTAAACTAGGCATAATATAGGGTCGATTCTAGATGTTATTAATATTAATCACAGAAATGTTTATTGTTTTTTATCCACCCATATACCTGCCTAATTTAAAAGAGTATTTTTACTATATAAATAAATTACTATAACTTATTACAACTGTTAACTTAGATTAATTCTATCTAACTATAATACTTACAGCTAAAACTTTCTACTAGAGTTAACTAAAATATAAAAATTAGTTTTAAAGAACTTGTTCTATATAATCTAACTATCTATATATAAATCTATAGTACAATTATCTAATTTCTGGCATATGTTAAAATAAATATAATACAATCAGCAAAATAAATATTATTTGTTTATTATATGCCAAATATTTAATCTTGAATGAACATATAAATGTAGAATTCGTCACACTCCAAGGGTAAGTAAAGCAAACTACATTTATATTGCTGACTGTACAATAAAAGCAAATATAAATACACAACTACAAGGAAAAACTATAACGTCGGTCTCCGACTCACTAGCCATGTCAGTGTCGACACGAGGGATGGGTATCGGGTTCGAGCGATGAGGGTGTAGTGAGGGCCACGAGCGGTAGCTACGTACTGTAGTCGCAAGAGACAAGCAAACATAAACTTAAGCGCTGTTCACACGTATTCGAGTTAAGGGCCCATGTTTGGCCCGATAGTGTTAGTCAAGGACTAATATTCATATTGATTCCCGACTCTTTTTGAAATAAAAATCAAATAATATTTAAGCACAATAAATACTATTTTTGAAATCTAATATAATCTAATAAGACGTAAGAGACTACTCATTGGTTATTGGTGTGTGATAAAGTGAAAACATTAGCCACTTTTTTCATAAAGACTTCAAATATCTTTAACGTTGCGTGTCAACGAATCAAGAATGTGGAGAATTAGATACACAGTTCCATGCTTTATTGTTGCTTGGTGAGGGGTGGTGACAAATAAAACCCCCAACAACATGGATTAAATGTTACTTAAACACTGATTTATTTATAAATGATGAAGTAAAATTCATGCGTTGGCAAAAAGAGGGATTAGTGCGATTACCCATAAGTCTATTAATCCTATTTTATATTTCGAGCAGTTGTGTCCTTTTCTTTAAAACTGTTTCCCGGATTTGAAAGAAAATGACAAAACATTGGAATAATTAAAAATTGCAAATGTGTTTTTAAATTTGCAATAGTTTTTTAACCCGAAAACCGAATGGGTATGAATAGTACTTAAAGCAAAAATATGCAGCGATTATGAACCCCGTGTATATTATTTATAATAAAAATATGATATTACACAGGTTGTCACAAAAAATTATGTCAAGCTGGATAAGCTGAAAAATCAGTATCATAATAATTCTAAAAAGTTATTTGTGGCCCTAAATGCTTACTTAATACGGTTTACTGTTTATATGGAATATTATTTATTTCTTATGAAGTATGATAAAACAATTATACTGAAAATAAGTTAGAAATGAAAAACACTAGTGTCTCTATTGTGTGCATTAAACGTAAAACATGCATCAACACGTAAATAAAATAAAGGAATTTTTAATGCAACATAAAATTACGAAAATAAAGTTTATAAAATATGCATGTAAAACGTGAAAAAAAGCATTCGAGAGCCCATTTAGAGAGAACTAGCAAGTATCGCCTTCATAAAATCTCAATGTTTCACAACATTGCAATTGCAATAGCAACAGTGCACTACACTACACTGCAACTCGCTATTAACTTTTTACAATTTAAATAATATATATTATGTAAAAAATGACGCGTGCTATATTCGAAAACCGTAATCTGACACCATGACTTATATAAAAATGTTTAATATTCATAATATGTTTAAAAAATATTAATAGCTAATTTGGACACATACCTAAGAAAGATTTGATTGGTGGCATAGCTTTACTAGGCATTCCCTTCTCGCTTGTGGGCGTAGGACATATGAGACCTAGTGGTATCCCCAGATCAACCAGTTCCATCTTACGCTTCATATCCTCTATTTCTGCTATATTCTTCTTCTGTAGTTCTAGATATGAGGTATCTGCGGAACAAATTACCAACAAAAAGATAAAATTTAATTTACAGTTGACTATCAACTTCCGTTATTTAAAAAAAAAGTATTTTATATATCTATGCTTTTTTTTGGGACTATCCTAACACTTTTGGTCCTGACTGGTCCTTCAATAGAAGGAAATGGGTATGAGTACAGAATGCACTCCAAACCCGCGAAAAGCCAAGAGTGGCTGTATGATGCCTTCCTACCTGCCTGACAGATACGGGTATAAACTGTGAGTACCGCTAAAGGTTAGAAGGTGAGGGTTAGGACCTCTAGTCAAAGGGAGAGAGATTGTGTGATCGTTAATTTCTGTTGAATTTACCACGATGGCTTAACTGACCTGAATTCATGCTCATCCTATCATCTTCCACTATTGCCTACCAACATATAGATTTAGCGCAAGATATGCCCCATTCCATAATCATCTATTAAAAAAGGACCTCGGCTCAGATCTTTGTACTCTAAATACTCGTTGAAATCTGATAGAAGATCAATAAGGCCGTACGCGAGTGATATTAACTTACCATAATAAGTTCCAGGTCTGGGCGGTTTTGGTGGTTTCTTAACATCTGGATCTGGTTCCGGTTTTGGAGTCACCTTCGCACTGCTCAGTTTCCCTATTAACACTGTGGTGTCTGAAGAATAATAGGCGATTAAAATTTCACTTGCATTGTTATAGTTGTTTGTAATAAATTAATTGGTGATTTAATGAGAAATAAGATGCAGTAAGACGCGTTGGAATATTTATTTGATAATAATGAAACAATTTTTATTATATAAATTCATAAAATAAAATAATTATCGATTTAAAAAATGTTTCAACGTGTAAATATGTGTTTATTTTTTTTTATTTAGAAAATGATTGTTAGTTTAGTTACTCACACTAGTGAGATAGAATAATTACCCTTTACATTACCTTTTACATTTTTCAATTATATTCAGTAGTTGCTGTTGCAGGTTAGTTCTTATTTTATTGTATTCATTATATTAGTCTTTGCATACATATTATTTGAATATAGTGAATACATACATCTTAAAACATGCTATCAAACAAGATGCCAATAGGGGATCGGGATTGTACCATGCATGGAATTAAATTAAAGCTTCATAATAAGAATCACAGAATAAGCATCATCCAGAGTAATACGCAGGGTTAGTCATAAAGGATATAACCCAGATAGAGTATTCACAAAACTGAACCATTACAACTAAGAAATAAAGTACAAAATCGAAAAGGATCTTTAGTATTTCATAGGACCTGTGCTGTTATGGTCAATTTAGTATAAATAGTTTAAAATGTATTTTCAGATTTTGACTTTGTTGCTTGATTAATAGTGTTCAGATTCACGAGCGTACTACCTGGCTTTCCTCTTATACACAATTATTATTATTAACAATTTTTTTTACCTTTTTATATTTTATAAGAGATGTAATAATTCATGTTGGACAAAAATAATAAATAATAAAACAGAAAACGATTGGACACGAGAATTATATGCGAAAAAATTTAGAGTCCTTGCATTGGGTTACTCACCCTTTGTACTAGTAAATTACCTAGTTTTAATTATAATATTCACTCTCTCTCTTACTTTAAGTTAATTATATTATTGTTTTTATTTAATACTACCATTAAACCAACCAAACAATAGAGTTTGTTCTAAAATTTATATAAGTATGCTTGAACTTCCATGATTGAGACTGACTAGGATTAAAAGCACCCTATGATTATCTATATACCAAACCATTTAGATGTAAAATTTCTTGACTATTAGTTGAGCCGTACGTGCCCACAAATTGAATTACATGTAATATGTAGTGTTAGTAAGGATTATATTTGATTGAGAAGCACTTGGGATGAATAAGGAATAATGTAAATTGGATGTGGTGGGATGAATAAAATACATATAAATAAACATACTCCCGGCGGTGACAGTTTTCGGAACTGCAACAGGTACAATTGCGGCCTTCTCTTTTTTCTGAATCGAAAACGCACGTAGCTTCTTTTTTGCATTTAGTATGGGCTTGCGACAGGAAACACTTGCCAATGGCGATGGTTTTAAACGTAACTTCACCGGATGAATGTTAGACTGAAACAATTTTTATGTTTAGGGCCGATCCATATATTACGCCACACCATTTTTTTGTAAGTTTACCCCTCCCCTCCCTCTTGTCACAGATTGTTTACATTTTAATAGTCATAAATAAGTAAATTTAGATAGATAGATAATTTTTTTTCTGTATCTTAGTACACACATAAAGGCTTAACTATAACATCACATAACAATTATAACAATCGATAAGGGTAAACCTGCATGTGTGTACTACTTGCTGTAGAACAAAACTGGTACATAGCTCAGTGTGGAGTATCACTCAAGGGGCAAAACACTGATTTTCAGCTATGTCCTAGATATTAACTTTCGTTTTTTAATACTAATATTGAAATATCACGTCACAAAATGTAAACTCCCTCCCAGAGGGACCTCTGTTGGATTTCACCATTTTTGTGACCTTTTTGTTATGTGACATGCAGTTTTTGACCTTTAACATGTGACGTAATTTATGGAGAGCGAGAAATGCCAATTGTAATCTATAGTCTTAAAAATTTCGTCTACGCACAGCCACTAAGTCTAGATAGTTAAAATTCCAAAAATAGTATATATTAATTAATTTTATAAAGTAAGCATCTGCTAAATATATCTCGGAAAATGGAAATAAACCGCGCCGTAATGTCACGGGAAACAGATAAAATTTAAACTCTCTCAGAAAACTTATTTATTATTTTCCTCATTTATATTGTATACTTATTACTTTAATTTTTTTTTTCTATTACATTGTGTTAAATTAAAGTTATGTACAATCTAGTATGCCAGAAAGAATAGCGTCTCTTTTATTATTATTACACTTAATTTTCTTTTTTTTTCTATTTGTATTCAAAAGTACTTAAGTTTTATTTTCATTCTTTATGTACACAACTGCAAATGTACCAAAAATGTTTACAGAATGTTGAAAAGAACTGGCTTTCGTGGCACAGACTCAGCAAGCTAGGGCTAACTATATTTAACTGAACCGTACATTTATGAATAAAGTTTATTATAATTATTTATTATGGTTCTGTCTCGATTATACAACACACCTAAAACTGTTTAACTGGAATTGCAAATAGGCCACCCAAAATACTATTGTGTATGCCAAGTTTCATTAACATTGGTTAAGCCATACAGTGCTAAATAATGAACAAACTTTCACATATTATAGCAGGAATATACATTAATATTTACTTACACACAATACAACAATAGACATTACAAAACTATTACTCTAAACTTTTTTCATTGTGTTAATTGTACACATTACATGAAGGTGATATTTATTCTGATAATATTATTAAAGAGATCCAATATTTCGATACTGTTACAAAATTATCTTTAATAATATTATTGTAGTAAACTAAGTATGTATGTACATTAAGTTCTTTCAGGGTTGATCACAATTGTACACATATACAAAGGAGATACTTTACATATGTGTACACTTGTGAACACCCAGAAAAATGTTTAAAATAGTAGTTTTAATGTTCATTGTGCTATATAGTAATAATATAATCATATGTATAATGTACAACCAAAAAGCAAAAATAACATAAGGGAGACACTTATTGCGCATGCTTCTACAAAATAGACTGAACTGTAAGTCCTTCATTTAGATCCATTACATACACAGATGAGAATAGCTACTTGTTTAGACATGCCATAGTCTGTATATAGTCATATCACTTCATATTATATGTTACAAGTGCACATAATCACACTTGCATCACTTAAAATAAATATAGTCATACTCTGGACTACTTGAATGACGAGTGTGCATGGCAATAGTTTTCATGTTCGGGATTTTCATTTAATGTTAGACATAGACACCTATATAAATACTTATGCATTGTAAATAAACTGGCTTTTAAAAAAAAAGTAATTCAATTGAGTTTCTTGCCAGTTCTTCTCAATTGGATCTATATACTGAACTGGACGGTAGGGAAAAAAATTATAATGTAAAAACTTGATGTTCATAAGCGGTTAAAATGTCTTACATGAAAAAAATATTTTTGAATTTGAAATCCATTAACCAAATAAAAAATTGTTGTTGAAAGTTTGGAACTGTGCAACCACTTTTTTGCATGTCTATTTGACCTGCTAAGCCAGTTCTTTTATATACCATAGTGGTGGGTTTGGAGTATTTAACTCAAGTCAAGGTAAATAATTACCCAGCTCATTGTTTTTATATGATTAACAAGAGATTACTTAGATGCAAATTACATTTTGATGTAGTCATAAGGGTGATACCAACCCTTATAGTGTTGTGATAATGGCACTGAGGTTGACTCTTTTTTAGTTTTTATTATTGAATCTGGGCTATTGTCAGATGTTTTAGACCTGTTGCAGTATGATCTACATAGATCTCTCCTGGTCACCCTTTTTCCAAAGTTTGCTATCGGGACCAATCAGGGAAAACAATTGAAGGATATTCTTAGGAGTGATGGTTTATATCTCTTCAGGATAGACATATAATTTTCAAAGGAGATATGTTGTTTATACATGAGTAGAGTACAACCAAATAAGATGTGTAGTGGCGTTTCCTCTTCAGCTTGGAAAAATCTGCAGATTTATAGGGTGATACTTACAGGTTTCCTCTTATACACTCATACCTAAATTGATCAATTAGGGCAATATTTATTATGCTTTTTTTTTTAAGAAAATGAATATATCTTTTCCATTGAACCTCTTTAGACATAACCAGATTGTATAATCTTACAGCACTACTTGATGAGGTACAACCAACAAAGTGTTAACTCATGTATTAGTTTTAACTCGGTCTTGTGACTGACTAAATTATCTTTAGATACGATTAAGAAATAGCAATAGAATATAGATGTAGTGAAGAGTCAGTGATCAAAAACACCTTCTTCTTTATTTTAAATGGCTGCTACCAATTTTAATTGGTGACTGCTTTGTCATGGTTTGAAGGACACAGTGTAGTTTTATACCTGTACTAGTTTTCAGAAAAGTTTAACAATTTTGTTTCATTCCAGTTTGCTCAGAAAAGTTTAACAATTTCGTTCAGGTTAGGTATATTATAATACAAAAACACCTAAATGAATATCAAATTTAATAAAAGTAAATTTAATGTTTTACAATAACATTAATGTAGAGTTCTATTTGTTTACTAAACATGTTCTCTATTTGTATCTCGCATTTGCAGCATCTTACGAAACTATATAACTAATTGCCTATTTATATTTGGAGGAAATGGCAACCAAGTAATCTGCCAACCAGACAGAAAGTGACAACAACTGCTTCCTCTACATACATGACCACCACAATAGACTGCATGTCGAGATATGACAACAGTGGTATTACTACTGTCTTACCAATCCTGAAGACTGAGATATCATGCCTCCGAACCCTGTAATTTGCTTGCCAAGAATCTTTACTTTCAAAACAACCCTCCAGACGACGGAAATAGGTAAACAGAGGTACCACCGCAAACGACGTTGTGCTAAATTTAAATCAGTAACTCGGAGTGTATATCAAAAAATATGATTAAATAGTAAGTTTCATGTACCTGAAGTCCTGAGACGCCAGGTTGCGCCGGTACCCCAGACCCCTGTGGAGTCACATTATCAGCTGAAGAATCCATTATTATTTATTACTATTATTTCTATATAATAGTAAAGTCACAAAAGATATAATAAAGAATAAAGGCGCATATTTTGTATTAATTAGTAAGATTCCTTAATGGACAAAAAGGGAACAAATAAATGAACACTAACAGAAACTAACAATTTATGACATTGACGTCACAGAGCAACAGATTCCTTGACATTTGATATTGAATTGACATACGTTGTAATTTTTTTGTATTTATTTAACGGGCTTGGAAGCTATAATATTAGTTTAAAGATAGATTTATATTTTTTATTTGCTAAATCCATTTTGAAGTATTTTTTAGAGAAAATATAGCAGTATGAAACCTTTGAAATTACAATAAAAGATTTTTTACTATTGTTTCATGTTTTACAAGTACGTGTCGACAGTTTCGGTGTTCCAGCGGTTTAGCATACTGCTTTGCTTCCAATGGTCACGGGTTCGATTCCTCGTAAGATGCAAACATTGTGTTAGTATTTGTCTGATTTCTATAATATATCATATATATATTTAGAAAAAGAAAATGTATTTCCATCAGTTGTCTAGAATCTTTCTACATAAACTCTGCAAAGCTGGGAAGTACAATATTTATAGATGACGGTGGATTATTATATTATGTATATATTATAAATAAAACAGATATTTATTTAAATAATAATATAAGACTTAAATTGTCATTCCTACTTTCTGGTAAAATAAATAAATGAATTTTTATAAGGATTTAAGAAAACGCGTACGACTTGAAATAATCAAAAATTATTTAATGAAATACTAACACATCATTTAATGGATTATAAATAAAGTATAGTATATTTATAACTTATTGATTTATTATAATTTTATATGTGAAATAAGCTACATAGTATACGGCGATTTTTGTATACATAAATAATTGTATGTACAAGTACCATAATTTAAATAAATTTATTAAACATATACGAGATTCACGACTGTTATCCCAGATGGGGTAGTTAGAAGGATTGTTAACTATTAACCACATGGTAATCTCAACCTTTAACAAAGCTGAGACTTCTCCAACTTTGAAGTATAGTATATTATCTATGGAAGGGGGTAATGTATAGATTTTATAAGGCCCCCGTTTAATGTGTGACGAAATTTACGGATAATCAGCTTTTCAGTTTTCTTGTTAGTTACTGTACTTATATATAACTTTTTGATTCGAAGAATTCATTTCTATCATGAGCTCAGAGAAATCGTCACTCAGCTTTACATTCATTAGTGATGCGTCTGTTGTGATATCTGAAACTAATAATTGCAACATAAGAATACTTATCATAAATAGAGAATTATTAAATACATTAGAACAATGATAAATTACTTTGTCATCTTATAAAACTGACAAGGTTGTTATATGTCTCCTTATCCATTCTTTTATATTTGACAAATGTAGATTTACTTTGTGTATTATGTGCATTAAAGTAATATATATAAAGAAACAACTTATAACAGAAATATTATATATTTAATACTTCTTGTATATTAGAAAACCTCATTTAGATTCCATAGTTCAAAATCGGTTTATCTGAAATTATTATCAAAAAAACTACATCCCTGACTAAAAAATCTGAATTGCTTTCCCCTGCCCCCTCTAGTCTAGGGGCCAGAAGAAAAACTTCCCCCTTCTCTTGTCTAGACATATTTAAACATTCTATCCCTGACTCAAAAGCTGGGTGGAGAATGAATGAAAAACAATACACTGTTATAATATTACAAACCATTCATAGGTGTTTCCAGTGACAGAGGTGTTTCGTTTTTAACATACACCACTTGTTCATTGACATCAGCAAAGACCATTTCAGGAATATCAACATGTGATTTGCTTTCTTCACATTGAACATCATCATCTTTACTTTTCTGTCTCTTACTTTGCTTATCGGTATCCTCTCCGCCTCTCTTTCTAGTTGTATTGCTATCTTTTCTCTTTTTTGCGTTCTTTTTCGACTTTGTATCTGGTTTTATATTCAGAACTCTAGTAACCTCCTTTCTAATTCTCTCTTTAGTGTCCTCTGATAGGTCAATGCCACTATCATAATGTTTTACATATTTTGTGATTGGTTCATCATCACTAGTGTCATTATCACTATTTGAGCCACTGGCCATATTAGATTTGGGGACAATATGTTTAGATTTAAAGAATTCTTGCCATTTCTTAACCAAATTGTCTGCTAGTCCCTGAAATTAAGATTATATTTGACAATAAAACCTCTGAAGTATTTTATTTGAGAACCTGAATGATGAAAGGAATTTGAACTTAAGAGTATGAATTTACATTGATCCAAATAATAATAATATCACAAGACAATTTACAAAGTGCCATCTAGTTCTAAGCTAAGCAGTACTTGTGTTATTGGCACTAGACAACTAACAAAAATCATTAGATACATTTTTTATAAAATTACTTTTTAAGAAATACATATATAATATACATACAAAAAACCGAAACAGATACAATCTGTCATACTCATGAATACTAATGCTTGTACTGTATTGAACCTGAAACCATTAGCAGAAAAGTGGCTAAACTGATAGATCACTGCGACCATCAACTTACATATTTCAGTGGTTTAGATATCCGCAACATGTAGTGTTCAGGATGTGTTTCTAGCATCTCACACTTGGAACACAAATCATAGTCAACACAAGTGACACACTTGTATCGGAACCCAAGAATCAAATTGCTGCAGCTATTACAGACTATATCTTGATGTACCTCTATATCATCTGAGTCATCTGCAATTGATCATTGTTTATTCAATGCACAATATAATTTATTTTTATTAAAAATAAAATATAATTTTTAATGACCATAGTATTAAATATTGTTATTATTTAAACTTTATGTTAAATGAAATAAAAATGCTTTATCAATTTCAAACATTCTTTCTGCTACAGAAAACTAGTTATAAGTGGCCAGTATTTTCTTTTTAAAAAATAATAAGATCGTGTACTTTCAATCTCATTATTTTTTAAAAAGAAAATACTGGCCTCTTTTTAGTTTTCTATATCTTAAATCACTACAGTAATACTTATTACTGTGACACTTAATTACTATTATTAGACATACAGCACTTTACCTTCATCTTTAGACCCTGGTAAACATTTATTGGGTACAGCATCTGAACTTAAAAGCTTGTTTTTTACACTTGAAGGGGGAAAATGGCGAGAGCAAAAGCGGTACGCTACTCGGTTTTGACTTTTCTCAATAAGATCCTCTCTGCCTGCTGCCTTGAGCCATGCCACTTGACTAAAAAAATATATACATATAATTTTTTATTTTATAAAGGTTTTTTTATATTATATATATTTTGTGAATATATATTTTTAAGTATGTATTTGGATATATATATTTCAATTTATTAAATCTACTTCCATTTAATATTTTTATTTCATGTTATTTACTTAAATGCACCACCCACTAATCTCTGTTTGCCCTAAGGTCGACTGGGAGAAAATACCTTATGGTGTCCACCACATGCACCTTTATTTTTGTGTTTGTGCATTAAAGATGTAATAAGTAAATAAATATTGTAGGGTATGGAATATAAGATAAAGTCCTCAAGAATAGTGAGGCAAAGATATAATGTATTTTGTAACATATATAGTGCTATTCATCTAACTGTTATCATTATCATGTTATTCAAATCATATAAATAAATCAATAATGCTTATTTCTGCAAATGAGCAAACAGAAAAAAAAAACAGTGAAATTACTGGCTTATTGGCCATCGAAGTTTATTTTGTGACAACAATGCATTATTTCATTAATTTAGCTTTACATGCACTGCTAGCTTATTTAATATTTTGCGAATGGTGTAAGAAAATGTACAAGAATTAATTAGGAACATAATTGCTCTTCGTTTTCAACTATAATGAGTAAGTAACTGTTCCTTACCGCTCTCTTTCCTTTGGTAAGCTGTAATATTTTAAATGCTTACTATGCCGGCTGTTACGTCCGCAACCAAATACGCAACAATAATTAACCATGATGATGATGATGAGATAATTCTTTTAATACAGTACTATATGTTGTGTTATTATTTATCTTATTGGTATTATTCTCTGTATTTTTAATTCATTTATATTATTATAATGAATACAAACTATAACACGGACACTTCTTATATTTATATAAGTACGATCTTAACTTATTACTAATGAAATTAAAGTGATAGTACTATTATAATGTAATGAATATTATTTGTAATTTTTCGTGTTTATGTAAGTTACTTTAATAAAAATATTATTAACAAACAATCTAAATTTTGTAATAAGTGAATGAAATGTTTATTATGAATGACTGAATGGATGGAATGTACGAAAGGTAATAACATGACAACTTATACCTTTTTTTTTATTACAAAGTTTTACGCTTCTGACAACACGTGCCAGATGTTTGGTATTTTTTTATTGATGATAATGGAATGGTGCACCCGCTTGTGCTGTTTACGCTGGCGGGTCACTAGTCGAGGATGGTAAGATAAGCATAGGGTCAAGTCAGTTAGCAGTAGTTAGCACATCGAAATATTCACCAGGAAATTATTAGGATGGTTTCAAGGAGGAATCGTATGGAAGTCAGTATGATATTGGTTTATTAGTCCACATTACTACCAATACTTATCAGCTAATCGATGTTATTCGTAACAATCTAAACGTCAATATTAAATTAGGTAAATCAACGATTAAAAAATCAGTCTTTGGCATAATATACTAAGCAGACTATAACACTAAGTACCATCAGTCTTTTGGTTAGGAAGCAGTAGGTTCTATTAAAAATTACTACAATATTTTTTGTGTATGAATGCACTGATATCATGGAGGATTTGGTTCTAAAGGGGACTATAAACTTCAACGCTAGAAGTAATAGTCCATCAACCAAGTCCTGTGAGGAACGAGTCTTCTTAAAAAGATTGAGTGCTACTATTATCATGCTGCTTGATAACTTGGCTAACTTTATTTCGATATTACTTCCGTTTGTATCATGTAGTTTGTCTCCTAAACGTCTACGGCATAAAGATAAGAAAAGTGGTAACAAATTATGGCTTACTATATCATCCCACGTAAATGACAAAGTTCATAGATCATTGTTAGTTACGAGAGATAAATTAAACAAGAACCTTCTAAATAGTGGTATATTTTCAAAAATATTGTATTACATGCGTATTTATTTACAAAATTATTAAAATAATAAAATTATAATTTTCAGTTTTACAAATGCCAATACTTACGTACGAAAATTATTATAAATAAAGAAATACATTCAAAGGCGATGCGGTTACTTACGAATAATATTTACAAAATAAGCAATAACTATGAGAAAACATTTTATAATGTTTTATCACTTTGTCAGTAACAAAATATCAATTTTGCGTAATTACTTCATATCTTTGTAACACAAATAACACGAGTTTTTTTATAGATTTGAATTTAAAATACTTATAAATGATGAGTTATACCAATACAAACTCACGTTTCTATTATTATTGTATTTTGTAAATTTTGTAGATTGTCAAAATTAAAAACTGAAACAAAATTTAATTTAATATTGATATGGATTATAGCGCTACATATAAAAAAAAAACCTTATTTTCTTATTAATTTTATAATAATATTGTCCATAATTCTATTATGCATTATTTTATATCATAAATATAAAACACATATTGTAAAAAATAAAGGCTGATAAGTTTCAGCTGATGCTACTATTATTATATTTATTACATAAATTACACTGTATTGTTAATATTCAATAATTTATTATGAGTAGTAAATCTGCCGGTTACACACAATGAAAATTGAAATAGCTTCAAAACAAATTCATAGAATTTATTTTGCATAGAAATCCCGATTATTGGTTTAAAATACTGAAACAATTTCAATACACTGATTGTGTTTTATGTGTTACAAGGTATGACGTGATGAAAATAAAAATATAACAAGTTATGTCCGATCCCCATATGAAAGAGATCGTCAGTCATGTAAGCGTTCTACTGCGAAAGCTACTGGATATTTGACACACCATTTTAGTTGAAACAACTAAATTAGTATGCCAAGGCTGGTAACATACAATAGGTTAATCATTAGTTTGCACGAATGCGACTAACATGTTCGGAACATTCAGTAGTTGGTATTTAGTAATCGCCTTTTCTGGGCAACCAGATGCGGCGATCAAAGCGATTAGACCAATCGACTGTATATTACCGGCCTAATACCGCATTTGTGCTTTTGTTATTGCAAAAAAAACGAACTGTGAAGTCATTTTTGTGGCGTAGAGTAAGGTACGCAAGTATAAAAATATTAGCATCACTTGTTGTTCATTTCTTTAAACAAAAACGGTTCACAGTACGTATCTAGAATTTTATTAGTGTCAAACCGGAATGAGTGAAATGTAATGTAACTTTGAAAATGTATTTAATATCTATAAATATGAAATTTAAAAATTTTCTAGATCTGTTCTTGATGACAATTACAAATTAGTCATTAATGTTATTTCTTTTTTAATTACATCTAAAAAACTTTTGTATATAAAGAGTGTATAGGTCAATGTCACGTCATAATATATTGCACTCATTTCGAATTACACTTAACGTCACAAAATTTGACCTAACCTAACTTAGTTTCGAATTTTTTTATAAAAAACATTGTAACATTCCTACATTAATCTTTATATTGTTACAAAAAGCTAAAATACATACGGAATCAGTCACTCCTAGGACTTGCATATGTATAAGCTTGATGATGTGATAAGTAAATGAAAAATGGGCATATGAAAAGTACAATAATATCTAAAACAGTTTCATCGTCATCATCATCATCGCAGCCCGGAAGACGTCCACTGCTGGACATAGGCTAAAAAAAACAGTTTAGTTTAAATATATCCTTGGAAACGAAGAGAAAGGAGTTCTGTAAGCGTGGACAAATTTGTATCTATATACAAATTTGTCCACGCTTCTATAAGTAATCTACAAATTTGTATACATTGTATAATCGATATATAGAGTCTATTACAAACATTCTGGTCAGACTCGGGATTATTTATGGGATATAAATAATATTATCATAGTAAATAACCCGCTTGTATACTGTGTACAATTGCTAACAACTGTAAAAATGAAAATAAAATGTGTGATTCCCCCATTTTTGTTATGGCAATGTATAAAGTTGATATTATCTATGACATTGGCGTTTGCGTTTACGGTTTACGCTCTCATTTAAAGAGACTGTTTTTCGCTTTTTTTTTATTTATAAACTAATTTGGTTTTGTTTGGATTAAATTAATGACCCCATTGAATATTATGCATTGTTATTTTAAGCAATATTTTTTTTACAAGTAAATAAAATGAAATCAGTTTGAGGTCAGGGCGGCTAACTACATATTATATGTCAGTATAATATCACTCCTATAATACTGGATTTTTTATTGCTTTCCAACTAAAAGACTTGGGCTATATAGATTAAAGAGAGATTCAAACAAAAATCATCTAAGTTAATGTTTCGGAATTATATGCAAGTCCCATTAACGCAAGCTTTATTTAGAGAGTACTGACTGGTAAATGCGTACTGTACTCTGCGTGCCTCATTACACTGTGCTGTTCAACATCTAATTTATTTATATTTTAAAAAACAATTGCAGAATGATTGTAGGACTTCAGAACAGCTACACCTGTATAAATAATTCTTTCTTTATCATGTAATTGTTAGAATAATGTTTATAGGAAAGAAAATATTTATAAAATCCTACGGAAAAGTGCAAACATTATGTAAAAAATATATATATAATTTGCCTTTTTTTTTCATAGCCGTATCGTATACGAAAATATAGTGTTCATATTACATTCTCGTTTTCTTCATTAGTGCGTCCATGCGAAGTCGGGGCGCGCAGCTAGTATACAAATATCAATATTTGTTAGTTTGTTTGTATTAATAATTGATAGGCAATTTAAATTTATTACTGATTCTAAAATTATAATTGTTTTCATAGATTAGAGACATAAAAAATACAATGAACAGCACAGTTTAGAAAAAAATGCATGACCCATCCATATTAGCATCATTAACATATTGTATATTTTGTTTAGCTCATACAAAATCTAATTACATAGCTTAATTAATAAATATACCTACGTAGACAGTCGTACATTGACAAGACAATACTGGTCTAGTCCTGTTCATACAAAAAACATACATTAACCAATAGTAAATATATCAAAAAAAGCGCGTTAAAGCGCTGTGCTTGTTGATAAAACGAAACTACGTCATGCATCTTATTACAACTTACGGAGTATTTACAATATGTATGCACGCACCTTTATTAAAAATTTGTGCTAACATTGGGGTATATTTTTCTTTTTTTTTTGGCCTTACTGATCTTTATGGTTCTTTTAAGAACCGCTCTAAACACCGATTCACATTCGTTAATCCCTAACATTACATTACAATAACTTAAATCGGTTACAAATGCACTATATGGCCATCTTTGTTCATTATTATCAAAATAAATAATTTAAAAAATTATATTTACTCCATGATATTTAACGTCTACACCTCTTTGGACACGATTTCTTTTGGTATTTACATTTGGATCGACTAAACTTGACGTTAAAGGCCATTCCACTTTTCGTTTCCACGAGCCGCCTTGTTAGTTTAACCTGCTTACTTATTATGAAAAATATTTATTTATTAAAATTACAAAAAATGTTGGTAAAATTATATAAATTCGGTTTACGAACGTTACTTTCCAGGCTTTCGATATGGCTGTTTCATCGTACACACAAAATTTCAGGCTTATTTTTCGACGATACACCACTATAATCAATGGTCAATTAATTTGCTGCTCATCCAATCATCCTCTACTGGGGCCAGTGTATACCGTTAATGCAAGGGTGCATTATGCCGTTTCTATCCTTAAAAAAACCGGCTTGTCATGTGCATTACATACATTCCGTCACCAACGCGGAGTATCAAGTTAAGTCGACCAAGAAGTATTCATACCAGACTATAATTATTTTAAAATCTTACTTAAAATATAGACAGAACTACCGCTAGGCTAGGACTTGCATAAGTAAGTCGAATGCAAACTTCACCTTTCTAAGGGATGATTCGAAAAACTTATACAAGTATTGAAGCATTGTATAAGAATTCTATTACATCATGCGATTAAAGAGGTCTACTCGCTCTCAGGACCCAAATATTGTTTCCTCAAATGAATGCAATGGAAAAAATATTATTACCCAAAAAATTAATCTAATCTAATTTCACATAAAGTGGTCATTTTACAAAACTTACTATACTGTATTACTCAAATTTTTTCGCACGATGTAATGAGATTACAGTTGTAGCAGAAACATGTTGAAAAGGCTAAGCGGATTTCCATACAACCTATCTATAAACTACGGTTATAAAAAACTTATACTCGAATATTCACTCATTTGTACATAAACGTCGAATAGATTAAATTAATTAATGAAGTTAACTGATATTCATTAACTTTATTAATTAACTAACAAATAATCTTAACGAGGTTCCAAATAATAGCGAACCGTTATAGGTTAAAAGCACTTACAAAGAAGAGTTTTTATTCAGTCACCTGTCTCTTTTACTTCACTATAATAGAACGAAGACAAAGCATCTATTACGAAATATATATACTTATCTACAAGTTTGAGATATCAGAATAAAGATCACATTATTATTGAGTATGGTACTATTAATGGGGGGTCAATTCTGAAAAATCATTCTCTATACCTATCCCTATACTTTATTATAATTATTATATTTGTTTGTGATAATTTTAGAGAATGGCAGTTTAATATTTATACTATCATAGTATGTTAATTGTTAGTTCCTAACAGTATACATAATCTAACGTAACTCTAAGTTTATTTAGATTAGAGAACAACATTTCAGATCCGATTTATATAAATAGATCCTAATTTAAAAAATAATATTATACTTGGGACAAAAATCCCCTTACATAATTGTCAAGATTAAAATACCTCTAAGAAGAAGAACGCTCGAAATTATATTTACTTTTTTAAAAATTAAGTAACGAATTTTAGAGCAAAGGAACATAATTTTAATACTTAATTTTTTTTATTACTATAAATTTGATTCATTAATAATTTCGTCATAGTACATTTTAGTACCAAACTCAATTAATACATTCAACTAGCAAAATAAATGCGTAGAAAAACACGTACAAAAACTAGACTTAACACTAGACTTGTGTGATATATTCGATAACATTAGCTTCAATCGGCGTCACGTTAAAACGCACACACTGACAAATCAAAATACTTTTTTTAATTAATCCCCGACACAAAAATACTCCAAAATCAAAATAACCAATATGCGTCTATCTTTATCGGAATTAACAAGATCTGATGACCTTGACATACCTGAACAGATTTCATAAATTGCAGCTAAAACAATTTCGATCCCGTCAGTTTTCATACAAAAACAACGTATCATAAACGGTTCTTTCGATTAGATACGTCAAACATAACACCTGTGTTTTTGTGTCGAGGTTTATAAAATCTCTCGAGACGTAGATAAAAGAATGAATCTTATACTATAAAAGTGCGTGGGCACTACTTAATACAATTTTGTTAAATTCAGTTTGGGACATGTTTCAAAATGTACATTACGTATGCATGTTGTTTAACCTAACTTAGGTTAAGCTTAACCAACTAACTGATTACAATTAATTGTAATAACTACACTTGGCTTTGTAAACAAGACAAATATAATGTATAGGGTGCTACCAAATTAGTTTCATTCCCTGCTACAGGCTGTAGGGTTCGTCATATATATTACGATAATAAAGAAATATCTATAAAAAAATATACCATACAAAATAAAATACTGTTTAATTGCATACCATGACCGATGCGTCAACAACCGTTATTTAATCACAAAACGGAATACTATAAATTGTATAAAAAAAATATTACACATAAACAATCATACTAATAAATGCAAATGTTTGCATCGTGTGAGGAATCGAACCCGCGACCATTAGAAGTAAGGCAGTGTGCTAAACCGTTAGACCACTGAGGCCGTCCGCTGTTTAGTAGCACCATATATATGTATATAAATAGCTAACACTATATGGCTATTTATATGGATGTTTCGTTCTTACTTGTATACAGTTTCATGTAGAGATGCGGAACTTATCATTACATATAATCATTGTTAGTGTGTGCATTAACTTATTTGAGCATTATAAGTTCGTACAAATAAATTGTACCTTTAAAATCATAGATACTACATAATTGTTTCTTTGTCATTCGGTAAAAAATACATTAAATTTTTTTGTTTTAGCGTTTGAAAAATATTTCCTTCAATATAATAATAATATGCTTTTGAAATGGTATTAGTACATATATTAGATTTTTATAAGTAACATCGTTTAATATGTTTAATTATTTGATGAATCCGAATGACAGAAACATAGTTTTCAAACAGTATTTACACCATCTACTGCTTTTATAAACAATGGTATATATAGGCCGATATATTACGACAGTTTTCCCATTTATTTCAATTCGATATCGATAGGCGATTACGCAGAATAATCGGAGTGTTGATGTTAATCGAATAGTTGTCAAGTAACTCATACGATTATGTACGAAAACTATAAGTTTACAATCGAATTAGTATTTCTCGAGTTAAAGCGATTCTAAAACGAAAAGAGATGGAACATACTCGATAATTGAGATAAACATTCGATTATTAAACCGATTTTTTTAAATTATTTTTCTATAATTAAATTCTAAAATCAAAAATGTAGAACGTATTCTATCTCAAGGGTTTTCGTATATGATTAAATATCTTGTAAACAGCTCTATTCTCTTGGAGTAATATGGACCCATCTCAATTAAGTATATTAATATGCATTACAGAAAACATAGAAGTGAAAATATCTATATTTTAATAAGTCGTCGTTGGAACTGACAAATAATCTTATCAGATTACAAGGTCAAACAGGCGGGTTCAAAATTAATTAAAATAAAGATATATACCTACTATAATTCTAAATAACCAGAAGGTCGAAGTCGGGGCGAGACGCTAGTATTTAATACAAATTTACTTTCATATTTACAATGAGCAAATAAATACCATTAAACGGTACAAGGTATTTTTACAAAAAAAAGAAATATATTTTTATATATTCCTAAACGTAGAAATATTTCATTCTAACGTCAAATAAATAGTAATTTCAAGCCAGTCTTGAGAATACTAATTCGAATTGCTATAAATTAGCAATCACTCTATACGTAATCGGGATAGATTAACAACAGTGAAACGATGTGGTCCATACCATTCCCGCGGTGCGATGGCCATTTAACTGTCTTCTAATAAGTTGTGAAGCTCCGCGTAGTTGAGTATGGCACGGTGTAAGAATTCATACTGTAACTGTGAATAGAAAACATTCATTGTGAGATACTTTATCTATACTAATATTCTATTTGTTATTTATATACTGAAAAAATGAAAAACTAATATGAGTCTGCTGTGAACCACACAATCTGGATGCTACGATGTATAAATGATAAGTCCGGGCTGCTTTCCGACTTTATTGAGTACACGATGATTGAGTGTGGACTGATGCTTGCTTGCGAGTACTTGGTGTACTGAAGGGAAAATGGTATGTGTGGGCGTTATATGGACGCAGAGCGGTGTAAAATGCTGATGGCTGTACAGCTACGATTAACAAGTTTATATTTGTGAGACAGCCAGTATTATATATAATAAATTTTGTTGGGTCACAGTATTAGAGTATTCGTTTCTAGATTACTATTGTCATTGTAATTTGTATAGTTGTTGTTTTAAATTTTTTTTAAGATTACTTTTATTGTTGTTATAATTATTATTACTATTAATGTATGAATTGTGTGCGTTTATTCCTTGGTGAGTGCACTGTAACACTCACAGAGAACATGTAACTTTATAAATAAATAAAAGGAAATATCTTTATTTTATACGCATAACATGCAATAAAAAAGAATATTTATTTATATATTATGTAGAATGTATATGTTTATAATATGTATTATTTTATATATTAATATTATTAATGCTTCTTCTACTCCATCATTCGCCATCCACCACCTTCTGTCTTTTCTCCTCTACCAAAAGTTGTCTGGAAGAGATCGCATAAGCGATAACCCTATGTACCCATATACTAAATATTGTTTTCTTTTGTATATATGTTTTTTTTTGTTATTATGGTGCAATAAAGAATAATAAATAAAAAAATATTAAATCAAATTTATAATGCTGGTTTGAGTCTAACTAAGTTGACATTAAATTTATATTCTCATCTGAAACAGCAGGGGTGTCACTCGTGCCGAGACTTAAGGAACCTAAACATGTGGTGGCGATTGTGGTGTGGGCGGTACTCACGAATGTGTTGACAGTGCGCGCGCGCTGCGAGCGCACCTTCCTGGCGACGCAGTTGACGTCGACGCGGCGCTCGACGCGCAGCTGCCGGATGAGCACGCACAGCGCCACGAACAGCGCCGACCGCTCCGTGCCCAGCCTGCAACACGCGCACGCTCACTTGTAGTGCTGTAGCACTCCACCACTCACACGCGGCACATTACACCATTATAAATCTCATCCGATTGAGTGTTAATATAGACCGGTGTTGGGGAGTATTATGGTTTTATCGGTTGGTTATTATGGTGATTGTAAAAAACTATGTAATTGTAGATAAATGAAAACAAATATCAACAATCAGTTTAACACAAGACTGCTTTCCGTTTCCTCTTCAACATGGCAAAATCTGCAGATTTGACATACTAATAAATAGAGTATACTGACTGGCACCTCTAATCGATCCTCTGTCCGATTCAAACGGGGATCGAAATTACGACGGCCCGTGCTGAGGTTCGAACCCCTAATGGTGCCGTCAGACTAAAGTAAATATCGGCAGGCAGAAATTTGCCTTCAACCGCTCCATAAGTCTGCGGATTTGGATGCCATCTGCAAACAACAGCATTAGAGTAATCCGAATTTAAAAAAATACTAACTGGCAGTGGACGAGCATGGGCGGGCGTTCGTCGGCGGGTGCGGCTGCATCAGCCAGCTCCGCCAGCCCGCGCGTCACCTCGGGGACGTGGCCGGGAGCCGTCGGCCAGCCCTGGTACTGCAGCTGGCGTACGCTTATCGTGTCACCGCTCTGGAAAAAGAAAAAAATAATTAACAACACAAAATATGAGTCCGTAGGCTACAAACTTAGATATTCACAATGGCCATATGACATAATACATTTACTGAAAAGTATATAGTTATAAAAAGTCAATTGTTTTATGTAATTTTTATTTGTTATTTTATTCTGTATATTAATTTTCAACTCGGTCCATTTCCGACTAACCCTTCCAGTAATGGTATATCCTAACCGATAGGATATTGAAACCTCCAAGAAAAGCGCTTATCCCTAATTAAAAGGCTGGCAACGCATTTCCAATTCCCCTGGTATTGCTCATAGGCGACGGTAAGTTCACCTACAGATGAGCCGGAAGCTCGTTTGTCCCTTGTGCCCTCTAATATGTTACCTTGGTGTTGGTGACTCGGAATTGTCGCCTTGTGTAGTACGGGCAGGACTCGCTGTCCTCGTACTGTACAGAGATGTGTTCGTACTGCGCGGTACCGTCGTCCCAGTACCGGGGACACTTGCCTTCGCCTATCTGCATTACAACACACATAATAATAATAACGCTAACGCCACGAAGCGTAAGAAACCACCAAAAGCTATAAAAATGAGACAATAATAAATAATACATCAGCCTCATATATCTTTTAAAGTTATCCACGCTTGGCAAAGGCTCGCATGTTTCAACGTATTACTGGATTAGTTTACCACCCAATTTAAAATATCACTAGTTCAATTCTCTATAAAAATATTTGAATTCATAAGAATGATTGTTTGTACTAATCTATCTATATATTATTAAGGGATTCACGTTTACGTTATCAATTTCTGTATTAACTTTAAAAACCCATTTCAAAACATTTTAGGTGCAGTTTGAAAACGAAAACAAATACACATATTCCACTATACAATAGCTCTGCTTATTATAAAAGATAATGTTTTAACATACCTCACTGAGCATAACAATAGTGGAGACATTATGCTCAGAAACCATTCGCCAGAAATCCATGATGGTGGCAGGCAGGGGATCCTGTGTGATGATGAATCCTTCCGAATTGTCGTACGCTGTTGATCAAACACAACCATAAATGAAGTCGGGTACACCATTAAATGAAAGATTTAGCACACCGCACACTTTACTTCCGATGGTCGCAGGTTGATTTTCCCGCATGATGCAAACAGTTGTATTCATGATTGATCGCATAGACCTGAGTTTTTACCCAAGTATATTACCAAAATGTATTTAAATATTTATGTCCGTTGTCTAGTACATAACACAAGCTCTGCTTAGCTTGGGACAAGATAGTACTGTATTTGTTCAGAGTTATTACTGCTTGATTTTCTATCATCATACAAATTTTCTTAATGTCCTGAACGAAATTTTACGGGTGTTGAAAGTTCTTTAAATACTTGGAGAAATCACTAAAATCATCGGGTTAGTGGTGTAGGGTATGTTAAGCTGAAAACTAGTGGAAAGAAACAATTCCTAACGATTTGTAGACATTTTATTAAGAACAATTTATAACTTATATGCGTAATATTATCGAATATAGTGAGTGAGACGGAAATACAAGCGCGTTCCTGCTCGCAGGTTATTAATATAACCGAGGCGCTCGCATTCCCCAAGTATGGTACTACCTCTTAGATAAGTTAGATACCGCTAGGATAAGTTAATTTAAATATATAGTAGTTTTAGAAACCCGTCCCAAGAGGTTGTTAACCTAGTTACCCGGGGGTTGTCCGCCTCCGAAGTCGATTCCGGGGCAAAGGGGCTCGCCCCGAGGTTCACCCCCCCCCCCCTCGCGTATTCTTGGTAGTTACCGCGCAGCTATACTGCGCGAATGTGATTGACGGCATTACATAATTTTAAGCAAGTGGTTATTAGGGTATTACACCATGAACTATAGTAACCAAATGTTTTTAATTCTATTTAATTTATTATTATATTTTCAAAACAATTGTACACCATCGAATTACTATTTTTACTATTTTATAATATATTAAATATGTATTTCTCTCTCGTCCTTTTTATTTTTTGTCAGTATTTTTATACTATACTGCCTATTCTCAGCTTTACTGGACGAAAACTGGATGCGGGAGTGACTACTTGGGTAAGGTTATAATCAGATTGAGTTAGAGATACCTTCAATGAATGACGCATTGATGTAGGTGGAGTAGTCGCGGCCGGGTATGGGCGCGAGTATGACGCGGTTGCGGTCGTAGGGGAGGCAGTCGGGGCTGCGGTTCCGGCTGCGGAGCTCCTCGGCCGCGCCCGCCGCGCACGACTTCAGCGGCTCCGCTATTGGACTATTTATCATTTTCTGTAAACACAATCACATCTCATTTATGACTACCTTCATCCGGCGCAGTCCTCTCCGTCCAAACATCCTATATCAATGTAAGATATGAAGGGGATTGTTAGTTATGTGGATTAATAATTCCATTACTAGCAATGTATGGTACATTGTTCATGGTCAAGTTCACCTCCACGCTATTCCCCTGAAGACCATCTTGATAATTTCTTGATAAGCTCCTGGTAAATTTGTTACAATGGCCTAACTGACCTGACCTCATACTCTTAATATAATCCTCCACTGATGCCCCGCCAGCGTAAACCGTTACCCCAGACAGGAGCAACATTATATTATATCAATTTAAAAAAAAGTACAACTAGGTGAATTTTACATTGAGAAGGCATACCTCGAATTCATGTTCCATGAGGCACTTGTCGGCGCCCTCAGGCGTGTTCCTCAGACGGTCGATGGTACTCTTGAGACGTGACGCGGGGATTTCCGTATCACCATATTGCGCGTATTCAACCAGCGCCCGGTATACGAACACGTACTGTTTCTGTTTACATAATAATAATTGTTGCTGACATTAGGTTGACCAGAACGCCCAGACCGATATAAACAGTCATGCATATGAATACGAATGTTTGTATCATGCGAGAGGTATAGTATGTATATATTTACAAAAAAATAATAATATCTAAGTACTTATAGTAGTAGTAGTACCCATAAGAGAAACTGCCCTATATACATATAATATGCATAGCTTTAGTATATTAGCACCGTGGAAGAGAGGCGGACGTTTTAATATTATTCATTTGTACCTTGCAAATATTCATAAATTGTTGTAGTCGTACCGAGAAGTTAGCTACAAAACCGTGACTGACCAGGGACTGCACGAGGAAGTTCCGCTGCCGGCGCAGCTCGGCGACGGTGTTGAAGACTGCGGCGGAGCCGGTGTCCCGCAGCTGGTCCAGCAGGCAGTCCAGCGCCACCAGCGTGCCCGTGCGGCCCACGCCCGCCGAGCAGTGCACCACCACCGCGCGGCCCACCATGCGCGACCACGCCTCGTTCATCCGCTGATGACCACACCGCACGTCAATTCGCCACTACGCTCACTTTCACCCCCCTACCGTCCTTGACTCGCAAGCGGATACACTAGTTCATATTAATCGATGCGATACGAAGACGCCTCATCACCTTACTTCACAGACCGTACTATATCCACTGGTGCCCCGGTGCCTGGTATACCGTTAACACTAAATCATATTTATACATTCAATTAAAAAGAGAGACACCACTGAGAGTACACACCGTTAAAGCATGCATGTACAGTAGTTCATATCTACTGGTGCCCTGACAGTGTATACCAGTTCATATTCATTAATTCAATAAAAAGACACCACATCTACTTACTATATAGATCACACTATAATTCTCCACTGTTGCCCTAACAGCGTATATTAATACAGGCGGGTACACTAGTTCATATTCATCCATTCAATAAAAAACACTCATAATCTGCCTAAGTTACAGACACTGGAGCCAAGTGGATCGCTAGAATCGAGGCTGCAGCCAAATAATGTATCTTTTTACCTATTATAATGCTATTGAACGGTTATACGACGGCTATCCCTTAACTTCAGGGGAGCTGTCAACTTGCCATTGTAATTTCATAAAAAAGAAAATTAGATACAATTTCATGGAAGAAAGGCCACGGGTGGACTTATCGAGCGGCTGAAGATCAACTTCTGTCTGATGGATATGAATTTAGTCTGAAGGCACCGCTATGGGTAAACTCCGATTATCCATTTGAATAGGACAGGAGATCGATTGGATTCAGTCGGGTTCTTGCAACTGTTTTGAGAAAAACCGAAGCTGAGGAGTATTGTGATAATGAGTTATATTATATAATATCTTCAGACTTCGGAGTTTAAAATATTATAAGACTATTTATATATGTCTATATACTCATATAGTATATAATCATTATATATACAAGATGACAAAACACACTCTTCAAATATATCAAACATATTTTGTTGGCAGACGATTTTTAGGTTGATTTTCTAGGTTTGCTGGAAGTAATCTCTTTTCACAAATTAGCTCGCCTTTGTACAAACATTTACCTTATTACTGTTGTTTTTCTAAGGATAACTTTTTTGCTATTGGCAAGTTTTAAGAGTTTTAGATATGGCTATGAAATTGCCCTGTAAACTGTGTATGGAGACAACTTAAATCTAAGGAATTGTGATGTAACAGACTCAATATATTTTTAATATCTATATTTATATATTCAGTCACAGTTCTCATTTGCATTCAGATTGTTTGCCATTCCAAAAACTGAAAAATTTGAGTCTGTATTTTATTCAGGCATATGAACGTTTCACGCGTCTATGCTCTTTTGAGACTTATAGTCCTGAGAATAAATTCTAAAATCCAGTTTCCGACCTTAATAAACTTAAGTATGGAGTGTGAATATTCGGGCGCTGCGAAATCCTTCCACATGAGGAAGTGGTACTGGCGCACGCAGCGAGAGTCAGCGTCTGAGGGTTTGGCATCCCGAGGGGGTGATGTACTATCGTCAGCATTCTCGCCGCCGCCACCGCAATCTAAGGACCAATGAACATACACCAGTGACTTTATATGAACTTGACTACATATATATAGATAGCCGCCCCGGCTTCGCACGGATATAGATATATTAAACATATAACCATTTTCTTGAATCACTATCTATTGCTAAAAACTGCATTAAAATCCGTTGCGTAGTTTAAAAGATATAAGCGAACAGACAGCGGAAGCCACTTAATTTTATACTATGTAAAGATAAATATATATTAACTAACTGTTACCAGCGACTTCATGTGCTTTATTGTAACAAAGAATACCTTACGTTCTTTTTTTTTCGGACTACTCTAATGCTGTTGACCGCAGCTGGCCTTTACAGCTGCACCGGACAATAGGAGACGAGTGCAGATGGCACTCCAAAACAGTGGAAGGACTTATGGAGCTGCTGAAGGGTACCGTTAGGGGTTCGATCCTGGGCTCAGACCGTCTTAATTTCGATTACCTTTTGATTTGGACGAGGGATCAATTGGAAGGGCCCTTACATCCTGGTGATATAACAATATTCATGTCAATAAAATCCGTTCTGCCCTTTAGATGTGAAATGGTAACAGACAGACAGACAAATTTTCGCATTATATATCTATATGGATAAAAATTGTTAGCAGATATATGTGATACAGAGGTACTAAGGCTGCCAACTATACAAGGTCTAATCGGTACCTTTTTGAGGTCTGTTACAGATGTATATATTATATTTCAATTCTTACCTCCATTCCTTTTAGCTATTCCGTTGTTTTCAACTATTGGCTGCCCATCAGCGTTGGTTGGTTGTTTTGTAATTCTGAGCTCTCTCACTATGTAATCTGAATACCTGAAATTAAACTTATGACTTACAACAAATTCTATAAACTGTATTCCTGGTTATAGTGCAGTAACAAAATAAATCATTCATTAATATTAATAATTAAACCACTAATTAATAAAAAATATTTTTCTTTGTATAATTTCTTAAATTCTACATTAATTTAACTTTTTTTGAGGGCTAATAAACATTCAATTTATTAATTGTATTTGATATTTTTTATTGTAAAACATTATTTGTATGATATATATTCCTATCTTCGTCTTAGTAACATACAAAAAGATACAGGTTTTTAAAATTACTTTTGTTTGTTATCAGCATTTAAGAAATAAAAATATATGTCAGATTGGAAACCTTATAGTTTACTTACTATGAAACTCTTAAACTTAAAAAAAACCAACCGTTTTTCTCCGATATGTTGCACGTTTATGTTGCCGAAGTTTCTGGTGCCTCGCTCCTCAGGCCAGTACTTGCTGCACTTAACCTTGGAATACTCCTCGAGATTGGTCAGCATCACGATCAGCTCTAGACCATGCTCCCATATCATACGCCAAAAGTCATTCACGGTGGTATCTGTAGGGCCTTGCGCGCATATAAATTTTTTGCTTTCCTGCATAACCAAAAAGAATAGCTTTAAACATTTTCACGGTTATTTATTATTGTACAAATTCAATATATGTCGTGACAATGACTTATGTCTTATAGAATGTATTTAATATGAACATATATGTATGATAATGGAGAGGACGGCTAAAAAAAGATGGATAGATGGTATGAAAGATGATATGTATGAAAAGAGAGTAAGTTCATATTCAATAGTGACAGGGATCAGTGGATCAGAAGATATAGGTTAATAATGGCATAAAGGCAATGTAATGATGATGACGAACGAATACAAAACTAAAATATCGGGACCTTATAAATACTATTATTATTTTATACCTACATATAATAAAAAGGTAATGGATACTATACTGGTCTGTCTGTACATAAAAGATATGAGAAAAACTATTATAGAGAGACTTTATCGAATCAACGATTGTTATAATTTGTATCTGTTTATCTGTGCAAATTTAAAAAAAGGTTAAAATAATGTATATATATTAATATCAATTTAAAAAACTAGCAATAGTATAAATAGTATTAAGTATAAAGGAAAATGTTCAAAATCGAATTTGAGGCATATACTACTTTAAAGCTAAGAACATTATGATTCAAACTTGAGTAGGGCAAATGAATTTAATTAATATCTAGTGTATGTATATACATATAGATATTTTTAGAAACGATTTCTCAATGACACATTTATATATGCGTTGTATTATGTATTTGTGCTTGAAATATCCAAAGATAATAAATAAAGCAGCTGATTCACTTTTTAACTTAGTCACTCAACAATATGCTTATCAAAGTATAATACAATGACACAATACCACAACTGTACACCGGGAAAACGTGCAGGATAATGTTTATAAATAGAAACAAAAGAGTTACATTTAACATATTACAGTGATTTACATGCTATACCTGATCAGGTTCCGAAGGGTCCTTAGCAAGCATAGGACATAGACAAATGTTAGACAATGACACAATAACAAACAGAACTAAGAACATATGTGAAAATAGACAAAGAACAGTCACAAAAACGCTTCCACAATTATAAGGTGAATATAAAAAAATCTGACTCTGTACATGATGAGTGAAACTGCACAAGAGAGATTACTACTAGTATTTCAAAAAAATGAAATCATGTATATAGACGACGGGTTGACTGTCAGGTTGGTTGATCATCAGGTAGACCTTTTGTCAATTAAGTTACATAAAACAAACACTCACCTTATATCCCATAACGTAATTGGCGTTAATGTAGTCCGATCCGGTGATGCTGTCGATCTGCGAGAGTTTCACTCGGGTCTGGTCGTAGGCCTTGATATCCGGGTATCGGTTCTTGGGCTGGTTCTCCCTTGCTTCCGACGCGTGGGTGGTCCGGTCCGGGAAACACTCTGGTAGCATCTGCAACAACTATATCGGTTTCGTGCCAATTATAGACAAATAAATCCTTGTTAATGTGTATTTATTTAGAACAATATTCATTTAAAAGAGTAACACGCAGGTTTCTTTCTCATTCTTCTTGTATTGAGTCTGCTTCCGAAAGAGTAGAATAAAAATAATAAATATGACATACAAGAGTTATATTATTTCTATTTCTGATATTTATTTATATAGTAATATAGATATTATTAACATAGTTTATGAATTTACCTCGAATTCCTTTTGGAATCCATAGTCAGAGTCGAGCTGGCGTTCGGCGTATGCAGCGGCGAGGTCCTCCTTGTCGATGGGCGGCATGTCCGGCGGCGCGGCCGTCACCAGCTGCTGTCGTCCGCCGATGTGCTCCACCACGTACCTGCACCGACCACCACTTATACACTATACGATCGGGTATGTGCCTCTATCAATCATCATTTATACACTGAACGGGCAGAGAACTTACACGGTATGGAGGGATGACATCTAGGATACACTATACTATTAGGGTATGGAGTATGACATTTTAGTCTAATGGCAACATATGAGATCACAGACGTTACATCATGACATAATAATAACGCTGGACGATTCAAACAGCAAACGCTGTCCATCCATCTAATTTTAAGCTAATCAGAGCTTGTGTTATGTGTACTAGACAAATGATGTAATATTTAGATATATTTTTTTGGATACACATTCATAATATCCACAGAAAACACCCAGTCTACCCCTACCCCCCAGTAATAAGCAATTATACTGATGAATACAAATATCTGTATGGTGCGAGGAATCTAACTTGTGGACATCAGAAGTAAGGCGGTGTCCACAAGTTAGATTCCTCGCACGCTTGTTGTGGGGTTTGGCCTATTGTCAGGTATTTGACCTTTTTGACCTGTAGCACTGCGTCCTACATACATTTATTGTTCTCGCCCCTTTTTAAATTTCACTACCTAGATACGACAAGGAGAATTGAAAGATATTCTTAGTAACGATGGTTTTTATCTCCTCAGGATGGAGTGTATACATTCTTAAAGGAAATATTTCGTTTATGCACTCATGGTTGTACATACTCGTGGTTGTAGTCCATTCAGGGCTACAATCACGTAGGATGTGTAGTGGCGTTTCCTCTTCAACTTGGCATACATACATGCATAACGTATATGGTACTGTTCATGAACATTAGCAACGGTTCTTTACTATCAGGTATTATACCACAAAAAAATGAGTGCGTGTAAATAGCGTACCTGTAGACGGCATGCAGCGGGTTGAGTTCTAGCGGCGCGTGCGGCGGCAGTTTGCGCGATCTTCGCGACTGAAGCACGCACCAGCCCACCGCCAGCACCAGCAGCAGGGCCGCCAGCACGCAGCTCACCTGATACATACACCGCGCGGTCAACACGCTATATATATATGACTATTAAACCTTGTGTGGGGTCATAGACGAGAGTTTACTTAAGTTTTCTGGAATAAAAATTGTTCTTATTTTTATATTTTTTTAAATGGATGATAATGGTATCGTGTACCCGCCGCTTAACGGTGTATGCGGTGGAAATTCATTGAATGAATAATATGAACTATTTAATCCATCGCTAACAATGTGGTTGACTTCCACGCTGTTTCCTCTGTAAACCATCGTTATAAAGTCCTGGTTAATTTCTCACGATGGGGTCACTGATCTGACATTTTATCATTTTCTACTATGGCCCGCCAACGTAAACCGTTAGCGCGGGATTGTCCACCTGTCCATAATCAACCATTATAAAAAGAAAACTAATTTTAGCATTAGCATTCTTAATTTATAGTATAAAAAAATATTTAAGCAATAGTTTTAAATATCTGGGGCACTGGGTGCAGGTGAAGGTAGTTTTTTCTGGCTACTGCAATTTGTTAGCAGTCAGTAGATCGTAATCGGCGGTATTTAGAATGACACACGTACACTTTAACGTAATGTCAGTACACGAAACATCGCATGCTAGTAGTGTCAGTTACATTTAACGCGCGCGGTTCTACGGACGCCTGAAATACCAGGGGTGACACCCCTGATGTTTCAGGCGTTCATAGACCCGAACTTTATACTATAGGCCGTATGCTACTGCACCTTTGTTGTATAAAAAAATGTAGTATACGGAGTAGCGGAGGGCACGCTGCAGGAGGGGCGCGGGGGCGGGCACCAGCACGTACTCGCTGTCCGCACGCTACTAGTATACAGACGGCCGTACCTGGAGGGCACGCTGCAGGAGGGGCGCGGGGGGAGCGGCGGGCGCGGGGGCGGGCACCAGCACGTGCACGTACTCGCTGTCCGCACGCTACTAGTATACAGACGGCCGTACCTGGAGGGCACGCTGCAGGAGGGGCGCGGGGGGAGCGGCGGGCGCGGGGGCGGGCACCAGCACGTGCACGTACTCGCTGTCCGCACGCTACTAGTATACAGACGGCCGTACCTGGAGGGCACGCTGCAGGAGGGGCGCGGGGGGAGCGACGGGCGCGGGGCGCGGGCACCAGCACGTGCACGTACTCGCTGTCCGCACGCTACTAGTATACAGACGGCCGTACCTGGAGGGCACGCTGCAGGAGGGGCGCGGGGGGAGCGACGGGCGCGGGGGCGGGCACCAGCACGTGCACGTACTCGCTGTCCGCACGCTACTAGTATACAGACGGCCGTACCTGGAGGGCACGCTGCAGGAGGGGCGCGGGGGGAGCGGCGGGCGCGGGGGGAGCGGCGGGCGCGGGGGCGGGCACCAGCACGTGCACGTACTCGCTGTCCGCACGCTACTAGTATACAGACGGCCGTACCTGGAGGGCACGCTGCAGGAGGGGCGCGGGGGGAGCGGCGGGCGCGGGGGCGGGCACCAGCACGTGCACGTACTCGCTGTCCGCACGCTACTAGTATACAGACGGCCGTACCTGGAGGGCACGCTGCAGGAGGGGCGCGGGGGGAGCGGCGGGCGCGGGGGCGGGCACCAGCACGTGCACGTACTCGCTGCACACCTCCGCATGCGCTACGCCCGCTGTTGACACATGATACCATGTTATACGACTACTTCAGATTATCTCGAGAGAGAAGTACATCCGACCAGAGGTACACTTTGTCTAAAATCATCTGCTTGTATCTCAATCATTTCTGCCGCTAAGCTGAGCTTGCGTCGTAAGCTGTATTTTGGTTTGAAGGGTGCGATATGGAAGTAAATTCAAAGAGTGGGGCCCCCTACAGAAACCATTACGGTTAATTACTGCCGAAAATCCCGCGAGGCTGAAACTGATTTTACTTTATTCTCATCACCCTCTATTGGTATTACGGCAGCGTTAACCTAACGAAAGGGGAAATAGCACCCCAAAATTGACTATATAAAACAAATACAAAGTATGGAGGCGTGTCTAGTTTTCACGACTGGCTAACGTTCCACAGATGGCAAGTGACATAATGGTCGTGTATCGGCCTACCTATAGGCCACTTTCCATCAAGTAGGCTGTTTATAATTCCACTTACATACAAAATTATCTCATTCAAAATACGTACATATAAGTTCCACAAAGAGTGTATAATTCGATGCCGAGTCGAGAGGCCCGTCCTTGACTCTAATATCCGTATCTGGAGGCTGCACCTCATGAGTAATCTTATCCGACATTATGTTGTCCTTGCTATAATCACTGGAATACAATCATTAAAGCATTAAAATTTATTTTTCACTAGCTATTCAGTCAATTCAGAAAAGGCAGTAATAGTAGTATGCAATAATTTCAGTATATAAAAAAATATATCTTAACAACCCTTAGCCCTGATGGGCAGTCAGAAGCACTGTCAACTGTCGACGTAGTGGTGAACGCAACACTTGACATGCTTCTAATTAACAGTGCCCGCAATATCTGTCAGAAATCTCTAAATATTTGTTTCTCGTAAATACTTAAATTATACATACATAAGATATCACCCATATCAATTGAAATATTAGTAATCTTGAATGTTCCCATATAAACTCTATTCATTACAGGATGGTGCCTCGTTTAGAGGCAAAACACATGTAGCAAAATGGGTGTAGAATAGCGCTCAGAATTTGATCACTAATGGGGAAAGTCATAACGCTTCCAGTAGCGGTGGTCAGGTGTGCGCCTTGAATATTTGTAGTCTCACACATGCTACTAAATTCATTAAGTAACAAATGTTGCTATCATTCGAGAATTGAAATCGCTACTATTACAATGAACGCAGTGCGCTAACCACTAAAAGCGTACGATAATAGCATGTACTTACACATCAATCTGCCTTCTCCTTCTAGCCGGAGTCGCCTGCGTGGTGATTTCGTCGTCATCCAGCAGCGGGTCACTGGTGGTGGTGGGGACAGTGGTGGTGACCGTCGTGGAGGTCGTGGTCGCGTCGTGCCGCGTGGGTTTCTCCCGACACCGGCGACATAGATCGTTCGCGAGCGAGGGGTGCCCTCTGTCATCTATTGAACGGTCATCGCCCATCACCAGTTCAGAGTCTTTTGGGAAATTGTCACTGTTAGCAGTAAAGAAAATCAAGATGTGATGATAAAAATATATATTGGATTATTTAATTTAGTGTAAAAAAGTAGGGTATAACAAACGAATGAAGACTTTCAAATTATATTTCTTACGAACTTTCTGTATTTGGCAAAACATACGGAAAACAAAATTTTAAGTATTTACTAAAAATTATTACACTATACCGTGTATTTAAGCCATAATTAACGTACACATGCATATTAACACATATACCCATAAATACAAACTAGCACATTAAACTACCACTAGCTACCCGCCCTGTCTTCGCACAGGAATGTATTATACATAAAACCTAATAGAATCACTCAATATATTACTTAAAAATTGCATTAAAATCCGTTGTAGTTTAAAATCTAAGCGAATAGACAACGGAAGCAACTTCATTTTATACTACGTAAAGATTATAATTTTGTTTATCAGTTTGTCAACAAGTTTTGTAATAATAGTCATTTGTTTAGTTTAAGTTTCGGAACTGTTTGGTTTTTACTATTAAAAATTGTTGCACTTGATTATCTAAACATATTAAAGTAAGTATTATATTGTTCTTAACACGAAACATTTTATGAGAAATAAAAGATATTTACCTCGCTCGAAGTTTAATTCAACGACAATATAAATAATGCAATAGATATGAAAGTAAAAAAATGACTATCTATACAATATATGTATATAACTGTTTTGAGGCACAATAAATAAAAAATCCTAGGACCAGGAGAAGTCTATGAAATAAACATGATTTCATTTACGTCACTCACTTGGAAATGATATCCGTGATGTAAGCACCGACTACTGGCTTTACTGCGTGCGCCTCCTCGTACTGGATGATGTTTATATCGGCGGGCCGAGGAATGTTCCTCCAGTCCATATTCGGTAGTAAACGGACCATATACACCCTGAGAACGAGAAGGATATAAATTTTTAACAAAGTCACCTGCATAGTTATTTCTATCCTGACGGCCTCGGTGGTTTAGAGGTTTAGCACACCGCTTTATTTACGATGGTCGCGGGTTCAATTCTTCACACGGTACAAACATTTGTATTCATGAGTATGATTGTTTTTATCGGTCTGGACGTTTTTGTATATTATGTATGTATTTACAAAAGAAAGTATATATGTATTTATATCAGTTAGTCAGTTATTAATATGTACAAAAAAATGTATTTAAATATTTATGTCCGTTGTCTAGTCCCCATAACACAAGCTCTGCATAGCTTGGGACTAGATGACGCTGTGTAGCAATTAGCTTGGGTTATTTATTTAATTGCTTATTATTGCAGTCTGCATTGAATTAACACATATTTATTCTACTTATAATTGACTTTGGTTACCTGTAACAGCAAATAGGTCCATTTCTTTCTGTGATTCTTGGCAAAAACATCTTAAAATAGTATTTATTGTTCTCAGCGTCGTGAATCTGAAAGAAAGGCGATAAAATTTAGATGTGAATAGTATAGTAATTAATTATAGACACTCTTGACTAATAAAAAAAATATTATGTATATAATTATATACTAGCTGTAACCGCGTCTTCGCGTAATTAATGAAAAAATATTTAATGTCTTAACCCAATAAAAGCCAAATAAAAAAGTTTTATCGATTTGGCTTCAAAAATAACGATACATAATTCCATACAATTCTATCGACAGCCTAAAAAATAAGTTTCAAGCATCTAGCTTTAATAATGACGACACTTCTATACAATCTTTCATCTTTATTTAAAACCGTTTCTTTAATTATATTTAATCAGTAGACTAAAAAATAAATTTCAAGCTACTAGCTTTAAAAATGGCGATACATCCATACAACCCTTTTCACATTAAGAAGTAACGTATGTCCTTTCTCAGGGACTCCTTTCTAGACTATCTGTATACCAAATTTCATTTAAATCGGTTCAGTAGTTTTGACGTGAAAGCGGGACAGACAGAGTTACTTTCGCATTTATAATATTATAAGTAAAATAAGCAAGGATTATGTCAACATAATAAATGTTTTTTTAGTGTGGGTCACCTTTATTACTTAGAAGTATAAGAAATAGACAACAACTTATTCTCAGACCTACCGAGTATACATATAAAATTGCATCAAAATCTATACAGTAGTTTAAGATTGCATTGCGGATAAACAACGTCACATGAATTTATTATATATTAAGATACTATTTTTATCTACTTTTTTTTGTTCTATGGGGAAAATAAACTATTACTAAATGTATCGATTACAATTTAGTAATAGTTTATTTTCCCCATAGAACAAAAAAAGTAGATAAAAATAGTATGCGCGCGAAACCAGCATGCCAATACTACAGTACGGCGGCTCAGAGTTTGCGTTTCTGACAGGTTGGGATCGAATGAGCTATGTAACTTTGAACTGACGTACAATTTACGACAAAATTTTAAACATCTTTTATTTGCTTTGTATACACGTATTAATTTTGAGCTAAAAGTATTAACTATTAACTTATTAACAAATATAAAAACAATACTCTTTAAAAGTCAAACCACATCAAACTGCGGTGTATCAAGGTTATGCCAACTGTTTGTTTATGTAGTGATGTGACCAAATAATCGGGGGTGAGGGGTACCTTCCTCCAGCGGGGGCGGGGCGCCGCGTCCGGCAGCTCGGGCGCGGTGGTACAGTAACGAGTCTCCTGCTCCCCGCGACGGCGCATGCGTGTCATCGCACTTAACCGCACCGTGTAGTTCATATTGGGCTGCAGGTCGTCCAACCTGACACCGACCACGATCGTATTATTTTCACAAGCTTTTATTTAACTTGTAACGTATATATAATGCTGTGTAAATTGTTCTGTGTATTATTATAATAATAGCATTTACAAAAAAAACATCTAAGTATTTATTTCAGTTGTCTGGTAACTAATAACACAAACTTACCGTGGGATTAGATGGCGCTGTGTTATTTATTATTAATATTTTTCTTTTTATAAATGATAAAGGAATTGAAGACTCGCCTGCGCTAACGATTTACGCTGGCGGGGCACCAGTGAAGGATAATAAGATGAGTATGATGTCAGGTCAGTTAGCTCATTGTAAAACCCGTTAAACTATATTAATAGTGTGTACTAAAGGCGAAAGTTTAAAAATAAGTAATTAAACAGTATATTGTTTTATAACCTTTTGACGGTTGTTAACAATTGTACATAGTAGCGTTTACTTACATAACAATGTGTAAAAATATTGTTATAAATATTGAGACTTAATATGAGATTACATACCTAATACTTTGAGAATCATTAGGGGTGAATCTAGTTAAAGGTCCCCATATTGCTTCCTTTACAATGCCGTTGCGATCTTTGTAGGTTGCGTTGCCAGTTAGTTCCATCTAAAATAATATGTATCGATTTTTAATAAATTTACAACAAGGATTTTTATGCATCAGATATTAAAACATTACAGTTAATTTTAACTATTTGAATAATATTTTATTTTAATCCTTTACTATATTGCATAAAATAGAGTTTTATGCTAAAATAACGGCATTAGACGTCTTGTTAACTTGTAATATAATGTAAATTGGACTCTATTTTCCGCATTTCGCCTCTTAATTGGGCCGTTGTGCGTATAGAGCCAAAACTAGCTCCTGCCTCAAGGACAGAAGCTTCTCAGCGATGAAAAAAGATATGTTTTCTTACGGTGTATCCTTTAATTTCTGCATTTGGTTTTAGAGGTGCTTTCCATGTGAGTAACAATACACGACTATTATTGCAATCTATGTGTACATCACTCGGCTTTCCTGGTATACCGTCTAACGTCGCTGCCTCCTTCTCTTTAGACCACTGCCCGCAGGTCTTGGTGTAGTCAGAACATGCGCGAACCTGTTCGATGATCAGAAAATTATAACACTACCTTTACCAGCGGATTCTGATGATATTGATTTTTGGAGTTAACGGCCTTGGTAGACCAGTGGTTTAGCACACTATACTTTCGATGGTTGCGGGTTCGATTCCTCTCATACAATCATTTGTGTTTGACAGGGTGCTTTCTATGTATATTATGAATAAATAAAAAAAAGTATTTCTATCAGTTGTTTAGTACCCACAACACAACCTCTGATCGGAACTAAAAAGCGCTATGTAAATTGTATTTTATTCTTATTGGAGATAAAAGATAGCTGATGTTCGTCCTCGTGATATGATCTATCTTATAGTCAAATTTCATTCATTCAGTTACTTAGACATTAAAAGGCAACGAACACGTTTTCGCAATTCTTTTTTATATTTTATCTCTATACTTTTGTGACCCCGTAGGAGTGCCTTGAACTTGCCATACTACAGTAAGCACGCTAATAATACTCATCAAGGTATTCATTCAATAGTTGAAACTGGGACTTCATACCCGTGATATTCAGAATAACAATCGTTTATAACTTAAACTGAAGTGAAGCTTACCACAATACATTACTAACAATCGCGGCAAATTGGTAGATGTTTCTCAAATTAGCGTGGTTGAAGTAAAATTGGAGTATAGAGGCATAACACAATGTCACATGATGATAAAGATTTTATCTATCTATCTATCTACAAGATCACATGCGAGGCGTCGTAGGTTCGATCTATAAGTCCTTACACGGGTTTGGAGTGCCATCTGCACTCGCACCCTATCGTCCAGTGAAGCTATAAAGCATTATAGTCCGGAAAAAAAACGTAATGCAGTGCATGTATATACATCAACAACACCGCAACAGCATCTTACCTTCAGATGAATATAAGTGGCTCATCACTAGCAAAATCATCCAAGATGATTTAGCTTATTCTATCATCCTCCGCTAGTAAGCTAGCGTATACCCACCCTTAGCGCAGCAGGATGCACCATTCCTTATTCATAAAAAAGTACAACTAAAATTTCTTACCCGAAAAATGTATGTGCTGTATGGCTCTAAACTATCAAACATGTATGGAAGATTTCTATTGTCTCTGGAGTGGTATGCTTGACGAGGTGTAGTCTCTCCCTTTTTCTTAGCTTCTAGTATGTAGTAATGAATTAAATTTGCTATTTCTTCGGGCGGAGCCATAAGGCCTAGAGTAACAGAAGTAGCCGAAAAACCATTCACAGAAATTTCTGGAATAAACGTGGGCTCCTTGTCTAATGTTGTCACCGTACGATTATAAATGTCACTAGCTTTCCCCATACTAGTAGTCACTTCAAGTTTAAAATTATATGATGTAGATTTTTTTAGCTCGATGACAATGAATGATGTGTTTTTGACACCAATTTTTAGTGGGATGAGAGTAAAGCCATCAGTTTTGTTATTGGAGTTTACTTCTTTATTGTACAAATAATAACCGTCTACGTCCACGTTATATGAATTTACAGTCCAATTAATATACACCTGTGTTGTATTAATAGGTACAACACTATCAATTTTAATTTCTGGCTCTGCATAGACAAAAACATCCGTCTCACCAGTTACATTTTTTGCGGCGACTTTATCGAATATCTCACAGACGTAGGTGCCATTGGCTTTTTTATCTATGTGAAGTTTATATTCACTCCTTATTTGTTTTGTGTTAATACGTATTGGCATTCTGCCGCCTAAATCATCAAAATTGTCGCCTTTCTTCCACCATCGTACAGAAGGCATGTTGTATACTGTAATCGAATATATTTCATTTAAAATTAGTTGCAATTTAGCATCGCAACATTAAAATATAAAAACCTACTTGATAGAAAACATGTCATTAAAAACATATTAGCGTTATGGTAAATTATTTAAAAAAAACAGCCATGTAAAAATGTTTCAGTAGAATTATAAATTGTCTTTTAGCATATAATAGCCCAAATCTTAAGGAAGATAAGTAATAGGCAATAAAATATTGTGTTTTTAAGTATTAAAACCAGAAATTATTACATATTATGGAATATCGACCGCTACCCAAGTGGAATAATGTAGAAATAATAATAAACAATAATTACCTTCGAATATGCAAGAAAGATTTACTACAATACTGTGAACGAAATCTTTAGTCGCATTTTTTTTAATAGGTCCCTTTGTGTTATTAATCAGTTTTGCAGGGAACCTCATATCGAGTGTTATGACTTTAGTTATTGGTTCCCCATCTTCTACTTCAGCTATGCACGTGTAATTTCCGTCATCTTCTTGTGTGGCGTTGTCGATGGTCAGATTAGAGATTGTCAATGTAATAGGTGTGCCATAAACATCTTTATGTTGCAATGTTGTTACGTTCTGTTTTATTCTGTGGAGAAAGAATATTGCTACCGTGTATACGACACTCCTTACCTTTCGTTATTAATGTATATGTATTTCTTTATATATAGTCGTAAAAAAATTACAACAGAAAAATAGAAATTATATTACTTTGGCAGGTATACATGTATTTCTGAAGCCTAATGTAGTATTCGTCATAATGGTAACGAATACTGCATTAATACATTTTTACCTTGTGATTGTATTTCTAGTAATAGATGTATACTAGTGTTTCCCAACATTATCTAAAACATGACCGAACTTATCCTTTCTAAAATTCTTATAATGTAATCTTAAAAAATATACTTTTTCATTTTATTTTATTCTTAACAATTTGTATTGCATCATTATAATTTATTAATTAAATATCATAATATTTTAAAAATATATACTTATTAAAGAAAGACAAATATCAATTTATAACTAGGGATAATTAATACAAATGAGTTCATTGCACTCATTTCATGAAATCATTAACCAATTTCCACACAGTTTAAATTCATACTTATATACTAAACTATTCAAATTGGTACGAGACTTATTATACAATTGTACAATAATATGGACTGGTAATACCAACCGTTTATCTTCTGTTAAAGTCTTGTTTTTGAACTCCCATGTTATATTTGTTGTTTTGGATTCTACAATGCACGACAGGTTTGCTTGTCCACCGATTTCACCTTTTGGTGGTACATCAAGTTCTGATGCGTCCAGGCCTGAAAGTGTGAATTGTCCAGGGTTATTATTTATTATTGACATCTGTTATCAACGGAGTGACAACCAAGATCTATTTCTTTAATACATAGTCCTCATGGTTTTTTTATATTAAAGTGGATGTAACAAGAGAAGATGATCGAAGATAAGATATATGGATTATTGGAAAAAATATATGCTCATAAGATATAACGGCTGTGACAAATGAGGGTCAGTGGCCGACCTCAAGTAATGCGATAATGGCACTGCAATGACAATAGGCATAAGTTTTCACTATATATAATTCCTGTCTATTTTATAATGCCTATACTAATTTGACAACCTCGATGGTGGAGTGGTTTAGCACACCGCCTACCTAAGGCCGACCTAAGGTCGCAGGATTCCTCGCACGATACAAATATTTATATATTTATTTTGCGGAAAATGATTTGATCAAATTTGGGATGGTATATATAGGTATATAAATGAATTGTTATTCTTTTGTCTTGCTGGCTTTACAGATTTGAATAAAAAGGTTTTACAGAAAATAAAAGTAAAAGAATCCCTACTAGAATTCATCTGAGAAAGTCAAATTAAATAAAATTAAGTTTCATATGGAAAACGCTACTTTACATGTATTATAATAGATGGCGAAATTCTCTGCATTTTATACTACAATAATTTTAATAGAAGAGGGCACGCCTGTGCTAACGGTATACGGTGACGGAACACCAGTGGAGCATGATAGGATGAGTTTGAAGTCATGTCTGTTAGATTATCCTGTCAAATTTACCAAATATTAGCTTCGATTGTTCTAATGATTGTCTATGAAATGAAGCATGAAAGTCATATTACCCGCAATAAGGACACCAGTCCGCATTATTAACAGTCCCTTCCCCCTCTATTGAGCATTACATCAGGCTATATGTAGAAACAAACCTAACTGAAGTATCACAAAATGTGGTTTTAATTAATGTTTAAGGAAAAATTATTATGTTGATTTATATATTAAAAATATCAATGTATGTTATTTATTCATATTAGTACATCCGAGATAGGTACGTAACTCAGTCCCAATATATAAATATATACATCTTACACATAACAAAAACATATATTAACCATTTTAGATTAAATAATATAAAGGAAACTGGCTGTTTACCGCGACTTAGTCGGCGTAGAATTTAACTGATTAATTAAAATAAATAAATAACTAAAAATATAAAATAAAAGTTGCTTAAGTTACTGCCTTTATAGCAATAGCTATCTGTTGGTGAAAGTATCATCAAAATAAGTCCAGCCGTTCCAGAGATTAGCAAGAACAAACAGACAAACTGACAGACAAATTTATAAAAATTTATTCTAAAAAGTACCGTATGTACTTTCATATTCATTTAGTGAACAGCTATTAATTTGAATATCAATACATAGTAATGACCATAGACTTCATAAATTCACACAGCGTCATCTAGTCCCAAACAAAGCAGTGTTTGTATTAAGGGTGACCTGAAATACTTATATAATATATTTTTTATGACGGCCTGAGCCGAGGTCCAAACCCCTAGCGGTGCTCTCAAACTAAAGTCGTTTCCGTCAGACGGGAGTTGGCCTTCAGGCACTCCATAAGTACTTCCGTGGGTTCGGAGTGCCATCTACACTGGCCCATCATCCCGTGAAGCTGTAAAGGCCAGATTCAGCCAACAGCATTACAGTAGTAAAAAAACAGTTTAAACAATTATACTCATGAACACAAATGTTAGTACAGTATGAGGAATCTAAACTGCTAACTTTGTCAGCAAGCTGGTGTGCTAATGTGTTAAACCACCAAGATTGTGTCTAAGTGAACATTTGAACATAATATAATAGGGACAATACATGATGACAAACATGAAGCTTTGACTCATGTGATTGTGATATTTTATGTCTATTGTTTTATAAATTACAAGTAAAATAAACTATACCTATAATTTAACTGATAATTACTATGTTGATGGAGGGCATATAGGTCCTACATAGTATTATATAGTACTAGTAGTGACCACTGTTTCACCCGCCTGAAACTTGTAGCCTATATGTTATTCTTATGTATAAGCTATATTACTGTAATGTTTTATCAAATTCCATTCAGTAGTTTTTGCGTGAAAGAGTAACAAACATCCATTCATACTCACAAACTTTCAGGTTTCATCATTATCATTGCCTTGCCTTTATCCCATTATTTGGGGTCGGCGCAGTATGTCATTCTCTTCCACTGTTCCCTATCAGTCGTCATATCTAAACATACTCTTCTTTTATTCATATCATCTTTCACACAATCTATCCATCTTTTCTTAAGGTGTCCCCTCCCTTTACATCCATCCACATTCATATTATACACTTTCCATAAGACATGGTCCTCATTCCTTCGCATAACATGCCCATACCAGCTCAATCTGTTACCTCGCAACTTTTCTATAACCGGCGCAACTTTTAAACTTCCTTGTATATACACATTCTTTATTCTGTCATTCCTGGTAACCCCACACATCCATCAAACTTTCAGGTTTATAATATTAATTAATAATACGATAATAGTATCCACATAGTATTTTTTATTTTCTATATTCTAGTGATGACATGACACTATTTTGAGTCATATTGCCTGGCCAGATATGTGGTGGTGCGCTAGGTCTATGGGCTCCTTGGTTGAATGTAATGATGGCTGGATCATCTATTGTACTTGTGAATTGGTGTTGTTGTAAGAGCTGCTCTGTCTTAAAGAGTCTGATTTAAAGAGTAAGAGTTACTGAGTTAGATGTCTCAAAGTTATGTACAACAAACTTTATTCTGAACTGACTGATCCTCTCTGCATATATATATTATAAAACAAAGAAATATACTATTCATTTTCATATTATTTTATTCAAAACTGTAACAAATCTCATTACACAGTAGCATGTCAATAGTAATTACATTTTAAGATAATTATGTCACAATTAGAAATTTAACTATTCAAAATATATTAAATTATATACAAATATATAAACCTAAATAAAGGCCATGTAATTGATTTACATCATTTTACATTGCAATTGCAGATATTCAGTCACATTGTAAAAGGATATTGCTCGACATTTCATTTTAATATATTCTTAAATTCTATGGATGTTAATTCCATTGTTTTATTAGATAGTTTGTTGTACATTTTTATTTTTAAGTAAGTAAAGACCTTGTTTTATTGTTATTTTTAGCTTCAAATGTGTTACTTACATGTAACTTTACAATAATAGTGTTGTAACACTTAATTTATTGAAAAGCATGTAAAATTTATGTTAGGCCATTTATATTTTATTATATACATCAGTTATTATTGGGTGCCTTGGTGCCTTCTAGTTACATTAATGTACAGTAGGTATTAATTGGTGTAGCATTAGAGCTGAAAAATGGAGAAACCTTACCAAAGATGGCTTGGTATTTTCAAAATGTGGAGGAAATTATTTATAAGAGAAGAAGGAAGCACAAGAAGAAGAAGTAAAAGAAAACAACAATTGTTTGTTGATCATATGATATAGTAAAAACAGTTTACTACTAAATCACAGACATAGGTCATCTCTTTGCGTCTGGGACCTCAGGGGGCATGTAAAGTATACAAAACTAAAAGGGTAAGTGAAGACCCTTTTAGGTTTGTATACTTCAAATATTTTTGGAACATTTTGATAAGTCACTTATGAAGACATAGCTCTCAATTACCATATAAAGCACACAATTAGTGTGTGTGTTTTGCACTACTAAATCTTGATTTAGTTACATACCTTAAACAAACTACCATACACAAAACAAAAATTGTGGAACACTATATATTTTACTACTCCATTTATTAATAATAATAATAATAATAATAAGCCTTTCAAAGTCCAACCCCGCGTCCGAGCTGACCATCTAGCTCACATGAAAGGCGGTCACGCGTATATATAAAACCTACGCGGCCAAAGGGGCCATGGCAATTATAAAGATGGCGAGTATAAATAAAGAAAACGGAATAGGGTCGCTGCCCGGGGGCCGCCGGGGCACGTCTACAACTGGCGGTAGGCGTGACAGAATGCAAGCCAGCCGACCGGCCCCACCACCTGGCCGGTCCGACCCCTTGCCATCGACATCAGCTGGCTTGGCACCGGCAGGGCCGTCACAGGCCCAGCAATCGGCGCCCGCCACTGGTGGTACACGTCGCATGAGATGGTCGAGAGCCATGAATGAAGACCTCATGCGAGCGTTCTACAGGGCTACAGGGACAGAAACAGGCAGATCAGGATACAGGGCAGTAATGCACCGCGAGTTTCTGCGACTTTTACCGGAGCTAATCGTCTCGGAACAGAACCTAGCCGATAGAGTTCGGTACATACAGCGCTCTGGTATGTTTAGCGCAACCGAACTCGAACGATTGCGAAGTGAAGTTGTTCCAGAAGCAGACCCCACGACTGTGGAGATGGATCGAAGGAGCTTCTCCTCATTGATACTGTCGCTGGCCAAGTGGTTAAGCGTAACCGTCGGAATTTCTCCGCCGCTTGGATAGATTATAAAAAGGCGTTCGATTCCGTGCCCCACACATGGCTCCGGAGGATACTCGAGCTGTACAAGATAGACGGTACGGTTCGGGTGTTCCTGGAGACATGCATGGGGCAATGAACGATGATCCTGACTATCCAGGGCGACCGATTGTCGGATACCGCTGACCGGATTGAGATTAAGAGGGGAATATTCCAGAGCGATTATTTGAGTCCACTTTGGTTTTGCCTGTCCCTGAATCCTCTCAGTACTTTACTGGAGAATTCGGGGACTGGATTTCAGTATCGGAGAGGAGGTACACGAGTGTCTCACCTTCTGTACATGGTCTGCACAACTATGACCCTCCATAGAATGCATCACCCGAAATCGTCAGTCATGAGGCTGTACATCCCGCGGAAGGCTGGTGGTCGAGGCTTGTTAAGCGTTAAGACCATGCACAACCGGGAGATTGACAGCCTCAGGACATATTTTCTGGAGAAAAGAGACGAGGGTTTGCATAGAGAGGTCATAGAATGTGACAAAGGATTCACCCCTCTTTCTCTGGCTAAAGAGGACTGGCGAAAACCAGAAGTCCTGGGTACCTCTCAGCGGGAGGCCGTATGGAAAGAGAAGGAGTTGCATGGAAGGTTCTTCAAAGCCCTTCACGGGCCGTACGTCAACACGAAGACCTCCGTGCACTGGCTACATTTCGGTGATCTCTTCGGAGAGACCTTGGGTTTTGTCTGTGCAATACAGGATCAGGTGGTTAAGACGAACAATTACCGAAAGCACATTCTGAAGGATGACACTGAGGACATCTGTCGGGCATGTCGCCATCCCGGAGAGTCACTCAGACATGTGCTTTCGGGTTGTTCAGCTCTTGCCAACACTGAGTACACAGACACAACCAGGTAGCCAAAATACTCCATCAAGAACTAGCTCTGAAGTACGGCCTCGCGAATGAGAGGTTGCCGTACTATAAGTACGAGCCCCAGCCGGTCCTCGAAAGCGACAGTGTCAAGCTCTACTGGGACCGATCCATCATCACGGACAGGACCGTTCTTGCGAACAAACCTGATATCGTAGTGATGGATCGGGCACTTTCGAGGGTGTTTTTGGTGGACATCACCATACCACATAACGAGAACCTCGTGAAAGCCGAAACTGAGAAAAAGAGAAAATATCTCGACCTGGCTCACGAGGTGACCGAAATGTGGGGGGTGATGTCCTCCGAAATCATTCCAATCGTTATGTCGGTGAACGGTCTTATCCCAACCAGTCTGGAACAACATCTCAGACGGTTGGGATTCCGAGGCGGCTCACTCCCAGGAAAGATGCAGAAAGCGGTGCTGTTAGATTCTGCCCGCATTGTACGCCGGTTTCTCTCCCTGGGGCCCTGAACCCCGGCCGACTGTGCTTCTGCCGGGGGTATGTTGAGAGGGGAGATGAGAATTTTTGGAAAAAATAATAATAACTCTTTATTGCGCATACATAAACATAGGACAGTAAGTACAAAACAATGAAAATAAATGTTTTACAAAAGGCGGTCTTATCGCTATCAGCAATCTCTTACAGACAATCCTGTGTTAAAAGAGAGTATTTACATAAAGAGAGAAGGTAGGAGGCGCACATAAATAAATAAACTTACACACCAATACATAAAATATACATACATATACTACATAATAATGGACAAGAGGATGTGATATTATTCTATCACAGGGATAGATAATGCGATTTTAATAATTTTTGAAAAATGGCTTATGTTTGTGCTGATCGAATGGGAAATGGTAAGGAGTTCCAGAGACGAATAGCTTGTACAGTAAAAGAATCAGCATAATATTTAGAAGAATGAGGTGGGAAGGTAAGACTTAAGAGGCTTCTTGTGCTGCATAATTCAGAAAACAATCTTTCTGTTGAAGTATATCTAAATATACATATTTATAATTATAAAATTATAATTTAGCCAGGGTTTGCCAGGATGTGGGTCAGTAACCATATTAAAACACTAGAGCAACCTACTATTCTGGGGGAGGGGTTTGTTAGTATTAGTGCATCCATTGCTAGCAATGAATCAAGTCAGGTTGGTTAGGTTACTTGCTGTACCCCCAGGAAACTATGTCATTCCTGGTGAATTCATACTCATTCTAGTTAATACTATTAGTACAGGCAGGAACTATATGTACTTATCCATAAAAAAAATAAGCTGATTGGTAATTGTGGTAATATTAAACAATATATTAGTGCCCAGTGGGATGTTAATGTTTACGATAAATAAGATACGAATATTTGTTTCTTTAACCAGCTTCAACTGGTATAGATAATGAATGATAATAGATGTGTGTGAGCTTTTTACCTAATAATATGATTGCAACTTTAAAATAGCATTTTACAATACACATTTAGGCCGTATACACGTATTTCGTAAACACCGTGGTCACTATATAAACAAACAGTGTAATTATCTCGTTTAAGAAACTTATAAGATGAAGGAAACGGGAAACAACAAATAGACAAAATGCGGCACAGGTAAAACCGACTCAAGTTTAGATACATATGTTTATATTGGTCTAAATAAATATTGTAAAGCTCATAACGGTTATGATAGATCTAAAAATAATATTAAAGTACGCATTACTCACCTACAATTGAATAACACAACGCAATACACACAAAATATAGAACAGGAATCGCTAGACACTTCCCGTCGGTAGAGCCCATTGTCATGGCGGAAGCTACTGCTTTTTACATAAAGTTCGTAAGATATTGTAATAATAAACTCATTTCACGGTGATTAAATCATTTTCTTTTCACTTAAGTAAGAATTGTAAGGATTATTTCTATAATTAACACTAAATTGCAAAGCGGGTGACACCCGAAGTCCCGAAGCCGAACAAACAATCCAGAACACCGATTGCCAGATTAAAAAAAATAAATGGTACAAAATTATAATAAAAAATAAAACTTTTTAGTAGAAATAAAATAAAAACATGGTACGGTAGAAATGCAAGCGGCCAGAAAATATAAATATACTTTATAACACTTTGTTAATTATAATATATATCATAACTATTGGCGTAACAGTATTATTGTTGTTGACATATCTTTATAGTTCAGATTTTGTATTGGAATTTTATAATTATATAATAATAATAATAAATGTATAATAATAAGATAGTTGTAATGAGTTTCATAACGTTGTCATAATTAAACAATGCTATTCTGTCTTAAAATTTTCAAAGTCCATATGTAATGGCAGTACAATTAAACTTTAATATTTATAAACAACAACAAACAAATAAAATTTAATTCAATAAAATTATACCCCTTATTTCATAATTCCGTAATTTTCTCTTATTACTAATAAAAAAAATCAGACAGTAATAATTTTATGGTATTTTAATTTTCCATCACTTTTTTTATTAACTTGTAGTTTGCGAATACATTCGTTCGTAAAAATACTTTAAACAAAATATATTGCATAATATACTATGTGTACATAATATGTAAAATAAAAAAAATAGACACTAAAGGCAGTCAGCTTTTAGTATCTAGTAATTTCTTTACCTACGAATAATAATTCTTTGATCTATTACCTTTTTCTAACTCGAGACTCGAAATAAAAGAACGAGCTAGACTACTGGTAAACGGTTATAATATTTTTATTGTCAAATAGGTGAATCCATTCTGATGTAATCCAAAGAGAGTAAATAAGCTTTCGTTTAAAATAGGCAATTCATTTATAATTTTGGTAGATAGTCTATGGTACCGGTATAGAAGATTTCTGTAGTAGTTTTTAGATTTTTGACACTACTTTGCACTACTTGTTTATTGACAAATGAATGACAGACGGCGGGGTCTAACGCAATGGTTGCTTGATTGGATAGATTTACACGAAATAAATGACGATAACGAGTTTATTTCTGTTTTCTTTTGTGTACTAATGTGAAAATGTGGTTTATTGATACTGTTTAATCATTTTGCACGCGTCTTTTACGTGTGCTTTGTGCATTAAAATGTATATTCAGTACACGCTAGGAGCCATTTTTGTTATATTTATTTTGTGCGTTCATTGTGATAATACTGATATTAACAACGAAAATAGAAAAATTTATGGTAAGTTTGATTTATGTTGTTATTTATTTCACCACACATATTAGATGCATATTATTTCGTAATAGTGTACTGAATAAATATATCTTAGCATGTATTAACTGTCATCTCGGAAGACGGTTGCCCGAAATGTGTGGGAAAGGCGTTATAAGAAACCATTATTATCTTGGCTTTGATATTAGTTTCGTTTTCTTTACACACTTAAACAATGATAAATAAATAAGTGGTTGCGTAAATCGAATGATTACAGTTAACCACTCTTATTGGGGGAAGGGAATTGTTAGTAACAATCCCCTTGATTGTTAGTAATGTGGACTAATACACCCATTGCTGGCAATGTACGATGTCAGGACGACCTCCACCCAATTCTCCCTGGTAAATTGCCAACGGGCCAACTGGCCTGTCTTCATGCACATCTTATCATCCTCATCTGGTGCCCCGCGAGTATAATAGCAGGCGGGTGTATCATTCAATTATCATCCATAAAAAAAACACTTATTACCCAGTATACCACTCTATACCATTATACTGAAATGTACGGACTGTCTGACAGACTACAGATTTATTTTATTTTTATTTCTCTAGACTATGCCTATTAAAAAATTAAAACCGTTTTTCATGAGTATAACCCAACAGTAGCCCTATTATATATAATATAATAGGGCTACTGTTGGTATTAACAGAATATACTGGTAGGGCATCAGTGTATGATCACAAGACAGGTATGAAGTCAGATGTATTAGCCATAATTGCAAATTCACCAGAATTTAACCACAATGATTTTCAGAAGTTTGCTAATGATGTGCTAAACATTTATAGCAATGGTTACATTTTATGATTGATTACTAGAAAGGTTTCATAGTATTATATTTAGCTATCTAATCAACCACCATAAATATTGACATTGCAAAACATTTAAAGACATATCAGCTATTTATAAAGGGCTATATTTTTTTAATTAAGACTATATTTCACCCTTTATTGAAATGTGAACTGTCAAACATGCTATTATAAAATAGTTAATAAGTTTCTATGGATTTGCTATTTTCAGTACATTTTTTATAAGATTCCATAACAACAAAGTATTAGATAACAATCAAAATAAGATAAATGAAATTGGTGAAATTATTCTCAGGTCATAAAGCTGAAATGTGCTTAGATAGCGTTTGTGAAAATAGTAATAACATAAAGATCTCTCTAGATCCTAGTGCAAGTCTAAAACGACTAGTATAACACAATGCCTCAATAAAAAATAGAGCTAACTGATATTATAATTGGTTTTAATAATAGTCCTCTCCCCTATACCTAATTTTCCCAGTGTGCGCACATTATACTTAGTTTACATTGCTCTCATCAATAATGGAAGAAATAAATTGAAATTTGTTTTACAAATTACATGCAGGTCATGACTCTTGCTTTATATAGATATGACCTTCCTGAGATGTTAGTTTGTAACTCTGCATGCATTACAGTATATACCTACCTTTATTAATTCTAGTAGATTGAGTTTATTGTAGGTGTTAATTAAACTCATAAATTGGATTATGGAACGTAAATTCTTGTTTACATTGTAACGGTATTTTTAAAACAAAGGTTCTCTGTAAAAATATTGTTTCCTAACTCTTTATTCTGATTTTAATGATTACTTTTAAAACCAACAGGGTTAATTTAATTACACGAATAGTGAATGGGTAAATGGTTAATAAATTCTATAATAATAATTAAATACTAGCATCGACACAGCTTCACACGGGTCTAATAAACATGTGGTTACACCCACGGCTTATATGTATGGACCCTGTAATTTGACTACCACATCACACCCTCTAAAACACCGGTTACAAAGCAATAGGCTTGGCAGCAAGAATAAGTAGCAGATGATTTGTACAAAGTGAAACTCTATAGTCAAGTACTCATTGTTGTATCATCATTATTAGATTATTATGTTGTTGGATAAGATACCGTAGATGTAGATACCGTAAAAGGCATCAGATTTAATTTCCGGTCAGTCTACTGTATACAGTCTCAACTAGCAAGCCCAAAACTTAACTACATTGAATGTGTTGTGTCCACAATTATAAAACAATGGAGAACCTTGACATCGTCCTGTACAGACAAAGGGACACCATGCCGCCATAAATCTCAATATAGCAAATTTGTTACGATCAATCAGTCGAATCAAACAATCGCGGCTAGCAGTATTACACTAGTTGTTTCGCGCGACTTGGCCCATCCGGAATCTTCACCATATAAAGTGTCAAATATAGTAAATATGCAGTATCAGTTTAATATTAATAGTAGTTCCCTCAATTTCTCGGACAATTCTAATGCCGTAGCTGGTCTTTATACCTCTACGGTACCAAAATAGGCATACCTATCCCTAAACTAAAGGGTATGTAGTAAAAACCCGCAGAACAAAATATATAGCGCCTAAAAGCCAACTCCTTCGTGACAAACACGAATTTAGTCTGATGACACCGATACGCGTCGGAACGTCGGTCCAGGCCGTCGTAACTTCGATCCCCATTTGAATGGTATAGGGCACTATAGGGGATCCAGAGAAGTCTCTTCTCAGATATGAAAGAAGAAACTATTAAAAAGTTATAAAACACTATCTAACTTGCGTAACTTTGTCTGCATCACATTTTCTCCGTAAATTATTACATACAGCTCAGCTTTTATTGGTCGTAGAATAATGTTATATATTATATAGCTCCATAAACTATCAACCACAGAAAGATTTTTCAAAATCGCTGCTATACCACTATATTAAAATAGTATAGATAATAATTTTCATAAAAAATATCTGTACGTTTAGGTCTAAACCGTTATAGTATGACGGATTTAAGAATCGTTTCCATTTTGCTATTGACTATAGCAGTGGCACTTGCTTTTAAGTAGGCCATATACTAAAAACAATTAAAAAATAATTCTGACAATACTGTTTAGTGGGTTATCTGTCTAGGACATACACACGTGAGAATTACATGACGTGAATTATGAGTAGTTGCAGTATCTAAATAATTCTATTTTACTTTATTAGATCTATTATTTTTTTATTTATATTTATCTAATGTCAACAATAATTTGATAATTAAAAACCTTAAAAAGTATAATAACTAAAATATATTATTAAAGGGAGTTCTTTCAAGCAAGGTTTCGAAGATACTGGCAGTGTTCCCTCTTTGAATTGTTAGACGAATTCTTTGTCCGAGGTAGCTGCCAGCTCTTCGGTCTTTTGTGATGTCGACTAAACTTTTTGCTATTTTCTTAAAAAGTCTTATAGCGCTAGGACCCCAAGGACCAAGACTCTCGACACCGAATAGGACAAAATCATATTCGGAGCCTAGACCTCTGTATTTGCATGCTTTAGCTTTTTCAGCCGCTTCGCAAATTTGATAATATATTGAATAATATATATTTCAATTATTTTTTGTTTAAATTCAACAAGAATCATTAAAAGGGACCAACGCGTTTGGTAAAGGAACAAACGTAATGTAAAACACATTGCCATTGTCTGTAGTCGCGTAAATAATAGGAAGTTTTCTTTAAGTTTTCTACCTTTATAGATCATAGATATGTTTTTGATTTAAAATATTGATGCTTATTTTTTTTAAAATGTTGAACCTATAGGTAAATACTACCATAATTTTTTCGCAATAATAAATCAGTTTTGTTCTATCACAGTCCTAATGCTTTTAGATGTTAAAGAGTTTATTCCAACAGGTATTATTGCGGAATATTTTGAGTTCTTCAGTTTCCACGCAAGAATCTGTAGGTACATAAAATATTGTTGCCGTACTGAAGTTTCGTCATGGCTGTTAGTCCCATAAAATTGTACCTCAGGGGTTAAGGGGTCTGCGTTATACGTAAGCGGTCAATCACGTACCGTAGACTTTCTTTTCATATAATTAAGTAAGCCGTTGTCACGTCTTATGGCATTGCCTCAAGACGCAATTTAACAAGGCATTATTAATATTTACAAGATTGGTCATGGTGATTAGACTCGCGGTCCAATAGTTCTTGCTGAAATGAAATGATTAGATTTCTAAGTAATTTTCGTTTTGCTTTTATTCCAAACTTTTATGACGTTCGCGTTTTTTAGTTAGTAGTCGAAATTTTGCAACTTAACATAATATTACTCATTGTTATAATCTTTACATAGTATAAAATGTAGTCGCTTCCGCTTTTGTTCGCATAGATGTTTTAAACTACGCAACTGAATTTAATGCTGTTATTAGCAACAGATAGAGCGACACAACAGGAAGGTTTATATGTAGAATACGACATTCGAAACCGGGGGGGGGGGGGTAGCTATTAATATTTTGGTTTGTTAAATACTCATTAATATTATATTATGGTGACATTAAATCAATGTAAGGATGGGATTTGATGGAATAGCACTAATCGTTATATGTAATAAACCAGTACAACCAAAACTATTTAGACTTTATGTTATTTAAACACTGTCCTAAACTCTTTTCACGGTTGTTTACAATTGTACACATTATATAAATGATATATATATAAATGTCTCATAAATAATAGTATCCTGGTAAAGATCTCGTTTATATCTAACTAGCTATTCGGCCCTGCTTCGTATGGGTGTAAAGGTATACATATAAACCTTCCTTTTAAAACATTTTATGTATTGCTAAAATGCATTAAAATCCGTTGCGTAGTTTAGAATATCTAAGCGATTAGACAGTGGAAACGATTTCATTGTACACTATGTAAAGATAATTTGTGCAATATTTTATTTATCTTGTTAATTATAAAACTTAATATTTCTTTTTAATTTTGTGTATTTTCTGTAATTTTTATTGTTGGCAATAAATGTTCAATCAATCAATCATAAGGCCTTACATTGAAGCGCCTACAAACTGCATTACCTTATTTGTATTATATTAATTAAATTATAAAAAACTACAATAATTTCTAAAAATTATTGATTATCAGTAACTAATTACTGATAATCACAGACTTTATAAAGTAGACATTGATTGGACTTGAATAATATTTTTTTCGACCTATTCCAAGATAACAATAGAATAGTTCGCAATATTTGGCCTATATTGGTTCACTGGAAAAAATAGGGGCGAGTGCAGTGTTCAGAACCCGCGGAAGGACTTACTTCGAGCGGCTGAGAACCTAATCCTGTCTGATGAATAGACTTAAGTTTGATAGCACCACTAGGGATTCGGCACAGGTCGTGTCGATATTTCGATCCTCTTTGGGCACACATCGGGATATAGGGATATATTCGAAGAAATAACCACTAATAAATAAAATGATTAATTAAAAATAGCAAAATCAAATAGATCATAAAATAAAAGCCTGTCAAAAGTCAGTGTGAAACGGTAAACTAATAATAAACTAGCTCATTAATGGAAATAGAGTAGAAAATTTCGGTAATATTATATCATAATTGTAGCACGCGTTTGATGTATAATAAAGCTATTGTCTACTGGGCCTCTGACCTCTCGGCACGTTGCACAACCATTGTTTTACAAAAGCAATTACGTTTATTGTCATAATTAGTAACGTTTACATTTTCTACGAACTCAATACGATGGGGAAGTGCATCCATATTGAAGCATAGTGCACTATTCTTACTTTAGGTAGTAGGTAATGTAAGAAAAGATTGCCCATGACTTCGTACATGTAGTATTTGGAACAACAATTTTGGAAAACAAATTAAAAAAAGAACAACCTACTTCTTCTTCTAATTTATCAATTACAACAATAAAACGATAAGAGGAAAGGAGAAGATTGTTAGTAATGTACACTCATATGCATCCCCACTCGATTGTTCCTATAAACCATCACTTTTTATATCTGGTGAATTCGATACATTGGGCTCACTGATTTGACATCATGCTCGTCTTTTCATCCTTTAGATGCCCCGCCGGCTTATACTGTTATTGTAGGCTGATTATGTCATAATCATATATGAAAATGCTATGTTTGTTTTTTTTGTCATGTATGATTAATGCCAATTTTTTTTCTCGTTATAGTAGAAGTATAGATAAACATATTTTTTTTTCGCAGTTCCGTCCGCGCCACAAAATCTAGCGACACGATCTGTAAGTAGCAACGAGATTCTATTGTCATGGGCCCCGCCGACGACGTACACGGAAATATATATACCCAGCCTTACGGATAAGGCTGTGGACGACACACAAGACCAATCCAAAACACAAAAACCTAATAAAAACGAACCCCAATCAGATGAACCTATCAATGACGAAAACATAAATCGAGATCCTATTGCTAATAAGAAATACACAGAGTACACAATCGATGGAAAATTGGACGATGAGCAACAAAAATATCCTACTAGGTTTGATATTAATAAAAGAGACCTAAGATCTCATAGACATAGAAGGAGACGGCAGGATGGAAACGCAACTGAAGCAAGAAGTCTTAGTTTAGAGGTTCTTGATTATCTAGAAATCCATGACTCTTTTAAAATGACAATGGTTAAGAAATCTAATACAGCATTTAATAAAGAGTTGAAAGACTCAACGCTATATGCTTATGTATTATACTACGAACCGGGAGTTACGAACTTCGAGAATAGTAATGTGACAGGAGTGCAGACTTCGGAAGACGTGAAAAGGAAGTATATGTTCCCGAGCGACCTGAGGATGGAGGATTATTCAAATGCGCAAAAAAATCTGACTCTACTGAACAAGTCCGAAAAGGTGACAAAGATCGTTGGATATAGATTGAAGAATTTACGTAAGTATTCATCGTTTTAATCAATTTTAGAAAGAAAGAAAAATATGTTTATTTGGCGCATACAAAACAATCATATAACATATTACAAAAATTATGACAAATTATTTTAAAAATACAGCTGGGACCAAATTGGTTTCTACTCAGCTTTGTGTCTGGGCTGTAATGCCCAAACGCTTATTTTCAGTGGAACCTTCTAGAAAATAATTTAAAATATAAAAATTGTGGACCTACTACTATAAGTTGTAAGTCTATGCTGTGACAATGTATGGAAATGAAAATATATAGATAAAACAATACAGTACGGACAGTTATCCAGTGGAAATTTGATTTTCTAATAGAAATTTCTTAAGGTAGTATAAATGCTAGTCGTTCAGTGGTCGAATTTCGACTATAATTTAAATTATAAGCTTGAACATTATTAAAGTTCTATTGTCAAAGACTTGCTTCATATAATGTACATACATTACTTTTATAAAAACACAGACACAAATCTTGATTCATTGATTTGACATAATTTGACATTGACGTTTTGTTATTTATCGTGTATCATAATGGTAGTGTATGTGTAATGTTTTATTTATTTATTTAGTTTTTTATTCAATATTAACATCCCGCACTCCCACTCTCTAGAAACTATAAATGTGCGAAATTTCGTACGCGCCATTTTCGCAATTTTATCAAAAAGCACTACTGTAGTGAGCTAGTTACGTATTAATAATTAGATTAATTAATATCTGTTTTATCAGAAACGTTATCAAATTTCAAAGAAAGTAAATAGCATTGTGATTTCTAGTCTCTATCTAAATCGTTATGGTAGACTAGCTGTACCCGCGATTTCGTCCGCGTGGACTTTAACTATATATTTCTAAAATAAAAGTAGCCTAAGTTACTCCTTTTTACATCAGCTACCTGCCAAAAAAAAGTCCCGTCGAAATCGGTTCAGCCATTTCAAAGATTTGCTGGAACATACAGACAGACAAAAATGTTATTTTGGTGTATGCACCGTATTTATATTCATATGCATGTAGTAAAAAACTGTTATGTCAATATTACAAACATACACAACAATTTTATTTATATGTATAGAGTATAGATAATTTCAGTTTTCTGGTAAAGATATTGTATATTATATGTAAGACATATATTATATATGATAGACATCTTGTAATTTATATATTATAAGATGTCTGTTAGAGACATGAGTGACTGATTTCTGTATATTATCTATGGGGAATACATAATGAACTATTTAACTGTAGGTTTAAGTAGTCCTTTGTTAGATCTGGATTCGTATTAATGCTAGGTTTATTCCATGGTTTAAACTTCGACCACGTTTTCGTCCGAGTTTTAACACATTTTTTGTAATAAGACCGTAAGAGATAAAATTAATATGTATATATAGGTATGTATATCCAAATTTTTTTTCACTATCCATAGTCTGGTCGTAAATACTGTTAAAATTGAAAACCGCTTATTGATAATAATAGGTACAATGAAACCGCCTCTGTTTGTGATAGAAAAAGAGCTGGCAGTGTTCGTACAAAATTATCACAGCAGTATTAGACAGAATATGAAGAAATTCTGTGAGAAAGTAAAAGGCTATCTTGCGATTTGAATGAAGATATCTCCTAGAACCGTGTCGCATATTTTAAAAGATGACAGGATTTCCAGCCTATAAGAGATGCACTGGTCATTATTTAACTGATGATTTAAAAAAGAATAGGGAGGTAAAATCAAAACAACTACTTAAGCGCTACGGAAAGGGAGGTCACAGAATTTTTGTTTTTACGGATCAGAATTTTGTAAATGACCAATATTTTACCAAACAGATTGACAGTGATCATATACTCAAAGCTTTAAAAAAAGCTTCCCAATTAGTCAATAGAGTATAATGTGGATATTATCCTAATTCAGCAATGGTTTGATCGGGTGTTAGCTATGAAGTAGTGCCTGATCCATATTTTTTAGAAATAGGTATCAAAACATCGGCGCAAGTGTATCAAGATACTATTCTTTAGGAGGTGGTTAAGTCCCTTAAGAACACTATATTTCATAGCCAAGAATGGTCCTTTCAGCGAGACTCAGCACCAGGCCATAAAGCTTGATTGGAAACGAACATTCCGGATTTAATCAAAGTTGAAGACTGGCCGTTATCTAGTCTCGAAATTAATCCGCTGGATTATGAGTTATGGCCAGTTTTAGAGAGTTTGGCTCGCTCTAATCGCCATGATAATATGGATACACTAAAGCAATCCATAAGATTGGCAGTGAAAAATTTTCCCATAGAAAGAGTGCATGCTCTCAATGATGACGAGCCTTTAAAGGACGTTCAAACGACTGTATTGCGATGGCCAATGGCGATATTTTCGAATAAACTATAAAATTTTAAAAACATCATTGCAGTCCACTGCTGGACATAGGCCTCTCCCAAGGCACGCCACTGGGCACGATCTTCAGCCCTTCTCTTCCATTTTTTACCCGCAACCCTACGTATGTCGTCGCTCCACCTAGCTGCGGGACGTCCTACACTACGTTTGCCAATTCGCGGTCTCCACTCTAGAACACGCTTACTCCAGCGAGCATCGGTTCTACGACAGATATGACCAGCCCACTGCCACTTCAACTTGCAAATACGAAGAGCTATGTCGGTGACCCTAGTTCTCTGGCGAATTACTTCGTTACGGATTTGATCCCTCAGAGAAACTCCAAGCATAGCCCTTTCCATAGCTCGTTGAGCGACTTTGAGTTAGTGGACCAGTCGTATCGTCAGTGTCCACGTTTCGGCACCGTATGTCATAACGGGTAGGACGCACTGGTTATAAACCTTGGTCTTAAGGCTTTGTGGTAGCGACGACGTGAAGACTTGACGAAGTTTCCCAAAAGCCGCCCAGCCTAGCTGTATTCGCCTCTTGGCCTCCCTCTCAAAGTTGTTTTTACCTAGTTGGAGCATTTGCCCTAGATAAATATACTCCTGAACAACTTCGAGAGGAACTCCATTAATGGCAACCGGTTCCGGACGAATGCGATCATTGAACATGATCTTGGTTTTGTCCAAATTCATCCGAAGACCGATGCGTTGAGACGACTCAGCCAGGCCATTCAGCATCTGCTGTAAGTCCTGCAGCGATTCAGCCATGATGACAATGTCATCAGCAAATCGTAAGTGAGAGATGTTCTCGCCGTTAACATTAATGCCGTAATTTTTCCAGTCCAGCATTCTAAACATATCCTCCAACGCAGTTGTAAACAACTTCGGGGATATAACATCCCCCTGTCTTACACCACGTTTCAGGTGGATATGCTTAGTCTGCTGGTTTTTTACTTGGACGGTCATTGTTGCAGCGTTATAGAGACATCTCAGCACTTCGATGTATCGCCAGTCGACTTGGCATCGCTGCAGAGACTCCAGAACAGACCAGGTCTCGATAGAGTCAAAGGCCTTCTCATAGTCAACAAAGGCTAGACACAGAGGTTGATTATACTTTTCGGTTCTCATAATCTGCCTAACTGTGTGAATGTGATCTATGGTGCCATAACCACTTCGAAACCCGGCCTGTTCCGGGGGTTGAAACTCGTCAAGCCTTCGCGCAAGTCGATTCGTGATGACTCTTGAAAACAGCTTGTATGGCTTAGCAATGAGATGGGCCGATAGTTCTTGAGTAGGGTTTTGTCTCCCTTTTTGAAGAACAAAATAACAGTGGCTCTACTCCATGCCTATATATATTTTTTATGTTTTATATTAATGTTTAAATTACATATATATTTTTAATGTTTTATATTAATGTTTAAATTACCACATATTACAGTAATAAATGTCATATGCAATAGGGTAAATAACGAGTTTTCCTTGTAACAATATTTGTGACCAGACTAAATAGGGATTATTTGGCATACGGCTAATCTGATCGTAAACGGTTACCATTGTTCATGAAAAATTAGGTACGTTAGTCACGTTTGCATTGTCCTTAATATACATTTTGAAAATCCACTGCTATTAGTCTCTAGAGAATATCTCGGTAGTTATGTCCCACAATCTAAAAGGAACTTCTCTAAATCCGCATTATCCGCGGCCACTTACATTCCATGGTTTGACGAAGAATTACCCGTCAATTTTTTATTACACCGGCTTCTTGTTTTGTTTACTATATTTCTAATTAAAATAGCTTTGTTCATGTAGATTTATTACAGACTCTTACGATATGTCAAAAACTACCGTCAAAGTATTGTAGTTAAGAAGAACTGACGATAAACTCGGCTCTTATTCTTTTCAAATGTGCTTGTACATTTTTACAAAAATACATATTCATTTTAAAATTCATAATAAGGGAGAATAGAGTGACCACCAACATATGCTATTGCAATTTTGTCAAAAGGTACTGTCTGCAGTATAGTGTTCGTATTAAAACTCGTTTAACTATATTAATAACTAGCTGTACTCGCGACTTCGTCCGCGTAGAATTTTACTTTATTTTTCTGAAGTAATATATTTTTCTAAAATAAAATTAGCCTAAGCTACCCCTTATTACGTCAGCTACCTGCCAATAGAAGTCCCGTCAACATCGGTCCAGCCATTTCAGAAATTAGCTGAAACAAGCAGACGGATAAAAATTGTAAAAAGTGTTATTTTGGTGTATATTCATATGCATGTAGTAAAAAACGGTTATTTCAATATTACAAACAGACACTCCAATTTTATTAATATGTATCTAAACGCGAAAACATAACGACCAGTTCCTAAGAATGATAATGCATGGCGTCACTTCTTTTGTGATATCCACGTTGATGTTAATGACTGATGTCGTCGCAGGTTCGACTCCTCGCACGGCGCAAACATTTTGCATTTATGAGCATCATTGTTTGTATCGTTCTGGGTAAAATAAGTGTTTTCAAAAAAATCTATGTATTTATATCAGTTGGTACTCTTTCGGTAATCAGTCGGTTCATCTGGTACTCTTATCACAAGCTCTGCTTAGCTTGGGACTAGATGGCGCTATGTGCGCTGGTTATTGTTGTCGTTATTATTAATATTACAATAATGTATGATTTTTAATGTAATGTTCATTACCTGCAGTGCCATTCACACCTTACAAGATATGGGTGAGAGCGTTCATATTAACCGACGGCTCTATATCATCCGATCTCCACCTGCGGCTCAGTAACAAGTCGGAGCCGTTGTACGTATTGACTGATGTAATACCGCCTTCACCGCCCAAGATACTGAATGTCACGTGCGACTTGATCAGACGTAAGTTTTTTAATACCTGATAAGACGAGCTATTTATATCTATACAAAGAACAAAACATACAGTTATGTTTACGCACGGATTTGCATGGTACGACGTGATTAGTTGTTTGTGCATATTCAAATTGTAAACTCATACACACACACACACATTCATATATTTATATATACATATACGTATACTATACAGAATTAAACAGAACAAAAAATAAAGAAAGTTATACAAAATAAATACAAGTAATACGTAGCATAAGTTATACAGACAGACATCTCAGTCTATTGTTTGCTTAGGTAGCTAACCAGATTTTCAACTAATTTTCAGACCTTAAACTGATGTATCCTACGATACTTATATTGTCATTATAATACACCTTAAGTTACTTTTTGTGTGTTTTCCAAATCCATAACCAAGCCATAGTATCAAATCCTGCAAATTGATCAAAATCATGTAGCCCAAGTACAGCGACCTCATTGCCCGTATGTCCTGAATCGGTTAGGGTTCGATTCTCAATGTCTCATTTAGGTTTAATTATTATAATTTAAAAATTACGAGTACTAGTATGGGACTAGGTACTAGTCCAGATTGCAGGATTGATACTATGATCGAAATAATTAAAAACTAATTTACCTAACTTTAACCTCTGGCCTTAATTTTAACCTATAATTAAAACCTCTGGGCACTATGGAAATTAAACATTTGTGGCCAAAAGTAAAAGAAAATCGACTTCTAAAATTGATTAAAAATGTACAAATTATTATGATTTACTTTATTTCCAGAGAACCTTTACCTTCAATGGCGACGACCCACCAGTTATAATAATACCCTGGACCACTATGTGGTGACCTTGAGAAAATTACCTGAACCGCAACCGAGGACCAAGCTGACACTGCCGACTAACAAAAACGATATTGAGACCACAATAAGCATAGTAAGTACTAGAATGCTTTCAAAAACTCCATAACTCTCACCACATATATCCACAAAATTGGCAATTTATGACCAGAAATTCCGCAATGATGACCTCGGTGGTGTAGCGGTCTACGTCGCCTTTTTTTCGATGGTCGCGGGTTCGATTCCTCGCACGGCACAAACATTTGTATTCATGAGTTTAATTGTTTGTATCGGTCTAAGTGTTTTTTATGTGTATTAAAAAAGTGAAAAGTGTTTTAAAAAAGAAAAATATCTCCTTGCAACAGAAATGTTTGTATTCATGTGTTGGTATGGGTGTTTGTGTGTATTATGTATATATTTAAAAAAAAAGTATTTCTATTAACTTATAAATTAAATAGCTGTTAAGTAGTAGTAGCAGATTAAAGAAATCAGGCTGGTAACATTATTTGGGGTAGTGCTGTACCTCCGATACCGATTTCTTCTTATTAGAAATTATGACATTTACACCTGTTAATTTAGTCTCTGAGATTAAAAAACATTAGTATGTTTTTACTGTTTATACTGTAGTCAGTATAGTTTTTGTTCGTCTTTATATTTGTTCTAGGAAGTGGAGTCGTGGAATATGACCCGTTATGAACTGAAGGTATACGCAGCGACCCAGTCTGTAGCGAAGTCGAATACATTCATCAATGGTTCAGAATCACCGCCTGAGGTATTTTTTTATATATTTTATTTTCTATCATACAAGGAATGTATGTAAATGCGTTGCCCACTTGTACATTTGTTTATTACTAGCTTAAAGGTAGTGCAATGATATGAAACACACGCGAAAGTGTGAGCACAATTTTTTTTTTAGTGCAATTGCACGCGCTGTGTCCTGATCACGCGTGTAAGAATGTATTGTGTAAAAGCTAAAGTCTGACCTCTCAGAGTTTGAGTTTCTGGTCAGGTCAAGATCAAATGGGCGATGTAACTTGAATTGACTTACAATGTACGGCAAAGTTTTAAATATGTTTCACTGCTATATTAACATTAAAAAAAAATGTTTTTAACACGTTAAAGACCTCATGCCCACTGGTGGGTCACTCCACAACGAAAGTAATTTTACACGTTGGAACCGGATGATCACCAGTGGACACTTTAATTGAAAAATTTAGGGGTTAATTAATGTCTACCTTAAATTATTGTACACTAAGAACATATTTTAAAAACAATATACTTTATTAACAATAAAAAAATGACGGTCCCTGTGAGAAATAAGATTATTCAATGCGGTCCACGGCGTGTTAAAAGTCAACCCACATCAAACTGCCGTTTGAAGGTTATGTCATCTGATTGTTTATGTAGTGATCAAAAACAAACCAATGACATAACCTTGAAACAGCGTAACACGAAGGCGTGGTGCACAGGTGGTGTCGAGCGCGTGGTGCACGGCGCACTCGGAGGCGATGTCCCCGGGCGAGGGGGAGCCGGCCCCCGCGCGCGGCCTGGGGGTCAGCACCACCGCGCTGCTCGCCGTCGCGCTCATCGCCCTGCTCGCCGCGCTGGGGGTCGCACTCGTCTACTGGAGGTCATTCTCTTTTTTTATGTAACCGCAATGCCAAAGCTAACTGACCACCTTATGGAAAGCGTTTTTTTTTCGGACTACTATAATGCTGTGGCCGCAGCTGGCTTTTACAGCTTCACCACACAGTAGGGGGCGAGTGCAGGTGGCGCTCCAAACCCGCGGATTTATAGAGCGGCTCAAGCCCGACTCCCGCTTGACGGATACGACTTATTTACGACGGAACCACTAGGGGTTCGATCTGTGACTCGGGCCGTCGCAATTTTGATTCCCGTTTGAATTGGATGCGGGATCGATCGGAGCAACAAGCAATATATGTTAAAGTAGTCATGTACGTCAAAATGTGACAGATAAAAAGGCAGATTCTACTCTGTGGTTCCGCTGTCTCTTCCTCGCGTTGCTCATGTGAGTGAAATAGTATTACGAAAAGTGGTTGTAAAATAAGTGAAACAAAGTACATCTATCTGTATTTGGGACTCTGCAAGACGCTACCACAAACCCGAACACAATAACTGCCGCTTACATTGATATAGTGTTGGCACATCACATTTGTGCTTATTCATTACAAGGCGATAAATAACCTTTAAACTAATATTGAAAAAGTAGAGGTGGATACGGTCTTAGAACCTACTACTTGTATGGAAACAGCTGGAATAGTTACGAAAATGAAGCCTAAATGGACATGACATGTAAATTTATTATTATGAAATTGACATTTTTCCTTATTAGAAATGTATTTATTTTAGACATATAATTCATTAATTAAAATTATGATATGTAATAAAATTCAACACAATGTAAATTGTTATGCATAAATGAAATGAAAAGAGAAATGAAAATTGTTATCATTTCTGTGTACAAAGATGTTACTCTGTAATCTAACTCTTACGAATTAGACCACAGCTTACAAAAGCAGCTTTACGCCTAAAATAGTGAGATATGGTCGTGGATAGTGGTAACCGCACTTAGTTTAATGACACCTCCTTTTTCTGATAATATTAAGACCCTTCATTACAGAAGTTTCGCAACGAATCGGTGTAACATTTTCTCATTTCTGATTCTAGTAGTCTTTTATATTAAACCATTATACATATCCGCATATAATAGTTAATTTAATGTTATTACAGATGTCGATCCCGTCTTAGCAAATGTATAAGTGCAGCTTACAATTACTTAGAAGAAGGCGGCGAAAGGGCTGCCAGGGCGCCGCTTAATGTTTACAAGAAGCCTGGTAAGTGCTTATTATAAAAATTCTTTTTAAAAGTAAAGAAACTTAGCTAACGACTTTAAACTTAATTTAAACTTAACTGGGAACACCCAGTCCTTCATTTCAACGACATTAATAGTACAATGCTTGTGTAGATATCCGCGATGTTCATATTAGTTACGGGATTTTTTTATTGTTTATAAGAGAATGGTGCATTGCATTCGCCTGACTTTTTGCTCATCCGTGATGGATGAGTAACAAGTCAGGTGAATTGGCCCATCATAGCGAATACACTAGGAATTAATCACGATGGTTTCTATGAGTAAATGCCCGGAGATCACCCTGATACGATAAATTACTAGCAAATGAGGTGTAAGGGTGAATTAAGGTATATATAATGTTATGATAAGTAAAGTAAAGTAGTACTATTACTCGGGATTTGGTCGTTTCTAGGTCGGTATCATGGCGACCCTGTAATATCGCGCGTTTAAGTATTGAATATCCCGCGCCCTCCTCATATATTGACATTACAAAGATGTGCCTTATCTAAATACAAGAATACCTATTTAATTGGGAATATAAAAATAATAATAAAAAAAAATTTCGTAAGAAAGAAATCAGCATGTATATATGTATGTATAAGACAGATCGAAACGGGCCACTGTCTAACAGCCACCTCATAGGGGGCCTACCTATAGTAACGGTTACTAAGTTCCCCGTCCCTGTGCGTGTGTCCAGTAGCGAACTGTTCGCCTGCGGGCGCGGCGTGCGGCGCGGGCCCGGGCGCGGGGTGCGCGGGGGCGGCGGAGGGCGCGGAGTGCGCGGCCGCGGCGGCGCGCCCCCCGCGCATGGCGGGCCCGCACCACCCCGCCGTGCCCGCCAGGGACTTCCCCGCGCACGTCGCCGCGCTGCACGCCGACGGAGACATCGGCTTCAGGTATCACTATTGCATACATTCTATTAAAAATACATTTTATTAAAAAGCGTGAGGAACGCTTTCGAGTCGACTCCGTAATACATATATTGATGTGTAAAGCGAGTAGTCCTTTTCACGAAAATTACTCTACATACAGTTTATATAAAAAAAGGGGCAGAGTGCTAATATCTTTTAAAAACTAGGCCTTTATGCCTATACATGAAATCAATAAAAAACACTACCTACTAGTATTATATTACACGATTGACAGCAAACGTCAATTTCAATATTGTTAATTGTCAACGAAACGAAGTTTCTTTCTATGCTACCTATTATTAGATTAAACAGGGTTCTGATAAGTAGATAGTAAAATATAAATTTTATAAAAATAAATTACCAAGTATCCTGTGTTAAGTTTGTCAAATTAAAAAATAGAAAAAATAGAAATAATCTTTATTCAAATAAACTCATTACAAGCACTTTTGAATAGTCATATTTTGATTCTACCACTCATTCGGAATGCAGATTCATCACAAGAAGAATGAGCAAGAAACTTGTGTGTTGCTCTTTTTGATAGATGTTTTTTTTTTTATATAAATAATTACAGTGTAACAAGTAAGAGGCATGCGACAATCAACATAGAAATCGCTACGCACTCATTATTAGTGTAATCAGATAATATTGTCAGTGCTATGTATTTAAAATTTTTCTACAAAAACATTATTATCGTTAACGAATTCTTCAATTTTATAGTAAGCTTTTTTGCAAAGGAAGTGTTTTATTTGACATTTAAATCTTTTTTCTGGCAGATTTATAACAGACTCTGGTATTTTATTGTAAAACCTTACGCAATTGCCATAAAACGAATTACTAACTTTAGCCAAACGACATTTAGGTAAAATCAGTTTGTTATTGTTACGTAAGCTTTTATTAGTGCAATCACTAACTCTTTTGAAACTGTCTATATTCCTTCTGGCATAGATGATATTTTCATAAATGTATTGAGAAGCAACGGTGAGGATATTTGATTCCTTAAAACACTCTCGCAATGACTCCCTGGAACCCATACCATAAATGGAGCGAATGGCCCTCTTTTGTAAAGTAAATATTGTATTTATATCAGCTGCTTTGCCCCATAACAAAATACCATACGACATAATGCTATGGAAATAGCTAAAATAGACAAGTTTAGCCGTTGCCACGTCTGTTAATTGTCTAATTCTTCTTACCGCGTAAGCGGCAGAACTAAGTCGACTCGCCAATTTAGTAATATGAGCACCCCATTGCAACTTGGAATCTAATGTGATACCTAGAAATACAGTATCGTCAACAAAATTAATAGATTTATTGTCCAATACGATTTTTGAATCTACCGGCCTTACATTGGGGAGAGTAAATTTGATACATTTAGTTTTATTTGCCTTTAGTAGCATATTATTTGCCGTAAACCATTTTAAAACATAAGAGAGAGAACCGTTTACTTCGTCCATATCATCAATATGTCGATTGACTTTGAATACTAATGAAGTATCATCAGCAAACAGAACTATGTCAGCTATCTTTTCTACCATATAAGGAAGATCGTTTATGTAAACTAAAAATAAGAAAGGACCTAGAATAGAGCCCTGAGGAACACCCATTTTAATACTAGTTCCCTCAGACTTTACACCATTTATTTCAACAACTTGCATTCTATTATTTAGATAGGATTTCATCATGCATAGTGCTTCATATCTAATACCGTAATATTCTAATTTGAGTAAGAGTGTTTCATGATCAACGCAATCAAATGCTTTTGAGAGGTCACAGAATACACCGATAGCATCCTGTGACCTCTCCCAACAGTCAAAAATGTGTTTCATTAAAGCTACACCAGCGTCAGTAGTTGATTTACCGGCCGTGAAACCAAATTGCCGACTGTGAAGCAGTCTATTTATTTTAAAGTGGTGAAGCATCTGATTGAGCATAATTTTTTCAAACACTTTACTTAGTACTGGTAAGATAGAAATGGGCCTATAATTACCTACTTCAGTTTTATCCCCTAACTTAAAAAGTGGAGTTATTTTACTATGTTTCATTAAATTGGGAAAAACACCGTCAAAAATACATTTATTGAAGATAGTTACTAAATATGGAGCAATAACATCTATAGCGGTGTTAATAACTTTAACAGACATGCCCCAATGGTCTTCAGTATTTTTTTAATTTAATTGTTTAAATGTTTTCGTAATTGTAGCAATGTCAATAAATGTAAATTTAAATGTAACCGGACACGAAGCAACATTGTCAATAAGGAATGATTTAGCTGTACTTGGAGAAGAGTCCAAAGAGGACGTAATATCAGTTGGAATACTAGCGAAAAATTTTTCAAAAATATTGACTATTTCTTTTGTGGACGTTACTAGTTTCTCATTATAATTTAACGTAAAATCATTATATGGACTTTTAACTTTGCCAGTTTCTTTATTAATAATATTCCACACTGTCCTAATCTTATCCTTGGATTCTTTAATTTTTTTATTTAGATAATTAGACTTTGCTACATTACATACCTTTTTAAAAGTTTTTGAGTATCTTTTTACATAATTTACGAATGTACTATCGAAACGGTATTTTTTTTGATCATATAAATCAAATAATATATTTCTACTTTTAAGAATTCCCTTTGTAGCCCATTCTGAAAATTTAGTTTTGTTACTAATACTGATAGTTTTTTTGTTAAAAGCCTTATTATATTCGTAAGAAACAATATTGAAGAAATCTGTATAAAGTTTGTTAGGTTCATCAGATTGAGGACAAAAATCTAATTTACTACGAACTGATATTTTAAATTTATTTATCTTATAACTAGTCAAGTCTCTTTTTAATAAATTAATTTTCCTAATTTTGTTTACGTGATTTGGAAAAATTACTAATTGACCACAGTGATCAGAAGGAAGGTTGTTTAATATTATTTTATCTAAATATTCACTGTTGCTAAATATGTTATCCAAACAAGTAGCAGACGTGGCTGTGATACGAGTGGGTTCGTGGAAGACATTACTCAAGTCAAAAGATTGAAATAAACTCATTAATTTAGTTTTTGTGGTGTTATGTGATAAAATGTCAACATTGAAATCACCACACACTATAATTTTTTTGTTAATATTAAATACTCTTTTTAAAATATCTTCCATTACCTCTTCAAATAAATTATAATCACTATTTGGAGGTCTATATACACACATAACTATATAATTTTCTAGTTCCACACAGGAAATTTCAATACAACACTCAACGGAAAGATTTCCAATATCACTACGTTCTTTTACTTTTATATTATTTTTCACCAATATCATGGAACCTCCTCTATTTACTATTTTTCTATTAAAGCAGCTGACAATATTATAATTGTTTAAGCTTAACATCATATTGCTCACTTTGAGCCAATGTTCAGTTAAACATAGAACATCTATATTATTTTTTTCTAAAAACAATTGAATAATTAATTCACAGCCGAGAAAACTTTGTATGTTCTGGTGAACAATTTTCAATTCTGATAGCTTTCCCTTTGTCTTTTTCAGCAGTTTAAATCTGCAGTCATATTTAAATTATTGTAAATAAAAGGATTCTTACTAGAATCAATATTTATGTCAATATTTTCAGAATGTTTAGTATTAACATTAGTACAAATACTACTAATTGGATTAGTGCAACCCATTATATTACTTATAGTGGGGTCATTTATATTATAAGCTAGTAAACTAGCTATATTTCTTATTTGTTTTTTAGGCAGATAAAATCTATCTCCAGTCATACAAAATTTGTAACAAATTTAATAAAAATAAATTCTAATTCATATAGCAAAGAGTACGAGATCGTGGTTACAAAGTCGGCGGCATTAGGCCATACCAGTCATCACAGTCAGCGACCTGAAAACAAACAGAAGAACAGATATCTGAATATTACTGCATGTAAGTATTTACTTATAGATATAGTAGATCGTTCGTAATACTGTTTCTATTTATTTTCATAATACATCAGGACAATTAACACAGCATCTCTAATCCTAAGCTAAGCAGAGCTTATGTTATGTGTACTGCTGATAGAAATATTAAATACATTATTTTTTGTAAATGCACACAATGTACATAGAAAACACCTAGACCAAACAAATAGTCATACTCATAAATACAAGTGTTCGTACCGTGCGAGGACTAGAACCAACGATCATCCGAAATAAATTTTCGGTCGTTAGACCATCGCGACCGGTCCGCGGAGTCGATTAAGCGGTGGTAATATATTCGCGTGGAGGTAGCGTGTCAATATAGTTGTTGCGTGTACGCAGACGACCACTCGCGCGTGTGCGTGTCGGCGGGGGCGCGGTGCGGCGCGGCGGGGTGCGTGGGCGCGGGCCGCGGGCCGTGCGTGGCCAACTTCATCGACGGCATGCCGCGGCGCCGCGCGCGCGACTGCGTCAATGCAGCGCCCGCGCAGGTACCTAACGAACACTAGACCGGTGCTCCCCGACCTCGTCTGTGGCGTGTGTGCTGGGCGCGGGCCGCGGCGCCGCCTGCGACGCAGGCTGCAGCGCCCGCGCAGGTACCTAACGAACACTAGACCGGTGCTCCCCGACCTCGTCTGTGGCGTGTGTGCTGGGCGCGGGCCGCGGCGCCGCCTGCGACTACGTCAACGCCAACTTCATCGACGGCATGCTGCCCGCGCTCGAGCCCGCCGCGCGCGCGCGCCTGCGACGCAGGCTGCAGCGCCCGCGCAGGTACCTAACGAACACTAGACCGGTGCTCCCCGACCTCGTCTGTGGCATATACGACAGCAGAGAAGCCTTTCTAAAATCCTTATCTAATAAGAATTTTAGAAAGGCAACACTCACGACGGCTATACGGTGAGGGGCTCCCCAAACCTTTTTTGTGCAATGGGGCCATGACCTTAGGGTTCCTAAAATTTTTATGTCCCTCCTATGTAGCGTACATAATTATAGATACAAAAATGTAACTGTTCACTTAAGAAACTTATAGTTTTTGGAATAAATCACTAGGAAAATTAATTATAATGACAAACTAAAATTCAAATTACAGTAACAAGTCTTCAGTACGGAAACTTGACTACTGTTACTGTAAGCGTTACGACCTTCTTTATTGGTGATCAAACCGACCGTTATTGAGTCTAGGCCCATGTGGCCAATCTCAATCAAATTGAGTTTACACCCATGTGGCCTAGACTCAATAAACAAAATAATATAAATCCATTAGGCTTATTTATGCAATAAAAAGAAAGAGAAAATGTAAAGTAATTTTCAAGTGCATAAGCTTATTGTATTATTTCATTCATACAGGCAACCATCATTAAAACCAGTGAAACCACCGCCGGACCTCGCCGAGGGAATAGAATCAGCATTTCTGAATATAGAATTCTCCGGCATCGTAGAATCGGATGATCAGAATGAGGACACCGACAGTGAGCACAGTGATGACGACGGCGAACTTGATGATGTATACGTCAATATGGGTGAGTTTATTTAAATTATTTAACTGGAAGGGTAAATAAGCTGACAGCCCAGCTGATGAAAATTGGTAACCGTCACAAATGTGAGAGTTCACATCAATATTGTAGAAAAAATCCGATATTTTAAAAAGATATTAAAAGAAGATAGTTTGTGTTTAGTACAAATGAAGTACCCAATGTAAATATTATTACAAATATTGTGAATAGCGCCATCTAGTATTTATAGATCGACCTACTACACTGACTTCGGTCTATAAATATGGAGGTAGGTAGTTGAATAATCTCTCTTTTGTTGGGTGAGCCACGGCATTCAGTCGACGAGCGCAGAGCGTGCCGGTTGTGTTTTGGATACTAAAGTGAATTGTATTAGGAATGGATTTATCCCAGTTTTAGTTGGGCCTGGAGGGGAAGCTGCAAGTAGTGAAGGTACCTACACCCGTGTCACAAGTCTCGGGCGCTACTTGGGATTTCCCTTGCGGTAGCCGACTTCAAAGCCTAAGTCGTCATCGTTTTATACCGCTTCTTACACAAATAATATACGTATCTAAATAAATCTAGTTTTCAGTTTTCTTTGCTCCTTTTTGTAAGATGAGGATCATGATTGTATAATAAAAGTCGGAGATTTCTGGCTAGTTTTTTTACTTGAAAATGGTATAATGAATGTGTAGGTAGGTATATTTATGTAGGTATGTATGTGAAATAAACTAACGATCGCATACACATATTTGTATGCGATCGTTAGTTTATTTCAAATATGAAACTGTAACCGTGTTGACGGCGTTGCAGTGTTGCAGTATTAGAATAAAATTTTGGGCCACATATTCATATAATCGCGCCTGAACAAGTTGTAGTGTATTTATAATATCAACGAAATAGAATAACTATTAAACATGTTAAGTTGTTAGCCAGTGATCAAAATTCGACCATAATTAATTTAGATTTTAAGTTCATTTTCATTCACTTACGCACTGAAGTAATATCTAGTGGTTCGTGAAATGTTGATAGATTAATTTTGTTTTCAGATGGTGTACCAACGCGCGTTAAACTCGAATGGCTGATATGGAGGCGGCGGTATATAGCTACTCAGGGTCCGACACCGGCTACACTGGATGCCTTCTGGCGCATGATTTGGCAACATCGGGTGCACACTATCGTAATGATCACAAATCTTGTCGAGCGAGGAAGGGTAAGTCAACATTTGGAAATGGTTACTTAAAATGTTGTTATTCAGTTTTGGTTTACCGCAGGGCTCCCAATTAGGGCCTATTTTATTCAATCTCTCAATCAATAAATGACATAATCATTTGTTTTCATTACTCAGAACCCTACTTGTATGCAGACGACTTGAATTTTGCGAAAGTAATAGAGTTATTGTAAATTGATGTCAATAGTCGTAATAGATTCGTGTAAAAATAAGAATACGCAACTGAATCTTAATAACAGCATGTTAAATTTTCAAGAAATACGACAATAATACATTTTGTCTATCACATAAACAACAATAAAATTCGCGAAGTGGATGTAATTAAGGATTCGGGAGTACTGTATGGTAGAAAGCTAACATTTGTACCTCACGTTTCTACTTTGATTGCAGCGCAAGTGCGACATGTACTGGCCGGGCGGCGGGCGCGGCAGCTCGGCGACGCACGGCGGCGTGCTGGTGACGCTGCTGCACGAGGACGTGCGCGCCGCCTACACCGTGCGGCACATGCGCGTGCGAGCGCACCCGCACAAGGTACTAGCGGAGCGTCACGTGCACGGCGGCGGCGTGCTGGTGACGTGCGCGCCGCCTACACCGTGCGGCACATGCGCGTGCGAGCGCACCCGCACAAGGTACTAGCGGAGCGTCACGTGCACGGCGGCGGCGTGCTGGTGACGTGCGCGCCGCCTACACCGTGCGACACATGCGCGTGCGAGCGTCACGTGCACAAGGTACTAGCGGAGCGTCACGTGCACGGCGGCGGCGTGCTGGTGACGTGCGCGCCGCCTACACCGTGCGACACATGCGCGTGCGAGCGTCACGTGCACAAGGTACTAGCGGAGCGTCACGTGCACGGCGGCGGCGTGCTGGTGACGTGCGCGCCGCCTACACCGTGCGGCACATGCGTGTGCGAGCGCACCCGCACAAGGTACTAGCGGAGCGTCACGTGCACGGCGGCGGCGTGCTGGTGACGTGCGCGCCGCATACACCGTGCGGCACATGCGCGTGCGAGCGTCACGTGCACAAGGTACTAGCGGAGCGTCACGTGCACGGCGGCGGCGTGCTGGTGACGTGCGCGCCGCCTACACCGTGCGACACATGCGCGTGCGAGCGTCACGTGCACAAGGTACTAGCGGAGCGTCACGTGCACGGCGGCGGCGTGCTGGTGACGTGCGCGCCGCCTACACCGTGCGACACATGCGCGTGCGAGCGTCACGTGCACAAGGTACTAGCGGAGCGTCACGTGCACGGCGGCGGCGTGCTGGTGACGTGCGCGCCGCCTACACCGTGCGGCACATGCGCGTGCGAGCGTCACGTGCACAAGGTACTAGCGGAGCGTCACGTGCACTTTTAACTTAACATTTCTTTGGTATATTAGTAGGTACATGATATTTTATTGGTAAGTATATTTAGGAGCAATTTGCTACACACAGGTCTATCAAAGTATTACTATTTACATATACACTAAATTTAATGTTTTTGCTACGTATTTGTATGTGTTAGTGAATACGAATTGTTTGTCTTGTATCTAATATAATTATATGTAATCAGGGTAGCGAAGCGAGCAACGCAAGCGAAGGCAATGGCAACGAAAGCACGGATGGCGAGGACGGTAGCCGTAGCGTGGTACAGTACCACTACACGGTGTGGCCCGACCACGGCACGCCGCGCCACCCGCTGGCCGTGCTGCCGTTCGTGCAGGCCGCCGCCGCAGATCCTGGCACCGTGCTCGTGCACTGCAGGTACGTGCCCCACTAAGAGGGCTCCCTAACGAGACGGAGCCTGCCTTATACCATCTACAAGGTGAGGTACGTTCCACACAAATAGGTCACAGAACAGGACCTATTCTACACTGCACCGGCAATGGCTCTCGTAGGTACACCGTGTGGTTTTTTAGTGTGTAGGAATTGTATACACCTCGTCGCTTCTCTGGCGGAGAGATTTTGTCACGCTATTAAAGAAAAGACATGTCCCGTACGTCTAAAGCGTGCTGAATATTCCGAAAATAAATAAATATGCAGTACCCCTACACGCTATTAGTGTTGTCTATGCTATTTGGAAGCTACTAAACTGTACTGTTTTTTAAATATAATGGCCACATGTGGATTGATAAAATATTTGTTACAGCGCCGGCGTCGGTCGTACAGGAACGTATATTGTCTTAGACGCACAACTGAACCAGTTGAAACTAACTGGCACCCTATCTCCTCTCGGGTTCCTATGTCGTGCTCGTACACAACGAAACCACCTAGTCCAAACCGAAGAACAATACGTTTTCGTCCACGACGCGTTATTAGAACACGTACGTTCCGGCGACACAGAAGTAGAGTTCGAGAAAGCTAGAGAATATTTAGTAAAACTACTGCTACCAATCACAGAAGACGAATTGGCTGTTCTAGATTTAAATTCCAATACTAAAAGTGTTAATGACCTCACGAACGGTGTAGATGAAACGTCAAGTGTGAAATCCAGTCAAGCGAATGAGTGTAGTGAGAAGGAAGTATTGGAGAACGGTAGTCAGATGTCTATAAAGACGGACGAGTTGAACAGTGAACAGAGCAAGTCACAGTCGTCCGCTAGGGACCTGGACGTCGACAGTGAACAGAAAGATGGGATGGTGAACGGTGATGAAAATGAGGGTGTGTACGATCTAGCGCCGCGGTCTACTGATACGTATAGTAAGAAGATGCAGGCGTATAACAACATGAGTGAGATTGAAAAGGAAGAGATTAGGAGGTAAGTTTGTTATTTATAATTTCAACTTAATAATGAGATTTATAAAGTTTCATTTTGTGTTATTAATTTTATGTAAATTAAATTATGCAGGGTGAATCGAGCTGAGAATTACGCGTTGTTGGAACGCATGCGATCGTTAGCTAACCGACATCACACGTACCAGGGACCGCCGCCTGTTAATTTGTTGGAGAAACAGTATCTGGTAAGTATCCTGTCAATATATTAAATTCGTAGAAATTTCCCAAATTACTCATTAATAAGAGAGTGTAGTTACTTATTTAACAGTTGGATGTATGATCATATCAGATACAAAATTCAAATTAGTTAAATACCCATAACAATTGCTATTTGGAAGTTTTTTCTCTTTATGTTATGTATGTGTGTAAGTATTTCTATTACTTGCATAGTACCCATAACGCAAGGTCTTTGGGATCAGATAGCACTGTATGAATTAAAAAATCCCTCATGTTACAAAACATACTGAACTACGCAAAATATTTTGCAGGATAGGTCGTTACAACTGTAGTCTGTTTTTTAATCTCGGTGACTAAATTGATAAGTATTAATTTCTAATGCGTTTGATATAACTTACACATTAATTCCGATTAAGTGAGATAGTACCACAACACTATTTAAGAATCGCAATAGCTGGCAAAATAGGTCTCGGCAAATTTTTATTCTGAGATATAAAAAACAGACTATAGAAATAGAAATAATCTTTATTCAAATAATCTCATTACAAGCACTTTTGAATAGTCATATTTTGATTCTACCATTCATTCGGAATGCAGATTCATCACAAAAAGAATGAGCAAGAAACTTGTGTGTTGCTCTTTTAATAGATGTTTTTTTATATAAATAATTACAGTATAACAAGTAAGAGGCATGCGATAATCAATATAGAAATCGCTACGCACTTATTATTAGTGTAATCAGATAATATTTTCAGTGCTATGGATTTAAAGTTTTTCTATAAAAACATTATTATCGTTAACGAATTCTTAAATTTAAGTAAGCTTTTTGCAAAGGAACTGTTTTATTTGACATTTAAATATTTTCTCTGGCAGATTTATAACAGACTCTGGTATTTTATTGTAAAACCTTACGCAATTGCCATAAAACGAATTACTAACTTTAGCCAAACGACATTTAGGTAAAATCAGTTATTGTTACGTAAGCTTTTATTGGTGCAATCACTAACTCTTTGAAACTGTGTATATTCTTTCTGGCATAGATGATATATACACAGACTATAGATCTCGTAGCATGGTGGTAATAGTAGCGTGTATATATATATATATATGTGTGTGTGTGTGTGTGTGTGTGTGCAGCTGATCACGCGGTCGTGCACGGAGGCGAGCGTGAGCGCGCGCGCGGCGCACAACGCGGACAAGAACCGCGTCGGCGGCGTGCTGCCCTCCGACGCCGCGCGCGTGCTGCTCGTGCCCAAGCCGGGCGTCGACGGTAACGCGCAACCTGGTTTATAATAAACAGTGTAGCTATTGGCAGGCTTTCTCGACCGTTTTTTTAGTATTATAGTTCATGTTAGTGTACACGATGTTAAAATAAACACACCATAAAAATATAAAAATTAATCATTCATAAAACCGACAGGGAAATAGTCGCGCGGAGAGCCGGAGTCCGCTATCGCGTTGTCAGAGAATGAGACTTGTTCGTTAAAGTTTTACTTCTATTGTTGTGTCCCAGCACACATTACTTTTATTCTATGTGACTTGTAATGTCAAATAAGTTGACGACCCACCTGTCGGTAAGTGGTAACCATTACATATAACTGGAGAAACTGGAATTGAGTTGTTTATTTACCAACTTATTTTCCATTCATATAAAATCATAGTCGCACATATACGGCTACTGTAAATCAATTTTAAGTGTAGCTGTAAAGAGTGGTGGTAAGAGTGGGAGTGTGGTATATGCAGGTAGCGAGTACGTGAACGCGTCGTGGGTGTGCGGGCGGCGGCGGCTGCGCGAGTGGGCAGTGGCGCAGCACCCGGCGCGGCTCGCGGCCGACCTGTGGCGGCTGCTCTGGGACCACACGGCGCAGCTCGTGCTGCTGCTCAGCGACGCTACCGACCCGGTATAATCTATTCTACAATCATCAATTACATATGCACAATCTTGCCCTAATTGCGTCAAGTATCGTACTGTCCAACTCTTCGAAGTACGTAGTAACGGATATATTTTTAAAGTGAATCTAGAAGTTTCACTTCTATATGCTCTGTTAGGATATTTCGGTCTCGAAAAAGCGTTACAGTCGCCTAGAGCCCTGGACGGCTGGTGAGGGCGGTGAGAGGACATCGGCAGTCGCACGCGCGGAAAGTGAGGAGTCCGCTGTCGTGTTGTGACAGAAAAAGACTTGTTTGTTTAAGTTTCACGTCTACTATGTCCCAACACATATTCCGTTTTTTTTATGTAACAAGTTACCCACCTGCTGTTAAGTGGTAACCGTGTACATGAATAGTACCACGGATATCATGTTATCAGTAACCGTGGTAACACCTAGACGTTGCAATTCCGGAGGATTAAGCCTTCAAATGCTGTAATTTTACTGCTTTATCTTCATTCTACTACTGATGCACAGTGAGACACACATTACTACTTCGGTAATATCTTATATATATAGAACTTTTAGAAATTTAATCGAGTTATACGACAGCATAAATTTCAATATGTGTTTTTAGGAAATATTGTATTCTAATGAAATCTACGAATGATTGGTTTTAATATGTATATGTTTTACACTTCTTTAGGAATGTGAAGTATTCTGGCCAACGGAAGAAGAAAAAGAGTTATTTGTAGCAAACTTCAGAGCGAGCTTCGTCTCTAAAGACACATATGTTGCGTATCGAAAATCAGACAGGAAACCATCGGTCGACACGCCCACCGAGCCGGAAACGAACGGATACAGGCGGCAAGAGAGCGACTGCGCGGACGACGAGAGGTTAATACCGGAAAACAATTCGCCCGTAGCGGACACCGAGCCCGCGTACAGGTACGATAGAACAGAACTGAGACTGGAAAGACTGAGCACCGGCAACCGCGATCTATCGACGAGGAAGTCCATAGCGAACGGTGATTTGTTTTCATCGATGTCAGAGAAGAGGAACGGGCCGAAGTCTCCGAAGAGTCCGTCAAAAATGTCCCTCAAGAATTTCAAGCTGAGCTCCCCGACTAAGTTCAAGTTCCCGGATTGGGGCTCCAGGGGGGCGGGGGCTCCGCCCGAGAGCGCGCCCCCGCCGCCGCCCGTGCCGCCCGCGCTGTCCGTGCACCAGGAGGCCGAGCTGCGCCGCCCCTGCTACACCTTCCGCAAGGTCGACCGCGTCCCGGACGACACGCCCGCCGACCGCGTCATCGAGGTCATCAACGTCAGCGTGCACTCGCTGCAGGACGACTATCAGCTTAGTGTCAAGTTTATCCGGTGTAGCGGTTGGCTGGAAGGCGATACCACGGAGTACGTGGCCGGGAGGCCCGACGACAACGAGTTCGTGCGGGGCGTGAGGCAAGCCAGCAGTGATACTGAAAGGGAAGAGGCGGTAGATAGGCTTATAGAGCCGTACAAGGACTCGTTCGCGTTGATAGAATTCGTCGCCGGTTGTCAAATGGAATATAAGAATGGACCGGTCGTCGTCGTCGACAAGTGAGTTGTCATTTTATATTTATAAAAAAGACTCAGCAACTTAGTCTGCATAACATTTACTTGACATTTATCATTATACTTCGCCCAATATACATAATATTTTTTTAAAATATAGCCTATGTTGATGCTATATTAAAGTTTCATCAAAATCCGTTCAGTAGTTTTTGCGTAAAAGAGTAACAAATACCAAACTTTTTATGACATCAGTAAGATCTACTCGACAGATTTTCAATATGTTTACTCATGCTCATCGTCCTAGATACGGAGGATGGAAAGCGATGACCTTCTGCACGCTGAGCGCCGCGTGCGGGGGCGCGCGCGACCCGCACGCGCACGACCCGCACGCCGCGTTCCGTGCGCCCGCCGACGGCCGCGCCGCGCTCTACCGCAGCAGCGCGCTCGCCGCGCACGCGCGCTGCGGCGCCGAGCAGCGGCCGCACTCCCTGCCCGCGCTGCTGGCCGCCTACTGCGCGCTCGCCAACTACGGCCGCCTCCTGCACGCGCGCGCCCGCAGGTCACTCCGACCACACACACCCCACACCCCACACCCCACACCCGATGCCTGTGGCCCGACGTCCGTCGCCCGTCGCCCGTTACACATCGTCGTTCGACTCCCGTAGTCCACCGACGGCCTATTTTGTAATATTTAGTGCAGTATTAGATCTCTTTAAATGTGCACATTTAAGAGTTAATGCTGTATAAAATGTCACAGTGTAATTTGTGCAATTATTTATGAATAAAAATGTCCGGCTCGGATCCGGCTCGAAGGACCATTTAGATGTACGGATTTGTTATACTGTACGTTTTATTGTATAATAACAACAAATAATAACAATTGAGAAGTCTAAGAATGGTCACAGAGTAAAATTATTGGCAATTAATAATTAAATGAGTAATGATAAAGTGGAGTTGAGTTGAGCACACGCGGTAAAGTTGGTGACCGTGCGAATGCAATATACGTGAACCCTACAGAATTTTAATTATTGTGGTAATTGAATAAAAATGACGATAAAGTAGAAATGAATGACAACAAAATGAATTAGACTCAATCTTGTAATAGGCGTATATAAAGTGTGCACCTAATGGTAAATACTAATCGTCAGTTTGTTTACTCTTATAACGTAAAACATATGACTGTATATTAACAACAGATTTCTGTTACAGGTTTTCAAAAACATCACACCAAGAATCGCGGTAATACTCTAGTTGTTATGGTATAATTATGGAATAAATACTCAGTGCGTTGTGTGGCCGGACGCCATCTTTGCAATCGCAGTGTCGCGATGACGTCACGCTTGACACTTGGCATTATGCGTCCCGTCGCATCTTGAGTCACGCGTCTTACGTTACATGTTAAGTGTCAGCAGTACAATTATAATTTGTAATATAAGAACGAACTGGCAGCTAAATAATTAGTTAGGACTGTACACAGAAATTGCGGATTAAACAGACTGTTCCTAATACGGTAAAATGCAGCTAAAAATTAGCTCAATAAATACCAAATTCAAAGTAGTTACAATAATTCCTATTGTGGAATTATTGGAGTATTATTTTATGATTGCTTGTATCATATATGTCCAACGTTGGCGACCAACTTTTGGCGTTGGAACCAAGTTTGTTACCAACTCAATTAACGCTAGAGATGAGTACGAGATAGAATCTCACGGAGTGAAATATGATGTATTTGTCGCGAGGATATGTCAATCTGATCACTGCCACTAATGTGTTCTCACTTAGTGGTTTCGTATACAATTTATTATCATGTAATTTGCAACCTTATATAAGAAGCTAATAAGGTAGGTTATACATTAACATCAGTGATAAGTTTGATTTATTATGTGATGTGTGGTCATAGTTCGCGTCGTGTGACTATCTTTTTTTTAATAACAATAAGAATTGACATATTCCGCATTTCTCAAATTAAATCTAAGAACACAAATATGGCATTTATTATTTTTTAGTTTATAAACCAGTACGTACGAGGCAATCAGTAATGCTCAAAGTGTTAAACAATAATTTAGGAGTGAAATTAATTTGAATTAAGGCTTTGTCTCTTATGAAATAAGATGTGGTTGTGGGCATTATGAATATTTATGTCACGAGAAAAGAAATACGGATTTTTCTAGCATTTTTTTCAAAGACGATCATTTTGGCTAAGTGACTTCGCTTGGGTGTTTTTCAGTTTTTTAGAGTTTGATAGGAAAAGAGTACAGAGCATCGCATTTATAACACATTCCACTTGATTCCCCACCATCACTTACAGCAAATAAAAAAAAAATCCTAGTATTAAACTGGTCAGCTTTAATATATCACATTATTTTATGTTATTATATACTTTTACTAAACAAAAGATATAAATTTCAAAATTGTATTAAAATATTACAATAGGCGACGGTTATAACTTAAAATCATGTAGGCCGTAAGCTTAGTTAACATTCCAGTTAAAAAAAAAGTTTTGGTTAGTGTGCATTATATTTCTCATCGTGTAAATGTGTTAAAAAGTTTCGTTTCATCAAACCATTTTTCGGAAATTGTTTTATGATATTACGGAACTAATTTTGCATTTTGTATAAATTGGGTTTAACGATCCAAATGTTCATTTTCTGTTATTTAAACCAAGTATGATACTGAACTGCGAAATTGTATGCATTTCTTAGTCCAGTAACGTACTCTGATAAATATCTGATTAGAAGAAAATTATCAATTATTTAGCCCAAGCAAAGTCACTGCCAGGTCGTGCTATATCCATAACCTTGAGTAGTATATCCATAGAGTAAATAGAGTGCAATAGTTAAAGCATAAAGAACGAGTAGATAGAGTTATATTTTTAATATTTTCTTTTTTCGTAGCAAAGTCTATGAGCGTGAGATATTTTGTCGATTGGCGACATTTTTTCTTTATATCTAAAATATACATGCGTATAATTGTGTATAACATATTTTATAATAGGACTTCGCGATACGTTGACGTTATGCTGTTCGAAAGTGAACTTTATTGATTCTATGTATTCAAGTTGTATTGTTTAGACTTATCTCACTTAATAAGTTTCAATTTTGAACGGCATATATGAAGTCAGTTTTGTAATGTACGAAGTGAATTCTATTTGTAATTCCTATTAAATCAAGTTTATGGTCCAGTATTTTTTATTATAATACAATTAATCTAGTTATTGTAATTACAATATAAATGTGAAGACTGCTTTTTAGTGGTTGGTCAATTAAGATGTGCAAAGCTTCGTTGTTTGTGTGGTGTAACTTTATCGAAAATATTAAATTAATATTTTTTTCTTATTCCAGTTTGGTTATGAAAATATTTCATATAGTGTTTGTGTTACTTTACAAATTTTTACTGTTTTTTTTAATATTATTTATTGTTTCCGTGCTCTGGGAGTCGCAATACGGACCGAGAAAGATTTTTCTATATATGTATATACGTATGTATTTACAAAATTCATATGAAACATAAACGAATTCTTGTGCAATATTGAAATGGTTTTTAAAAAGATTTTCGTAAAGTTATACCAATGTTATAATGGTTGACGGCGTTCTGATGATTTTTTTTAAATATATGATATAATGTATTATAAATCTATTATATGCGAACTGTACAATTTTCATAACTAATTAGTAATCATCAGTTCGCAGTCGTACGAGCGTGAAGCGGTCGATGTTTCAAAGGTTTTTTTTATCACATTATTATCGATTTTGTATCGGTCTGTGTTTTTCAATCCTGTATAAAATTTAAAGTATTCTAGTTATCTAATACTAGCTGCTACTTTAAGAATACTGCATTAGTTTTTTTTGGAAAATCAACTTTAAATCTTTAACTTTAAAGTACCATTTTTGATGTCTATACAGTTAAATATATAGGTTTAAACATAGGGTTAATTAAACTGAAAGCCAGCTACCATTTTCATAAAACTGAAGTACTTTCATCAAGAAATTAAAGTGTAATTCTATAAATTACAATATATACAATTATTGACCTTTAATACTAAATTGTGACGAATGAGATGACGAAGAGGACAAAGCTATTCAGTTTCTTGAATAATATTATTGGCATTCGGCTTGGCTGTACCGTTAACCTGTATTGTATTGTATTGTATTGTATGTTGGACTCTACTTTCAGCATTTAGCCTTTTTGTTTGTTTGGGCCGTCCCTTTACATTGATATTGTCACTTTGAAACATGGAAAGTTTCTCGCACGGTTTGTTAGTTAAATTACGTATGATAAGGACTATGGCGGGTTGTTTGTGCGTATGTTCCCGCGCGTGCCATTTTATACTTAGCTAAATATACATAGATAGTTTGAAATCTATTGCTTAGTATAGTTTCTTATTGTATCAATTGTAATAATATTTGTAGGAAGATTACATTCTTCCTCATTTTTGGTGATTAGGACATCAGTTAGTGTAGATGAGATGCATTCAATTACAATCTTTAATGACTGAACTATAAAGTACGGTTTTCTAAATCATTTTTAATATGGTCTAGTTCGTAAAAACTGTTTTTACTATTAGAGTTATGTCACTTTCTTGCATATTAAAAAAATGGAATGGAATGGATTAGGTTTACTATTAACAAGGCATGTCGTCATTTATTTAAAGTTAAATTCTTAATGTCAATGAAAGTGACAAAATATAATATTTAAAATACATTTATTGGACGTTTCACGTGTTAATGTACAATATTACACGTCAGTATTGTATTGTGGCTAAAAGTATCTTCACACGGCGCTAAAATTGGTGGAGATATCGGGGTACTGGTAGAGAGCTGCTAAGATCTTTTTTATAGACAGTGTCGTGTGGAGACAAATCATAGTTTGTTATTATTATTCATAATGATTTGCCTAGCGAAACCATTTAGCGTGCTCCCTATGATCTAGGATACGATCTAGACCACCACTTACGATGTAGGAAACAGTCTAAGATGCTTTCTACGATCTAGGGCGCTCCCTATAGTCTTGGAATCGATCTTAATATCCCTCGACCAGTGCTCCCATATCGCCTCGGATTATAGGCCCGTGTTTAGACGATTTATTGTAAACAATGAGAACGCGCAAACGCCCGCCCGCACATAAACCAAAGATGCGCGTCAATGTATAGTGTAGGTGTATACTGCGGTCGATAGCAAGTGTAGTGATGGATGTCGCTAATTAGGTACGTCTAAGTCTTAAGATAATCCTGTGTAATTATGATATTTATAATGTTATAGACTATGTCTGTACATTGAACTGAATATTCTAATTCTTATATTAGAGTTAATACACTGTCAAATATATATCCGTTAATTACGTAGCTAATCTCTTAGGGTCAGTTATTACCGACTCCAGGTGCTTAGCCACGCGGGTTTTTAGTAGTTAAAGTGCTAAACTGAAAATAAATTCATTTACATTCTTAAAAAAGTCTTTATTATATGAAAGGACTGCTTTTTGTCGATGATATATTTTAGGCTGTATTCAAACGATGTTATATATTTGATAGTGCAGTAACTTATGGAACAAATATATAATTTTAAAACATACTTTAGTGTATTCCGATCCTTAGTACAGACATTTCATAAATATGTAACATAGAAGTATCTTCAGCTCAATTTTGTAATCTTTGTATTATTGTTCATTGCGTTGTCATTATTCTTAACACGTTTTTATGGACACCATTCATAATCGATGATGAGATCAGGGTATTATCATGCAATCATGGAAACATTACTCACTGATCATTCTGAAACGTGTGCCTCTATTTAAAACCATTGTTTTGGTCTCTGACAGTTGAAGTGAAGCGAAATGTGTACAGTGATTGTCATAGATAAATTAAAATGGTTAAAAAGGTTAAAAAGAATTTCGAATAACTTGGCAACACCTCGTTTACATTATGAGTTGGGAGTCTTTCAATGTTATTAACACAAGAGGCAAATAAATAGATTTCAACATAAATAATCTTATGATAAAGGAGTTCATTTTGAAATATATTCTTCAGTTAACATGCATTTATGTAGATTTAAAGAGAGAGAGAGAGAGACAATGAAAGAGTGAGTGCTTTTTGGTTAGGAGGAAATTTAGGAGGAAACTCCGGACCACTGTCGATTTGAGAAACTTCACAGTTAAAAAAAGTACTTTATTCCTCATTGACATGTACCATGTGCATTGTGTCAATATATTCAAAATACATTATATTATAAAATAATGTTTTATGCAAGGTAATAATTATGAAAGACTCCCATTTAAAGTGCAATCCTAACGTTGCCATTTATTTAGAAGTGTACCTTAAGTAGATAGCGTATTATCAAATTACATCACGTGACTGTCTGTATATCTTCGATTTCTTTGCAACATCAACTCAATGATGTGCGTAGATGATCAAGCGGCTTGAATCGAGTGCGTGCGCTTTACCGCTAGTAAACAGCGGCACACGCTACGTCTACTATCACATTATATTTAAAACTCGTTCTACTTATTAGTGTCCGAATTATTTTATTTGTTTATCATTTGCGTTACATTGCGTAAAATATTTTAATATAAATATATACGATTATTAAACAACACATTAATATTAAATTTCTGCCGTTTCCTGTGTTTTAATGACTAGAAAAACCCATTTCATCACTAAAATAGTGTAGCTGTGGGCTAGTTTTTTATGCATAAAGAAGTTAGTACAATAGAAATGTTAAAAATAATACCAACTTCTATTTAGTTTATGTACTTGATTCAATCTATTTGTTCGTCTACGGACCTCCTTATATTGGTGATGGACAGTGTGCATACGGCCTTACAGTATATCATATTAGTGTACGATAACATATGTTTGTAAAGTCACTCTGTTGTAGATTAAGATATAACTTGATAAGTTTTCTAAATGTTTCTTTTTGAAATATTAATGTTTATAAATCTTGTATTCCATATTGTTGTTCCACAGTATTTATTGTCTAGGTTCAATATTATTTAGCAAAAACCATATCGAAAATCGTCAACTAATTTTTACAACCCATCAGTTATCTAGGAGAAAGGCGGTTAGGGGTACTCATAACCATAGAAAAACCATGTTATCATAGTAAATATACGGGACTATTACATAATATATTGAATTGAATATTAGATGACATGGGAAGACGCCTTGAAATACAGGGTGTATTTCAAGGCGTCTTCCCATGTCATATGATCATGATGATTCTTATAATCTCGTTAGCATTCCATGATTATTCCAATGTAATTCAATATATTATGTAATAGTCCCCTATATTTACCATGATACAATAAAAATCATCCCTAAAAGCACCCTATAGTAGTATTGAAACGGCATTTTCAACTAGTTTTTGGAGTGTTTGTCACATTCTTTTAAATTATGATAATAGCTTGCAGAAAAAGGACAAAATAGTCCAATACCTAACATGGATTTATCTCACATTTTTATGAAAGAAATAAATCGACTGTGGAACTAAATACAGGAATTTTATGATTAGGTACACTCTATAATAAACTGTATTAACTCAA